ATCTTAGCTCTGTCTGTAAACTTTTGGAAACATCCTTTTGGTAATTCTCTATTGTTTTTCTTGTGATATATTAGCAATATTGCAACAACAAAGAATTTGGATAGAAAACTAAAAAAACTTGTTCCAAGACTGTCTGAAAATCTACAGAAGTGATAAGTTGATATTTTCAGCAATTTTATACCCCTCCTTGAACAGCTTCATCTCAGATTTGTTGATATTCAAACATTTTGGCCAATTTTCATAATTTATATCATAATGTTGTCAACATGAATGTGGGGGCTACTGTTGCAGATTTTGGAGGTACCCTCAATCATGATTTTTTGGAAGATTGTCTCTATTGGGGCCTCATTGAAGGATGATGTCAGCCAGGGAAGGCTGACAACATTTGGAAAAATCTTTTCTGTAGCCCAACCATTGCTAAAAGCTGTGAATAGTGTGATTAATCTCAAGATGCTAACTAACATGGCGCATGAAAAACAACATACAAGGAGAAACAGGATCAGTTTGTGTGACATTTGTGCATGCATATGGTGTACTAATGGTGATGAATTCACCTGTTCCTTGAAGGCAAGGCGAAGAACTGAAATGGTTCTATGATCATGAATGCTGAAATGGTCAGACGATCATTAAACACTCTGACTTTTTATGTGTGCTCCTTTACATGTAAGTGAGGCCAACGATTTATAAAAGGTTTACTTTGCGGTTTACCATCCATTTAGATATTATGCGTGCCTCTTAGAATAGCCCCATTAGATACAGCAGGCAACCTTCAAATTCCTATTTCTTTTTCCGGAGTTGTCAATGGTTTACCACATATCAAATCATATATCTATATCCTTTTTACAGAAAATTGGTGGTAGACTGTAACTGATTCTTACTTACATGCCAAATGAGGAATATATTTGCATAGGCAGTATCAGCCCTGACAAGTCAGCCTAGGGGTCATACATAAATGACTTCCTCACAGAGGGGGGATGGGTGGGGTTAACAGTTTGGTGATGGAAGGTGACACTTTGAGAGGGGGAGGGGGTTTCCAGCTTTGTTGATGTCACCTTGGTGAAAGTGAGATCATCTCTTCCAAGGATAATTGCATTGAGCTCAGAAAAAACTCTTATCAAAATCTTAATCAAAACCGCTTTATGATACCTCATGACGGCTACTCCCATGATCCTATCATAACTTTCTATTGTCCATACATTCCTTTTTCATGTCAAAATTGTTATCTATTAAAAAAGCGAACAGTTCTATAGCCAGCCGCACAGCCTTGAAGACAAATTAATGTGCTCCTACCGATAGACAATTTTACTGATATAGTAAAGATTTTGTAGACCATCTGAAGATTCAGCAATCAACTCATCAAGAATTTCGGTGTGATACACTCCCTAACACTTCCTACTTGCTATATCCCTTTCTACAACTGTCTAAATTACACCCAACTTTTCCATAAGTTGTGAATGAAAGTTTTTTTTAATAGCAGCTTTAAATATAGACAGGTTCTTAAATAGAAAAAAAGTGGCAAGTGGTTGTGCTTTAATAAGAACCATTCTTTGAGAATGGATCAAAATTCAAGGTCATTTTCTTTGTCTAGGTCCTTTTCATGAAATATTTTGGATGGACCCAAAAGCATTTTCAGGTTGTTTGAGGCCAATTCGTTAGAATTCATGGTAAGAATTGAAGGTGTCACCCCTGCCACCCCCTTCTGACCTAAGTTGCATTCTGTGTAGAGAATGTGTGATTTGTTTTCCATTCCGTCCTTTTCTGGCAAATTCATAAAATTATAAAGTTGAGAAAGTTAAAAGATATACAATAATTTAAGGAGAGTTATTGTTCATAATCACTCGTAAGGTCAGAAAAATGGTAAATTGGTGTCCAACAGTCAGATAGAAATGGCAGAAAATAAGCAGTAACTTTCCTCGCTATCCTACTCTCTGAGTTTTTGCCCCAGTTTTTAATCTTTGTCAAAATTTTACAAGAAAATCCTTTTTTGATGACGTTAAAGGAAAAAAATGTTACAGGAGGAAAAGTTTGTGGGAAGAAAAACTTGCCAGGAAAACCTTGCAACTTTTGCAAATTTTTCTCCAAAAAATATTCATTTCTCATAATCCGGAACTTTTCCCCCGCAACTTTTAGTTTTTTCATGCTTGCAACTTTTTAAAGAAACATTTTCGCAAAAAAATATTTGATTCCTGCAACTTTTTGTGATAAAGAAAAAATTATGCTTTGATAGCAAAAAGGGGGGTAATGTCACGTCACAAAAAGTGACATCACTGGCAATATAATACAGGGGGTCAGAAAGCTGGTGACACAGTGGTGACGGGGGGAGGAGGAAAGGGTTAAAATCTTGAAATTTTAGGTGATGTCATTTGTGTATGACCCCTTAACTCTGTAGGAATGATTAAGAGTTGGTAAAATATATCATTCATGGTAAACTGTAAGCCTCACTTTCATGCTCACAATATTCCCACTACAAAAAAGGAAAGCCTGCTGCTTTTCAAGGCAGCTGGACAGTATTTTGCACCAATGGACCATTTACTCCTTATATTGTAATTGATGGAATATAAACCTGATTTCATGCATACCCACTCTCTGTATTTTGTCCATACCCCTAGTGTTGTGCAAGTTAAACAAATTCTCAACTAAACATATCTTCTAACACTTCTTGAAAATTGGCTAAAATTTCGGGTTCAACATTAGAAATCAAATTTCAGACAAGCTTGGACAGATTTGTTGAGACAAACCCCTGAACATGTGCTTGGCAGCATGCATATAAAGTCCAGCCTCTACCCCACCCCCTATTCAAAGAGGGTGTATGTACTTTAATAACAGAGATATATGGAGCTGGAAGAGGGTAGATATATCTCAATATGGCCTGCCCAAGATCAATCTCTGACAGGGGCATTTAGACAAACCCCTAAACATGTGCCATAGTCCAGCCTCTACCCCCTTCCTGCATTAAAAACTGAGGTGTACCTCCTCAAATAACAGAGATACCAACATTGAGCTGGGAGGAGGGGCCAAAAAATGCAAACATGATCTTACCAAGATTGCAGATGCTTTTGAAATTAAAATTTAGCTTTTCTTTCCCTGAAAAGATAAAATGGCCATGCACTTACTGGGACGTATTGTTCAACTCTTCCAGATGAAAACACTCCATACAAATGTGGACCTACTCCTCTTTCTGCCAACAGTGTGAATATGACACCTTCATAGAACTTTGCACGATTGTCTAAAATTTCACCATATATCCTCAAAAGCACTTTACTTGGTTCATCTGGTAAGCACTTCTTGTCTTCTGGCATTGAGCAAAGGTACAGATAGTTTGTCAAGCCTCCACTAAAGCCAAATAAGATAAAATACAGCAACTAGACTATATAGTAGCTGTCACAACAAAAATTTTAAAAAGCGCCGATATCATTTGTAGAAAACTACTTAATTTACTTATTACTTGATTTAGTCATAGGGCCACATGTGCTCACATGTTCTGGGTATTTTAGGAGGTATTAGCTCTGTTTTCATTGCCAAGAAAAGGCTTAATATAATGTTTTTAACTGGTTGCATGATTGACATAAATAATTACTAAAAATGCGGTATGGACTGAGTTCCAGGCAATATGAAAACTGTTTTGGTTACCACAGGTACAAATTTACACAAATTTTACTAGAATATATTGTATTTATAAATCTTCAACATTGTATCTCTGACAAGCATATGGTTAGTTAACATATATTTAGATGGAAAGATGACCTGGCTCTGCCAATTATCTGAAACATGTCATCATTATAGACTTTGGTAGAATCTGGCCTATCTAAAAGATAACCACTGAAACAAGTGATTCTGCCATTGGACAAAATCTTTTAGATTGTGCCAAGTCTATAACGACGAAATTTTTCAGATAATTAACATATATTTATACATAGAATATGTTGCTGAATTTTATGTATTTGAATTTGAACTAGGTTTCTTCTCAAAATATTTCAAATTGATTGAACATTGTTTGACGTGAAAGAATAAAATATGGAAGTGATATACAAACAAAATCAAACAGGGACCCAGAAGAAATCATTAATAAGACATTACTCGGCAATAACAAGAAGAATTAACCTCAAATACTGGACACTGAGGTCTTCCAGAGAAATTTTTGCCCAAGTACCGCCGAGGCACCTTTTGCACCACTTGTAGGCATTGCCTCTGAGCACTGCATCCTCGCAACTTTTGAGATGAACTGCTTCCTTTTCTAATGACTTATCGTTGGCCTTGTCGAGCAGCCCGGCCATATTTGCTTCACTTTGCTCGAGCAGTGCCTTTCTCTCGTTCTTATATTTGTCATTCATTTTATCTAATTGACAGGTCACGCTTCCTTATTTTCCAACGAACTTTGCACCCTTACAAACTAAGAAACAAGCGATCTTATTTGCGGCTTTCAGCGAAAGATTGCATCTCGTGTCTGGCTACCATTTTAGACAGACGTATCATTGTTCAGATCGACAACAACAGCAACTAACACGTGTTCCAATAAAGCGAAGTTTCTCGTGTTTCACCCTCAGTCAAATTTTTTATCTTTATTAATCCTAGACATTTCTAATGCTTTGGATTTTCGAAATAGATTACACTCAAATTGAATTGAATCTTCTTTCTTGATTGATAAAATTTTTGAAATAATAACTTCTTACATATGATTTATCACCCGCCGACCCAGGTGTTCATGGTGGCTGCACTTTTCAGACCAATTCACTTTTCCTGCAGTAAACCTCAATTAATGCTTTCAACTAAATACAATATATATTTATATTAGTTTTGACATTTTCCTTGACATATGCCTATGACAACTTCTCATCCTTCAAAGTAAGAAAACTGTTTTTTATGCTTAAGAATATCTTCTAGAAGAGTTTAGGGCAGAATAGATAGATTAAGAACATTTTTTTTAAATTTCAACTGAGTCAGAGAAAACTTTGTGAATTGCCCACAAACTTCATAGTATAAAATTCAAAGAGTCACACAGATGCCATTTACATTTTTATACCATGATCAAAATTATGCAACAAGTACACAAGCTCCTCCAACTGCTTTAATTTTTTCTTCTGCCCTCCGACTGAAGAATTTAGCCTTGACAATGACGGGTTGCTTTGGCAAAACTCCTTTGCCGAGAACTTTGTAGAACCCCTAAAAAGAGAAAAAACATTAAGGAAAGGAATATATTAGCTTTTCATTAGTTACTGCCTTACCGATTACAATAAAAAAGAGGAGCTTGTGAAGTTACCGTCTTGTGAAGGTTTATCTTGTTTCTTGAAAATAAAACCTGGAATGAAATCTGATTAATCTTCCAATTCTGAAAGTGGCTATCCTGATTTATATAATCAAAACATCCAGAACAAGATTTGGTTAGCCCAGAGCCTGATTTATCCTCTGCATCTTCGTTCCTCTCTTTCATGCAGACACTCAACTTTATGTGAATCTGGTACACTGGATAGCTTCAAAGCAGTCAAGCTTTACAACAAGAATATCACTTTAATGTGTACCAAATATCACTGATTACCAACTTTGCCCTAACCAAAGTCCTTAATGCACTTACATCTCTCAAACTGCACCACTTATCTTTATAACATGATAACATGGTGCAATTTGAATCAAAGAATCCAAGACGTTGCACAGAGGCAAGAGAAATTCACATTGTGTTGACCAGGCTTTACAGAAGTTAAAGAGAAGTAGAGAAGCAATAATGTCACCCAAAACCTTAAAAATTAGGAGATTTGATACATAATTCCAAAACTCCAAAAAAACAAATTCAAGCAAATGTAAATAAACTTACTGCTTGGATAACATCAATGACAGGGCATTTCCGTCTTTTTTAGCTGCATAAACAGTTCTTGTCTGCTCACTTACAAGTGACCATAGTTTATCTAAGTTGACAGTTGGGCAGTGATACTTGTTATTTGTTTTGTGGAAATATCTCATACCAACTTTACCAAAGTAACCTGGATGGCTTAAAAAGTAAAAAAGCACTTTTATTTCAAATAAAGTAGAAAAAGACACAAGAAAAGCATGATGGCAAATAAAGGCCATACATATTATCAAAAATAAAATCTCTGGTTAATTGCATGAACTATCTTGTTCTATGGTAGCCATCAATGGACAGCATTTATTATTATTGATTATATGACACAAACATTCTGCTTTTCAGTAGAACTCACAGCTTTCCAGAACATACAGATTCTACCAACATCACTTTTAATTCACACCTGGATATAATTGTTTTCTTATTTTCAGTTGGTTTAAGTACCTACAGATGCTATGTATCCCCTTTTCATGCCATGTTCAGATTCACACAGAACCAAAGACTTAACTTGTTATCTAGTTCATTGCAGCAATGTCATAATAAATGTTTGACTTACTATTTGTCAAACAGAATTCTGTGGTGATGGAGTCCACCAGCATTTCCTCTACCACCAGGATGCTTTCGGTGCTTACCTAGAAAGTACAAAATATATATAATTCAGTCTTTTTCAAAAACTAAACATGTAACAAATAGGACATCACCTTCAAATACACAAGAGTCATAATAAATTGAGACAGCCAAATTGGAATCTTTGACAGATGTGCAGGGGATCTGTTTCATGTCCATTAAAATTGCACATTTGCAAAAAGCACAGATAAAAACTTTGTGCAGCTGAAATTAATTACCTTAAAAATACTATGCAACGCTTGGTTATACATTTCAGAGAAAAACAGCTGGAATAGAAATTGTGCTGCTGCAAACGCCGCCGGTATTTGATGTGAGCGTTTGCAACCATACAAGGAAAAAATTCCAATCTGGGAAGAAAGTATCAAGAATTTACCAAAATGATTTGACCATTTTCATGCTGCAACAATTTTGTTTGAGACTGATCAAGAAAATTTACCTTATACTGAGCTTAAAAAGAATAAATTTCCACTCCACAGCAGACAGCTATTTACTGTGACTGAAAGTTGGGAGACTCAAAACATTGTAGGATATTCACTGCACACTGCCAAATGGGATTAGTTGCTTTAGCAATATTACTTAGCTGGCATGCACCTGGGCCCTTTAACTAAATCAACTTATTATTTTGGCTACCCAAATTACCTGGATGTTTTAGGTAAGAACACATCCAATAAGAGGTCTGTAACTTGCTTGCATGCAAAAATATCAAATATTGCTTTAAAAATAAGTTTCAAATATTGCAAGGCCTAATACTAGGGAATCAAAATATTTTAGTTTCCTCAAATGTAAAATCATCAATTACTTGAATGGCTTTGAAGAAAGAAAATATTTCCAGACTTATTCTTCTAACAATTTTCAAGTATTGTACCACCAAAAAATGTTTACTTGTCAGAAAATAATAATATTTATATGAAATCATAGAACGCTTTTGACAAAAAAGGACATGATAGTCCAAAAGACACGAGAAGCAGGCAGCAAAACACTGTCTTTAAAAACAAAATTGGGGAGGGGGTTCCTTCTTATGGATAATATTATAGTCTGAAGCAATTTATAATCTACAGGACTAATAAAAATTTGGCCAGGAAATTCATATTTTATTCAGTTAACAATTCAAACGCTATATAGAAACTTACCAACGCGCCCGTGGCCATGGCTAACGTGGCCTCTCAACTTTCGGGTCTTCTTTAGCCTGGCAGTCTGTAAAGAAGAAGTATAATTTTCAAAACCAAAGATAATTTTCTCAAGATTATAGTCTGAATCATTTCAAAAAATGAGCAGGAATAACATAGGCATGAATTTGTGTCGAAATACCTCTAGATTAAACAGAAACAAGAGGATTTTCAATGAAAAAGGAGAGGCCTAACTCACCATTTTGGAATGATTTTGGAAAGAACGAAGAGGCCAACGAGAGACAACTAGAGCCCAGACCTTTCGTTTAGTGAAAATCAACAACAACAACAGCAACAACAACATTTTGCCGTTGCTTGATGTTAATTTTTCGATAATTTGAGAGGTTGATTTCTCTGGATTTACATACTATAAATTGTTTCTAAGATGACAAAAATACCAGTTTTGCATGATATGTTAAGTAGCATGGTGTACATGAAAATAAAAAGAGTACCGAGCTGATGACGTCACAAAAAATTTTTAGAGTGTTTCAGTTAATACATTAATATATTTACGAGTACATTTAATAATACATTTAGAGCAAAATCAGTTGTTACAAATTGGCTGAGATATGGCCACATTAGAACAGGCTTTTTTACCGTCAAATCACTAATATTGTCTTGGTTCATATTATGAACCAAGACAATGCCTCGAACAAGCGCCCCTTCAAATAAGAGCCCCCCCTCGAAAAAGCGCCCATCCTTCAACCTTCAGAAACGGCGCTTATTCGAAATTTTAACGAAAACATAATTGGAAGGCAATTCAACAAGAAAGATTAATGAACAACACAGTTTGCACCCAAATCTACTTTTTAAATAAGCGCCCCCTCGATTAAGCGCCTCCTTCGAATAAGCGCCCACTTTAGAGCCTCAAAAATTAAATAAGCGCCCGGGCGCTTATTCGAGGCATTACGGTAAGTCAGACCAGAATAACAGTAATCCATTAGCAAACCTGAAATCTTCCATTGGCCACATCCAGGGACGCCGGAGCGACCAAGAGGCGGTGGAGGGAGCAGTCTTGAGCTAAAGGGCCACATCAAACCAGATTTTGAATATATTAAACTGGTTTTGTATATTGGGACTTATTCTGTGCTGCTCTTTCAGAGTAATGGTCAAAAAGAAAAAATTCCAAATGCAGATGACGTCACACCTCGATACTCTAATTGAGCCTCGGTGCTATAATGTTAGTTAAAGAGTGTAATTTCAGTTAACTACACTCATTTATTTTTATAAGAATCTCGTTATAAACCAGGGGTCAGAGGAGGCGTAAAACCCCTGGTAAAGATCAACTTCTAATTTGTCTGGAAACTTCTGATTTTGTCAGAAATATAACACGGTTGCCTATTTTATATCTAAGCGTAACATTTCGAAAGGGAAGATTTTACAGTTGAAAATAACGATTTCTTCTGTTGTTTTGAATCAGATTGCCAATCTTCTTCTTAAAAAAAATCTTCAAGAAGAAGGCTTCATGACATTCAACTACAACTATAATTAGAAGTTCATCTTCTGTTTTATCTCAGTCCCAATGTAGATGTTATACTCAAATTTATGAAACATAGAAATGCTTTTTAGATTTTTGTTGGGAAATCTAAATTTCTCGCCACCCCTATGCATTTCTCTAACGTCATTGCTGAGCTGAGTTTGAAGTTCCCAAAAGCGTTTTAGGGATGTTGTGCTGGGGAGTCTCTACCCCCTTGCATATGCAAAAAAGCAGCTATTTACTCTTATTTTCTGTGTTTTACAGTGAGATCTTTCCCTCCAGTTCTTTGTATACTTGCAAACCTTCTTGAGTGTCATTCTCATTTCTTTGTTTAAAAATTTTCATGATTGAATTTGTGCAAATATACAAATTGGATCCATTTGAAGACAACAGTAAGTAGCCAAATTTACAAATTGTAAAAAATAGCAAAATCTTTTTAAATGCAGATAGAGAATAACAATTCCAAAATGTTTCAAGGGTTTAGCATTTGTACATGTGACAAGTAAATATCACTTTTCAAACTAAAAACATTGCTTCCAAAAATGACTGAAGGTGAATGATGATACAATAATAATTGCAGAAAAAAAGCAGAAAGTCCTTGAAAAGCAGAAAAAAACAGACAACCTCCCCCCTTTGAAATTGACCCATTACCAGTCAAGTAACCTTTAATTCTAATTTACAAACAAAAGTACAGCTTTGCAGAGTGATCTTAAGAAAAAGCAGGCAACTGCTAAGGAGCAAGCACAAGTTTTTCCACGGATGGTTGTTTACATTACTGTACTCTCCTCACTGTTGGGCACACTTTCCCTTGAAACGACTTGTTTTATGTTGTGCTCCCTGGGAAAAGCCAAAAGACAGACTACCACTTTGATATAACTTGGAAATTAGCAACTAGAGACTATAGGCAGGGAGACAATTGAGTATTGCTTCATTTTCATATTACAATGACAATGACAGAGCAATTAACGGTATGATTTTTGGTAGCGAGCACGAGCTCCAGGTCCTCCAAATTTCTTGGCCTCACAGCGCCTTGGATCAGCAACAAGAAGAGAGCGATCATATTGGACCAGAATGTCCTTGATTTCTTTCTTTGATGCCTCATCAACAACTGTAGAACAAAGAAAACCAGATGCAGAAATTAGTTCCTGTTAGAATTCTTCACAACATAGTTATATAATACTGCAGACAGGGCAGGGGTGCAATGGGACTTGCCATTTAGAGGCCTTGGAGAAGGCAACATTTTCCTACAACTGAGACAAAATAGAATAATTTCTATGTGGTCTTTAGTCCCCCTGTCCTCTGTGTTGCTGATTGCTTGATATGATAAATCTTTACAAATTATAACTATTGAGATATAGCAAATTTCATGATGATACAAAAGTCTTGAACATGTCATATTCTGTTAATAATACCACATGGATGCAAGAGGATGAAACAGCAGAAAGTGATTTTAAGCTTTGGAAAGATTTGCATCAAAAGCATCTTCTTAAGGTAATGCTTAGAAATAGAATAATTGACAAAAAGATACATAACTGCAAATAATTTGCTGAGCCATGCAATTGAAATATAAACTTTAACAAATCTTCCTTTAAAGCATGCTAAAACTATAGAAAATCAAATGAATAAACTCATCAATTAATATAGAGAGGATATGAGTTTCAACTGGGTGGGTACTCACATTTCTGATAAAAGGCAACCAATGACTTTGAAATAGCTTGCCTGATGGCTATAGAAAAGAAACAACATTGTCTTACAAGAGGAAATAAAACAGCAATCAAACATAAATTAGCCGCAAAGCAACACAACTAAGCAGTAGCACCATGTCAGTATTCCTTAAATTTAACAATGACAGGTTCCCTCAAGGATAAGATAGGGGTCTGGTTTAAACAGGATGGGTGGAGAAGTCTTCACAATAACAAAAGCAGGGTGCATGGCTAGCAATCCCTTAATAATTGAAATCAAAGGAATATAAAATAGATGGTGGCTTCTTAAAAAATAAAAAAATGTGTTTATTACATGACAGTAATTGGAGATCCCTCAATACTTACACAGCATAAAAATACTTATATATATAAACATATTCAATAGCTCCTAACTATAAAATATCAAATAGATGTTTGGCTATAAAACAACTTGATTAACTCATGATAAATGGTTAGATCTAATGAAAGTGGATATAAAGCTAGATATGGTAGAAAATTAAGTTAGATATGATGACTGGGAATAGGTACATTTGCTTATTTTCCTGTCTTTTTGGGTCTATCATTAAACATTTTATGATTCACTTCTGTGCACATTCAAACATTAATGCTGGATAAAAGAATTAAATCCCTTATATATAAAAAACATTATTTGGATGCAGCATGTTGCAATTCAATTGCGAGAGATATAAACATAAAAAGCAAGCAGCAGATTGAAACCATAACACAGATGTTGGCAAGGGCTAACAAATATTTGCAACAAACTTACCATAAAGCTGTGAGACATGTCCACCACCTTTGACTCTCACCCTGATGTCAACACTAGAAAATCTCTCCTTACCAAGCAATAGAACTGGTTCCATTATCTAGCAAGAGCACAAAATTTATTGAACAGTGCCTAGAAGTAGAGCTATTAGAACCAGGAACAACCAAACCAAAGATAAACTGGTAAAATAGCACTAATTTGTATGCATATACAACATGGGGAAACCTGTTATAACCGACCCATCAGCAAACTTTTAGTGGCCCTTAGACATTCAAAATTAAATAATCAAAGAAAGGTAGACAAATAAACTTTCTGTTTGTGCCTATATCTCTCTATGTAGCTGATGTGTAAAAGAGGGCAAACTTAATTTTAAGAAGTATGATTCTTCTCATTTGAATGTTCAATTTATTTTTATTCTAATGCTTAATTTGTTTTTTTTTTCTCTTAAAGTATTTCTATAGTAGGGTTAAAATCGAATGCATAAAATTGTCAGGCAATCAACTTCTTAACATAATCAGTGTCATTTAATATCAAGATCTTGACTATTGTTCCAAAACAGTCATTCTCAACATATTAGATATGCCTTTACTTAATGCATAAAAGCACATAAGATAGAAATCATCTTTAGCTAGAAATTGATTCATTCAATCAATCATGATGGAAAACCAAAATCAAAAGAAAAATCCATGCAATAATCTCCAAACATAGTTTCAGAAGAGTCAGGGACAAAATCATTTGAATTGTATGGTGCATTTTATGGAGAAGGCTTAGCCTAATCTTTTGACAAGTGAGAAGCAATATGTGGTTGAAATTGAGTCCTAGCATGTAACAGATAAATTTAACCAAGCATATTAACTTATGATCAATGCTGCTCACACCATGGTGCCAAAAATATTTTCTGTGAAAGTAGATTCCAGTCCCTATATTAATCTCAGTCTTAATCATGGTTTGTCTTAAAAGCTCAGCTGCTAAAAAAATTCTGATCGTGAGTGGCTGAGATTTCTGTGAGATGGTGAATGTGAATAATGTGCACAAAGAATTTCTTTCCAATGGAAAGAGACTAATTCCCACAGTCCTTTGTCAGCTCAAATTTAGCTGCTTACAGGCGAGTTGAAATAATATTTTCTCCTAATTTGACTTAACCTATGTCACCAGATTTTTATATTTACTTTAACACTTTCTGCTAACATTTTCATCTAGAAAAACTTCTGGGAGCTACGTTCCCAAGTTCAGATGGAGACTTTTTCCACCTCTGATGTGGAATATTTTGTATCTCTGGTATTGAAGATCATTTCCAAAGGAAAAGGACCAAAATCTCAGCAAGAATTTGTTTTTGGAAGGAGCTTCCCTTACAGATGAAGTTTATTAGCTTTAAATTTGTTACAAATTCAGACAATGGGCATGTAGATGCACACTTCAACTAGTGGCTTTGACCTGGCTGGTCTGATTCTAACAAGCTGGCTAGATAGAAGCACTATAAAGAAAATAGCTCCATTTCTAATACAGGACAGATCAGAATTTAAGCACATACAGGGAAAAATATGTTCTCTTGAAATTTTAGCTAAATTCATTTCAACTTTGGCTATAGGAAGGAAATATGTTATCTGGCCAGATAACCTGTAATATTTTTTCGATCCAATCAAAGTTGCTTTCTGGTCCGACCTGCTTCTCCTTGGTATGGAATGTTGTAAATTTGGCTGAAAAGTGGCTGTCCCTTACATATCAAGTTAACAGATATAAATATTCCTCCAGTCATACATAAATATTTGGAAAACTCTGGATACTAAAACTTTTCCAGCCATGCACATACTTTTGCTTTCTAGGCAGGGAGAAAATGTAGCTCGCAGTGGATAGATGGAGTAATAGAGTGCAGCATGAAATTGATAATAAGATTTTTTACAAAGTAAACAAACCTTCATACTGAGTGTTTGAGGCTGCACAAGGTGGATTGGCACACCATTTACTTTGATCAGGCCATTGCCTCTTTTGCAATATGCAACAGCAGTTGCAGTTTTCTGATGACAAAAGAAAATCAGGTATTAAAATCAAAGAGAACTCGTTTTGGATGAAAGTTAAAGAACCTATACTATGCAAAAACGCACAATCCAATAAGGTCACAATATATAATTGTGTTCCAGCAAAACTTCATTATCAGATTTTAAAACATCCTGTTCATGATTTACTCAATATTCAGATTACATTATGGCGATCGTTCTTTAAAGACGTTGATGTTTATCACCATTCACCAAAATAAAACTAAATTGCTCTATTTGCTTAAGGCTATCAATTTCCAGAAACGTAAGTTAAGATGAACTTAAAGACATCATAACTACAAAATCTAACAATTAGCAAGTTTCAGGCCAGGTTTTTACCTAATAATCCTATTAAACAGTTGTACACTGCATATAGCGGGCCTAAAATCTTTTAGGCCAGATCAAGAAATTCGAAATTACCAACCTTTCTTCCGAAAACTTGAACGGACTGATTATGAGCCATGTTGGAAACTAAAAATATACAGTAGGTAAGAGTTTCTTATCGGATATAATCAACAAAAAAGATTCATCTAAACCGAAATTTTGTGTATCATTCATTAGAGATACTTTGGCATACCGTGGCGACACTTGGATCACGGCGTAAAGAAAGAGCATGGTAGATTCGAGTCGACTCGGGCCCAGATCACCTGTCTCCTCCGCAGCCCAACACAGTTAGCGAAAGACCCATCTCATTGGGAAGACCGAAAGAAAAATGTATTACATTAGTTTTTATACAAGTATTCAGGGGTTCGCCAAAACGGGGGGTGCGGGGGCGCTGTACCCCCAAACACTTTGTCCGTCGGGACAAAAAGGATTTTTTCAGAAAAAAGGAAGAAGTAATTTCTCACCCTGTAGTATAATTGTAACTTTTTTGCGATAATGGCATTGTATCAACATTCCTGTAGCAGTTGAACTTTCAACGTATGGCACTTAAGTATAAATTTTACCTGTCCCAAAAGCAGCATATAAAATTACCTGTCTTAAGACCACACCCTTAACGAGTGAAACACGCCCTTTTTTACGCAAAAGTCACTCCTGTACCCCTCGGGAAAAAATTGGCCCCGCCTCTTTAAGATACTGGAAAATTAAAAAAATGAACAAATTGACTATTTTAAGTTGTCATTTTCGTGCATGTTAGTTTTTCGTGGGCTTTTGGAACCCTTTGAAGAATTGGATCATCTTCTACGCCCCCTGATTCCTGGTCTCTGGGGGAAGCAAGTGCCCCTCCAGCCACCAAGCCATTGATCAATATGATTGCTACAAGGAGTTGATCTTGAATTTTGAAAAACATTATGGCAGCTTTTACTACGAACACAAATATACCTTTTAAGGTTTTATAGGCTGCCAGCCTCGTATCCCCTTACTCGATATACTATTCTTCTTTAACCACGAGCCAAGCTCAAATTTCTGTCCAGTTTCAGGCACTTTCAAAAATCAGGGGTACCTGACACACACAGGCGTCCAACCAGTGGCGGAAATTCAGGCTTTCGTTTGGAGGGAGGCCCCCCAGGCCTACGCGTCTAATTTTAAAGAAACTACACATTTTGATAAAAATATATGATTTTTTGACGGGACCCTTTAGAAATCTTTTCTGATAACGCTATAGTTAAGTAGCAAGAACAACAATCCATTTATGATATCAAGATCGATATATAATTTAAGACAATTGATGATACAAGAGGTCGACCGATCACACTTTTGACAAGTCTTACGTTCATTTTATGCATTTCATCTTGTTTTCGTCAGATGGAAATACGTTTAAAAATTATGTTTATTCGGAAGAATGCGATGGAAATTTCGGTTAATCTTTACGGAATTGAAATTAAATTTACAATTCACATGCAGTTTTAGATTTTGGTCAGATATTGTTTATTGATTATTTAGTACTGGCTAATATTTCACCAGCAATGCTACGTTCAAATTTTGCAAAAAGGGCACAAAAAGGTTATCGAGGTCCCTGGGGTCAAAAGGGAAAACGCAGAAAATTTACGCCCTTTTCAATTTGGCCATTACGCAATTACGAAATTTGGCAAAATCCTATTCAGAACGATTTCTTGGAGTAATTTCGACACGTTAAACGGTTGTCAATTATCCGATGATAGCCCGAATTTCGGGCGGCCCGAGCCCCCCCCCAAACCCCCATAATTCCCGCCACTGCATCCAACGAAGGAGGCCAGGTGCCATTCTCAACATTTTTGCCAAACAAGAATTTTATGACAATATTTTTGGTTTGCATATTTTGTTTGCCCAAAAACCCTTTCCTGTATTTGATACCTAGAAAACACAAGAGTAACATCACTTTTTAGCATCTAAATTTATTCTATTTGGCAAGTTGACCCAAAATAGAAGACGGACCCCTCCCCCCCACTCCGTGTCTATGTGCTAACTGACCCATCAAGGCCTGGTTTGATAGTTTTGTCCCTTTTGCTTGCATCTTGAACATGTTCAAATCACATGGTCAATTTTTGTTTTCGGGTGCCGGGTGGGTGCTCTTCCCCATGTTCCCATCTAGAAAGTGTTGCAGCTGCACATCTAAGTTATAATTTCAACTTCATTTCAAAAGTTACCAAATTATAAGATTGTAACATGCTCATCCAGCAAAAATGACCCATTCTCTAAAAGTGTCCACAGGGCTGCCACTGTTGAGACGGGCCCTTGAGCAAAAGCCCATTTTGGGGCAACGCCCTGTTTTCGTTTCCAGAAAAGCCCTTGCTCTGAATTTGAAGGTAAAAACGGGGTTTGTACGTTGCTTTTTAGCGTGGTTAAAATGTTCTTTTTCTAAACCTTTTTCACGAACATTCGGCCTGGTTTTTTTTTTTTTTATACAAATTAGGTATGGTTTCAGTGTTACAAATTAGAACAAATTTCAACTTATTACCCATTGATTTGCAAAACCTTTTACAGTACCACTTTACGAGCTTTTTAAAGGCGAAAGCTTTGATTACATCAGTAGAACCAATCTTTTTAGCAAAATCAATTTGATTACTCAGCAAAGCAAAGTCATTCAGTCGCCCCTGCATCATTGTTGGAGGGACCGTTCCTTGTTATTTTGACGAACCTACTTAGTTAGCCTGCGTTCAAGAAATTTGAAAAATGTCTTAACATAAACAACACAGAATTGTATTCAAATACTTCAAAATTCATTTCGGGTTTTTCGGGACCCTAATGGGAGAATGCCTTTCCATTTATGGGAGAATGCCTTTCCATTTATGGGAGAATACCATTTTTGTAAAATTTTCTTGAATATCACAACATTTTCAATCCCATTTCAATACCCTAAACAATAAATAACCAAGAGAGATGTTTCAAGATATAAAATTTTAAGGATTCTCCCTAATATTTGGTTTTCTTTGAAACTTTGTTTTCACTTCTCAGACCCCAAATATTGAATTTTTCTCAAGCTGTAATTGTCAGACCCTAAATATTGAATTTTTCTTAACCTTTGGAAACCTCCAGTGGTTGTTGCGATTTTAAAGGGGTTTCCGTATTAGCATAATTATGGATGGTGACAAAGATTTACTTTATCAATTTGAAGCAGAGAAACGCTTCTATTTTCCATAAAATGTGAATAAAATGTTTCCCAATGAGAGGCATTTTTTGTTGGTCAAATTACAGTATTTGTCTTTACGATTACAATTATCAAAAATGTGATAACTATAACACGAATAAAGGGCAATAATTTCTTAACCACACATTTTGCTATTAAACTGCTGGTAAAAATCTTGGCACAAAATAAATTGTGCATAACAGTTCATTCTTTTAGTACTTAAATAAGGAAGAGATGACTGAGAGGAGAAGAATGAGCGTATCCCAAAATATAGTGACAAGAAAAACAAGTTCCTGCAAATGTACAGTTTGTAACAGTTCCAAGGAAATCAGACAATTTCTTTCAAACAACACTGTTTGGATCTTGCCCCATCTTATTTGTAACCTGAAACAGAATTAAACAGAACAATAAATATAAAGTTTACATTGAAACATGAAAACAAACAGCAACCATCTTATGATATACTGTGAATTTAATAAGCTATTAGTTTAAATTTTTAAACACCAAAGGTCAAAGATGCAGCAAAATAATAAAAGGGTGTTTGTTTAATATTTAAATTGTCAATATAGCTTGTTTGTCAGACCAAAGTTTCAAAATTTGAAATCAAACTGCTTACCCAACTTATCCCTGGCAAATTTAAAATATGACCAAGAACTGGAACTCTCCTTAAGAAATTGATAACAACTGGAAAGAAACCCCTAAAAGAAATATGTAAAAAGCAATATTTACAGGATGTCTTTAGACAACAACAGAAAATTCGAAATGGCCAGTACAACAAGGACCTTAATTGTGCTATTCTTCAAGCAATTATAAATAATTTCTGAAAACTTAAATGATCCAAATGCACCCTGCTCCTAAGAAATTTATTTTTCAATCTTCAATTGTTCATTGAATCATCCTGATATAAAATAAGCAAAATATGCATTCCATTCAACCCAGAAGCAGCAACCATTCATGTATCACCCACACTTGCTGGTAGTGAGTAGTGAGTCTGGTCCAATACTGATGTCAATCATATGAAGAACCATATACCAATGTAAATGGATTAATGGCTTTTATGCTGTAAATCACTGTTCAAAATCATTATTGGTTTACATTTAAATTCATATATATGTATATAAAGTGTCAAAAAGTGTAATTTCTGCAATTAAATCTAAATTGTAAGTATCTATCAGCAGATTTTTGCATAAAATCTACATAAAATTTTATATAATAAATATATTGCAGGAAACATACCTAAATAAAAGTATGAATCCATAGATTTCAACAAGCATCCCAACAACTGGCCACCCAAGCAAAACAACCATTACTCCACCAAGAAATAATGCACTTCCTTTCAGTTTGTGTTTTTGGAAGAAAAATCTGAAAGTTCTTTCTAATCCTATCACCAATGACAAACCAGATATGAAGAGAATCTAGAAAAGTAAGCAATACAGTTGTAGACTACAAACCTATAACAAGGTATCATAAATGAAAGCAACATAGAATCAACTTTAAGAACAACAGAAAAAGATAATTAAGCTTACATTTCCAATGGCCAGGAGCCCTCTGTCAAAAAATAACATCATGCCAAGGAAGAGGAACAGGAGTCCAAATCCGGTTACACCAATCCCGATTTCTGAAAAAATGGAAAGATCAAATTCATCCAGTCTGCAGCAACTAAATTTCATAGAAAAAGCACAATTTCATTGCAATGGTTTAATCACAGCTATAAGCAAACAAAATCATATTCTCTGTTTTAGCTGGACATTATTGATTTTGCGCCTAATAAATTAAATACACTTGTCAAAAATGGACCTCAGACTTGAAATCATCATGTTGAATTAGTCTATACTGACAATTTAATGCTGTTTGAAACATGAGTTGCTCTGTTTTGAATAGTTACATATTATAAAGATTTGACTGAAATCAAATCTGAAATTTGTAAATTAATTTTTCTGCACAGGGAATGTCTGATATTCAATTTTGCAGATATTGAATGTGTCATGAAAAATCATTCACAGAATTTGTTGCAAATGCTTTCGAAGATATTTTGAATTCTTTGATTCTCTTGCAGTTATCAGTCAGAACTCTAAACAGTGGAATTTTTCAGGGAATATAACCACAAAAAACAAGTAATGTGTGCGGAATCTATAGCAGATTCTTAATAATGTGCAGGCAGAATGAAGGATGAAAACTGAATGTTTCCCACCGAGACCAAACTTTCCAGTCTGATGGTAGTCCAAATGACATGAAATTTTTGGCACAGACTAATGTCAACACAATGATTCAAATTCTATGATCAATTTTTAGCAAATATGAAAATAAAAAATTACACCACTAACACAGAAAATATATTTTCAAGAATTTCGAACATCAAGAAAAGTCCAGAATGACAATAAACAACAAGATAAAAACAACATCACAAATTGTTTTCAATAAGAATGAAAAATGCCTCTCCAAACGACAAGTGCTTTAAAAGCATAAGGTACTTGGTTGCTTTATTGCAATTGTGTTGTGTAACACAATACCCCAACACTTCATAATCAAAAGTTTGTAAATAAAAGTTGTATTATAATTATAGGTGATAATTACTTTGGTAGTCGCTAATAGGCAACATCTTTGGTTATTTCAAGTGTCTCCGTCTTGAAGAAAGTCTCTACGTTGTCTTTTTGGTTAAAGTATGATAAGAGCTAAACCTGGAGCTCAAACTGATCTTTTAGTTTTAGGCCCGAGGCAAACTATCGTTGATTCACGCAATGTCAACGTTGAATGGATCTTTCTATTCCGGAAAGTAATCTTTGCTTCGTCCTCTTCACAGTCAGATTATAGCTTGTTAATCTGTGTCCATCTTATTGCAATTTTTTTAAAATAAACTCAGAACTCTGCCACGAAAATGGCCTTGTATTCACAAACCATGATCATTTGCTGCTGCAACAACATCAACAACAATTACACGAAAGTCAGGCCACGTCCTATGTCGCTGGGCTCCTTCGCAGAGATCTTTGTAGGAAGCGAAAACAAACTGGGAAGGAGATTGAGTTGCCTTGCAAATGGTGGCTAGCGGAGAATTATAGAAATCTCGTGCCACTCAACACAGACTTTATAAAAAGGTTATTGGTTCAAAAATCACCATCGATTTTTGAAAAAGGAGGCTTGTTTTCAATCATAGACTCGTCGAATTCAATGCTTCGATAAGATGGCAAATGCCAGTAAAAAGATCCAAGAAGGCCTTGGTCACATCAAGGAGGCTGAAAAGTATTTGAAAACAAGCTTTTTTAAATGGTCTCCAGATTATGACAGTGCTGCAGATAGGTATCAAAAGGCAGCCACTTGCTTCAAGGTTGCAAGATCATACGACAAAGCGAAAGATGCGTTTATTAAAACTGCAGAGTGTCACGAGAAAAACAACCAACTTTTTCATGCTGCCAAATCGTTAACTGAAGCAGGAAATATCAGCATCGAATCGAAAAATCTTGATGAAGCTATAAGACTGATGGATAAAGCAAGCTTATTATACAGAGAAAATGGAACTCCAGACACAGCCTGTATAAGTCTCGTAACAACGGCTAAAAAGGTAGAATTTACAGAGCCTTTGAAAGCAATGGAGTTATATGAAAAAGCTGCAGTTATTGCAGAGGATGGTGACAAAATCAGAGAAGCTGCAGGACATCTTAATAATGCATCGAGGTTGCTGGTAAAGAGCAAGCAGTATCGAAAAGCTGTTGATATTGTGAAACGTCAAATTGAATTATACACAAAAGTTGATAATTACCCATCTATTTTTAACCTTGTTTTGGGTCTGGTTTTGTTATATCTGACTGAAAAAGATTTAATTGCTGCTGAAAACTGTTATCAAAGTTCATTTGAATATCAAGGCTTTGGTGCATCTGATTCTGCAGAGGCCATTGAACAGCTCATAGAAGCTTATACCAATGGTGATGATGCTGCAATGAAAACAATCACCTCAAAGCCAATTATAAGTTGTCAGGACACTGAATTTGCTAAATTGGGAAAGATGCTCAGGGCCCCAAAGGCAGACGATGCATTTGATGAGTATGCTGGAAATATCGGGGAAGGAGAAACTAGAGACCCCCCAAAAGGAGCTTCTAGCAGTGAAATTGGTGGTGGCGAAATAGATCTTTGTTAATGTGCGGCTGAGAAACATTTCATGTCAACTATTTGTTGCTTCAGTTAATTTATTGTTGATATATGGTCATTTTGCTTTTGACAATTAGCTTTATTGTGACATAGAAAGAAGAGGACATTTTTAATTTCATTACAATTACATGCATAAAAGATATGAATAGTGGAGATCTTTACTGCATTCCAAATTGATAGATACCATAGCCGCAGTGCTTAAAGTAATTTCGGGTATTATCATATATGTGTCATAACCTTGAGCTATTAACAAGTCTCAATTAAATATTTTTCTATTTAAGAGTTTTTTCTACCCATAATTCTGTGCAGATTAGTAATCCTGTAGACTCATTAGTTCTGTTGTGCTCTGTTAAAGTTCCATTCACATGTCTAGCCATGCATTTGGGAATCCACAAAAACAGTTGTTGGAGTAATTTCTAACTTAATGTGATTATCTAACTAATGAAATTGAATTTGAATTACATTTTATTAAAATTAATTGTAAATTGAATATGAATTAAGATTAATAATTACTAATATTTATTTACCTTAACAACAGCCATTTACTCTGATAATAAAAATAATATTAATAATTATATAATAATACAAATATTTGAACAGGATACAAGCTTCAACATAAGTATTGCTGTCTTCAATGTTTGTCCTGCTTAAAAGAAATGAAAAGAAATGTTAAAAGAAAAATTTACAATTTCATAACTATGAATAAATAACATGTTAAAAGTCTATGATGAATTTTAAAAGCCTTGTTTATCAAAGCTACTTCATTTCAAAAACATATCCAGTTTTTCCTTAAAAACCTTTTTGTTTTCGGTAGTTATTACGTCTATAGGTAAATTGTTGTATAATTTTTCCCCCATGTAATAAAATCCCTTTCGCGCATGTTCAGTTTTGATCCGTGGCAAAGTGGCTATGCATGTGTTGCTTCTTGTGGTCTTGATGTGTGCATTTGTTGTGATGTGATTCGGCAAGGCATCTCATATATCATTATTCAAGATGTTAGGCACCAGGACACAAGCTCGTTTTATATTCAATTTTTCAGGTAACAGAACATTGCATTCCTTTGAGCCCCCCGCCAATTATTCTCATGTCACGCTCATGAAGACCATCTTTCTCGACTGACCAGTTGTTGGTTTCAGGTTTAAAATCCCACAATATATAACAATAGGTGCAATCATAGAGCGATAAAATTTACAAGCCATTGTGCTGTCCAAGAAACATCTTAGTTTCGATAGCAGACGTAATCTGCCAGAAGCTCGTTTGTAGCATAGTTCAAAGTTGGTGCTTAGATTTAAAGTTGAATCGATTTCCACTCCCAAGTATCTATACGAAGTAGTAGTATTGATTTTCGTCCCTTTGTATCAAACACATACTACTTCACCCTGTCGCTTCAGACGTTGGGCAGCCCCAAAAACCAACACCTCTTTTTTTCCTTTTTTCACATTTAGAATCAGTTCATTCTCATCCATCCATTTTTCAAGGTTTTTCATTTCATTTGTAAGATTTTGCTCAGATTTGTAACATCTTTATCCGCCAAAAAAATAACCGTATCATCAGCATATTTGACAATGCTGGTCTCAATTACATCGGTTATGTCGTTAAAGAATAAAACAAAGAATAGAGGTCCAAGGATTGAGCCCTGTGGAGCACCAAATTTTAAATGCTGAGCTTCTGACAGGATGTCGTTGTAGCTCACTTGTGCTGACCGATTAAACAAGTAGTCCTCAAACCAGGTAAATTCTTTGCCGTCAATGCCATATGATGGGAATTTGGTCACCAATTTGGAATGGCAGATGGTGTCAAAGGCCTTACTAAGATCAACAAACACAAAGTCGACTAGTTGCCCTTTGTCCACGTTTGTCCTGATATCATCTAACAGTAGTGTTGCTGCTAGTTCTGTTGACATTTTTGCTCTGAAGCCAAATAGCTTTTTGTTTTTCCTGGATAAATCGATTTCATAGTCTTCCAGAATTGGCTTAGGTCGCCAGTTTAGTTTACCCGCAAAAGATCTTTGTCGTACGATGCCTTTGCTCGTCTTATAGCAATATTCGCTTCTTTTTCTACTCTGTCTTATTTTTATAAAACTCTGTATGTGGCGATGTCCGAGACTTTTGGAGGAGCTTGTCTCTTTCTTTCATAAGTTTCTTTACGTCATCAGTTAGTCAGGAGGCTAATTTCCCCCTAACTCTCTTAATGATTCTAGGAGCATGCTTGTCAAAAACCTCAAAGACAATATTTTTCATTTTATTCCAAGCCTCGTTTACACTTCTGGAATGGAGAACAGGGTACCAGTTTTGCTTTCTCAGATCTTCAGTCATTTCTTTTGGGCTGTACTTTCTGTAGTCTCGACACTTGATAAATCTTGTTTTGAATTTTGTCCCCGATACCTGTTGGGATTACGTCATGGTGTTCGATCGTGGCAGTGTTATTTGTCGTAACAATGTTAATACGAGTTTCTGTGGTGTCGCAGATTCTGGTTGTCTTTCGAACAATTTGCTTTAAGGCTGGTTTTCATATAACGTATTTCGACGCATTTAAACTTAGATTTAAACTCTTTTCCGTCCCCAGAGACTAGATAATTCACATTTACATCTCCAATGAGTATCGTCTCCAATGACGACTCGCAAAATTTTCTTAACATTTCATCAAAAGAATTGTTTAAATTTTTAGGCAGGTGTTTTGATGAATCTGGTGGGCGATAAATGACGCCAATTAAGTATTAGCTTGACTTTACTGGTTTCATTTCCAGCCAAATTCATTCTATTTCATCATGTTCGAGATCCAGGCGCCTATTGCAGGTTATTTTTTGCGAGATGTACGCTGCTGCTCCACCCCCTTTCCCAGCTTTCTTGGTTTGTTTACAAATGAATATCCAGGTATAGAAAACAAAGCCTCAGGGTCCTCGTCCGTTTTTCCCTGCTGAAGGTGTGCCTCGCTCAATGTTAATACATCCATATTCGGGAAACTTTTCAATATCTCAACATTGATATTTGTTCCAAGTTACTAAACAAAAACCATTAGCAAATAAGGGTAGGATAGTCCTCAGAATGTTTTACCATTGTCAATCATAAGACTGAAGGTGGTGTTCTCTCATCATTTGAACCATTTATTTTTGGGCTGTCGGTGCGCCAATTGCAAAGACGGCCATAAATAAAACCCCAACCGTTTTTTTTGGGGGGAGGGGGGTTGAGAAGAAGAACAATGGCCTTCTTCCGCCGACTAGCAGCACCTTGTTCATGCAAAAAGTCGCAAGCTATACGGCCATTAACTAATGCACGAAAAAAAAGTAGAAAGTCAACATGCATGTAAATAAAAACCCCTGAAAATTTCTAGACAAGGGTTGGGTGGGCAGGGTCGCAAAGGAAAAACCTTTCCTCTCCAAAGTCCAACTTCAATTTGTCGTGCAACGTGTGAGAATGAAACAGTGCTAAGACAAAGTTTATATACCCAAAGCCAATGCACATTTGCACGCTGGTTGCTTTAGCCGTATCAAAAAAACACAATGTAAAGCTTACTCGAGCACTGCTATAATAAACACAAACTTCACAATTGTGCAATCTGTGCCCAAAAACAAAAGCCCAAGGGGCACCTAAAAGGCGTACCCTGTCACATATTAAACGTGATTAAATTTCATTTAATCAAGCTATATGGTCAAAGTTTGACGATAGGCAACGTACATTTTGGTGAAATATCTTGACTCCTTTTTTGAAAGTAAGTCTTTCCAGCTCTGGGTTAAATCTAGTACTTTGACTTGGACCCGGGCAAGGCTCGACGTCTCCACACATCAACAACAATAGGCCTAAAAGGGTTGAGTTTGAACATCTCACATCAAAGTTGAATCTGCCACCACTTGACTGCCATAAACTAAAGAAAATGTAAGTCTCACCAGCTGGTTTGAGTCTTCGTCATAATGATACCACTGGAGACGAAAGCAGCCTTTCTTACTCGGAAGCAGATGACCAAAAGGGGAGCGATGAAAAACGCGTGCTTCACAACAGCCATCTTGCCTCACATCCTGTGTGCTGGGGTGAAATATCAGTGCTTATAAAATTCAATTTATTCTAAAATTCTATTTCACTACATTGAATTCTCATTACCGTGTTGCTCTGTTTCTGACTATTTTTCGTATTTTTACTCTTTGCAAGATTCACAGAGTCCGGCACATCCTGCGTTTCTTCCTTTTTGCACATAATATTTGGTAGCTCTGTTTACTCTATGCATCTCAAACCATAGCCCCTCAAAAGGGGGGGGGGCGTCAACGAGTCTACCCCTAGTTGACAGAAACTGGTCAGAATTTTATGAATTTGAAAATTTGTTCTTTATTTATTTTCCATTCTTAGAATTCACGGAATTTTATCTATATGGAGACCATGAAGAAAGAAATCCGTTTAGAATTAAGATAAAAAGAATTATAAATCAAAGGACTGACATAACTCAAGTATTTTTCCATGAAGGTACAAAGTGCTTTACTTATAAAAAATAACGAAAAAATATGACATTGGATTAAAGTGACAAAACTTTTATAGAAGCTACGAACCTATTATATGTCCTGCCCAATATAATTATAAAAACTGTAAGGAAATTTTATGTAGCAAGGATATTGTGACTATGATGGCAAAAAAATGACAACAAACTTTCAGTTTAATACAACGATAATGCTAGAAGTCATTCAATTCTTCCTACATAACAATGTCCAAATGATTGTAAATTAGATAACGAAAATGACAGTGAATTCATTGAACATGAAAACGTAGAAAATCCACGTAAAAATTAGTCTGAAGCAACGCAAGAAGAATGCAAACAGTGTTGCGAATTAGACGGCTTGATTTGCAGCAAGGAGGTATGCAGCAAGGAGGTATGCAGCAAGGAGGTATGCAGCAAGGAGGTATGCAGCAAGGAGGTATGCAGCAAGGAGGTATGCAGCAAGGAGGTATGCAGCAAGGAGGTATGCAGCAAGGTGTCTGCGTGTTATGAGTCTTGCTATGAAGATACAACGGGGCCCTCGCGAAAAAATTCTCAAAAACAAAAGCAAAGAGTAGAAAATTGCGGCTTTTTAGAATTTAAAGGGGGTCAGCCCCCTGAGCCCCTAGCTCTACAACTCTAGTATTATAGGGGGGAGAGTATCAGGTATCGATTTTGCAGTTTTGGTTTAGTTCGTGCTTCCGTGCGTTGATTCAGACTTGTTTACAAAATGATATGGTAGTCATGATAAACATGATAAGTAAATACATCTTAAAACAGAGTCATAACTATTTTTTCATAAAACATTACTTTAAGTGCTCCTCTTTCATTTCCCCGGCAATCAATATCATCTTGTTTGCTGCGAGGTTGAGATAAAATGACTAGTGCAGATGAATCGAAATGCGTAATCTAAGAATTGTTTGAAAAAGAAATGTCATTTTAGTATATCATTGTATAACCTTTACACCTATATATGAAGTTACCAAGGAGATGAGAAGGGCCTATAAAGCAATTGTCACAGTAAAAGAATTTGACTGGCTTTGCCAGTTGGACAATTTGAATCTTACTGTTGCTGGAAGTTCAATAAAACCACGATATCGTCCAAATACGAATACATTTAACAAAGTAAAAATGAACCTCTTAAGGTTTATATAAGCTATTCTATTTACAAATATATACCATGAATTTGGGGCCAGCCAAACAACACCTATAAAATGTTACTTAAAAATGTTACTTGCTTTCACTTCAAGGTCAACGCGACAAAATTCTGGATTCTAGAGGCCTATTTCTAGGCCAACCAGACTCTAGTTTTGTTCACATTGATTGCGATGTGGCCTATGGAAAATGGCCCCTGTGAAAATCCGGTGCCTAGTTCTGCTAACGTTTTCGTATGGCCTTTAATTCAAATACTTTCTCAGTATAAAGCAGATATTTTGTAGAATGAAGAATATCCTACAATTTCATGGTAAATAAATACTGAGAGATAGCATGTCACATCAACAGCACTATGAAATGTCAAGATAGGCCCCAAATACACAATTTATTATAAAAATCTTGCTAAAATCTAGAAAGACCCATGTCCTTTCGGAGCCAATCTACTCTAGCACGTTTTCGCGCTATACCAATCGTCCAACGTTTTCTGGCAGAATTTGTAATGCAGTTTCTTTGGGACTGGGGTAAGTATTTCTTGCGCATAATAATGACGCAATGCTCGACTAAGACTTTCATATGTCATGTTATCGTTTTTCTTGTACATTCCCCACCTCTGAGCAACATTCTTCGATTGCAAAAGCTTGAAAACGCCATCTTCACGTGATACCCATGTGACACACTCGTCCTCGCTGTCCAGTAGCTTTAGCATGAACTGGTAAAGCTGAATGCTCTTTCGTGCTGTGGGCAAGGAAAATGATTGTTACATTGATAAAAGTGGAAGCAGCTAAAAAGGTATTATATGCGTCAAAAAGGTCAAAATTAACTTGAGCGTAACTTTTACCATGCTTGAGGCAATTCATTATATGTTACTTTTTCTGCTTAGTAAAACGCAATTTGAAATATCGGGGACTACTTAACATGTTTAGAGCGTTTTGTTTGTATTAAAAGTATTAGGGAAACAGACACAAAACTGTCGATTTTAAAAATCAATGTATTATATAACATTAAAGTACCTGATGCTCTTCTCTCGTATTTCCTCTTCTTCCTCTTAACTTTGTGCTGGGTTGGTGAAGCTGAAAACAAACAAGATATTTAGCTTTGCAAACCTCTGAAATCAAATCGAATGGTCTTGATTCTATAATGTAGACTCCTCATTTAAAATGTGCGCGGCTTTATGCTTATTTCGGGTCATTGACTTGAGGCAACAGACTAGCTCTTATCTCACTGACATGACTGAATAACAACAGGAGAGGTGGATGTAAGGACAGGCATTACAAACTGCATGATCGTGGAGAGAAAAAAACACTGCAAAACGGCAGCATACGAAGATCAACGAATGACACAACTACAGGACAGGACAGAACATCGCGTTGCCCACCGGCATGGAAAAAGAGCAAAAACCTCAACTAATAAACTGACTTATAACTGCAAAATTGTAAAGTGATTGTCTTCAGACTAGGAAGGTCTTCCCTGATCTCCTCCTCCTTTGTCCTACAAATTTGCAATGAATTAAATTCTGGCAAACCTACCTTTTATTGAACTTCTCTCGCCCTCTTCTACACTTTCGTCCCAGCTATCAGAATTCTCTTGTTTCAAGTCTATCTTTGCAGCTGACAGATGTTGTTGCTGCTCGATCTGCTTTTCTGGTTGTTCGTGTTCTTGTTGAAGTTTGTTCATAGTCCTGAAGTAAATGTTATTGTCTTTGTTGTTGCTGCTGTTTGTAACTGCGCATGTAGTAACTCCGCTAAACGGTGACAGGTGGTCTGGGTACGAATGAAAATTAGTTTCAAATAGGTGAAAACTACAGCCAGACATGAGATAAAAGTTAACTTAGAGGAAAGACAAAAAGTTTTCCCCGACCTGGTTATATTACATACCGAAGCAGTTTGTCCTGGATTCTCCAGCAGGTACAAAGGTGAAGCCTGATATACAAGAGCTCGTTTTAGCTACTTGAAATCCAACATGTTAGTTGAGTAAATAGAAGGTTTATTAGTCGTATAAAAAGGCCTTTGACTCACAATTTTGAATCAGACAGAAAGCTGTTACAAAATATTCTACAACCAAGGAACCTTATATAACTGGACTGTCTGTTTGGAAGCTAATTAGTCAATTATTGTTCTCGACAGAAAAAAAACCAAGTAGAATGGAGAAATTAGATAGGATATCGCATGAGAAGAGGATACTCAAATCTTTGGGTTGCCTAAAGCTCAATCTCAATACGCGCCAAACAAATCAAAACGGAAGACAATTCGAGTAACCATAGTTACAATTAAACCAAATTGACTTCCGTGTTCGTAGACATCGCCGAATGCCGACTTTATTGTCTGTTAAATGATATTAAACCGAACAAGAAAGTAGATTTCTACATCATCAGGGAGATCGAAAGTGAAGCAAGGGCCGAAAAGCGAGTTCTGCGAGAAAATTTCACCTTCATTGGCAACAAAAAAGCAGGTTGTAAAAAGGTTCATTCAGTGTGATAAACATAGATTGGAGTTTCATTTTCGGGGTTTAGAAGGCACTCGAACCAAAATATGCACAATCGGATTGAAAACTGAGGAAATTCCAAATGACACAGGTATCGAATCTTTGTCTTTCACTGTTAACAAAATGAAGGCATAAGTTCATAGAGGTTGATGGGGGCCCATGCATAAGCTTCCTTCTTCAAAACAGAAACTGAACTGGCAGTTGGCAGTCAAATAGCATCCAATCTGATTCTCTTTCACAATTTTAAAATATCAGTAGAAATCCTGAAGCAAGGCGCGATAATATCTACTAGCGTGAACATAGAAAGAGGGCTGCAGTGAAATGAAGTTTAAATAAAATTCACTGAAAGTTGAAACTCACATGTAAACTGCTCAAACTGCTCCGAGAAAATGCTTGTTGGCTTCTGCACAAAAAAATCTTGTCTCTTGTCAGACCTCAGGATGTCCTCAGTTTGGTACAAAAGCAGCTGCCTCAGCGTTTCAATATTATCAGCATTTAAGTCACCTCTCGTGAGTACAAACGGCTCATCTGCAACAGATACGAAAGTGGTCAAAACGATTTCACATACACTCCTGCGCAGTAATCGAATCTTTCCAGGAAATAGTTGCAAGATTGTTGCGTAGCCTTTTAGCCTGCGCAACGTTAGGAAAAATGTTCTTTTTCTTGGGAACAATTAAGAAGTAGAAAAGTAGATTAGAAGTAATCGATTTTTAAAAAGTTAAAGGCAAACAAGTTGAAATTCTACGAAGAACTGTCGCACTGAATTATGGGGTGCATCCTAAGTGCCCTCGCTCGCATTACAAAAAATCCACTTCAGTAAACAAAGTCAGCAGTATGATAGTCCCTTAATTACATTTTCATTAAACATTACAAAGATGTTAAACAGGCCACGCCCAACGACTTTCAAAACCATTATTAACTAGCTACACTAGCTACACTGCTTTCCACACATCAGCTCTCTTACAAGCCCTTTACAGCCCTCAACTGTTTACCAACGATCCACCGTAAGAATTGAATTTTGATAGGGGTTCTGTAGGCTCTTGGTTAATATTTGGTGCCTCTAGAAACCTTTTTACGTCATTCCTTTGGAGAATGAACTGGCTAGCAATGAATTCCCTGCAGACCGTACCAGGGCCCTCGCCACTGACCCTAAACTGGAGGGGCCAGCAATGCAAAGAAAGTTTCCTCATTCCCCCTTTAGTTCAATGTATTTGTTGTAACCTGAAGGTGTATCTATTTAAATACTTTAAGATGGCTTTAGACTTTTATTAAGCGAAAAAGTGGGGAGGTCATGGCCCCCCTTATGGCCCGGGCCCTGCTTACGTTACGGGAAAAGGAGCGTCTCTCTTCGTAAGAGGAACAACCTTAAGCAGCAAGTAGTACGGAGAACAACACCTCGAGTTCACGGTTTCTCTACTCTGAAATACACGCAAATCCCCCGCGGGGTTCTCCTATTAAGGCCTGACAGGGGGTCCAGTCCGTTTGAGGGTCTTACCAAATGGCCCATTTTCGATAATAACTGAACTGCTCAGTTTAGCTTGCGATTTGTTAATGAACAAGATTTATATTTCCCGAAACAACAACAATCAATTATGAAGAAATCTGTCAAAAAGGACCAGGAGAGCACAAAGAAATAGAGTTTATCAAAGCATAACTGTATCTTTTGGATCTGGTTCGAATTTGATAGGTATTTCTAAATGTAAACTGAAGTAAATTCACTGCTCAGCCTAGGAAAACAAGGAAAGTTAAATTGCAGTGTAAGCTGTGGGTATGTTTAAAGTCAATGATAGCAGAACTGTGTGGTATTCTTTGTATCTATCCAAGTTCCAACAATTTTTCTCCTCCCTTTTTTGTATTTTTGCTTATTTTTCTACTCGTTTGTTTTTTGAAAGACTTTGATTTAATGACTTGTGTAGGGGTCAAAATTTTTTCGGTTGAATTTCATCCTGCCACTGCCACTGAACAGACTTAATAATTATTTTATTTTGTAGAGATTATGCGGTGCTAAAGAAAACTTTGTGAGACCAATGGTATTTGAGTCTTCCAAATGCAAAGAAGAGAGCCTTAAGCTTCACCCAAGAAAACAGGAAAGCAGTTAAAACACCAAGTAAAGTGAAGGCCATCTCATCCAGGCACGTAAATACTGGGGGGTGTGGGAGGTGTGACACCCCCCAATCTTTCATCCAGTCGGAAAATTTAAGGACAGTCGGAAAATTTAAAGCTGTTGGAAGAAAGCTAGATTAATCAGAAAAGTTTGAATCATTTATGAAAACTGAAGTTTTGACTCAAATGACCTTGTGAACTGTAGCTCAAAGAGAAGCATAAGAAAGGCATAAGTTTTTCAAAAGATGGTTCTTTAGTCTAATAATTCTATCAACTGGACCCCCCCGACTTTGAATCTCTTGGCGCCGCCCCTGTGAAAGGCTAAACGACCTCATGATTCTTACTTGCGAGAAAAACATTTTGGACAACGTACATTTAGATAAGATTGTGGAGCAATGGGCAAGTCGTAGAAGGAGAAAAATTAACACCTGATTTTTGGACTACGTATGTTTTGATGCACTAATTAAACTAACAGTCTTTATGCTTCATTTTCCAAATTTACGAAATCTAGAAACTTTATCATACAGCTGAATACGAGACAATTTATAAGGTTTTGTTGGTAAAAAACTACCAAAGTTTAGGCCCTTATACAAAATTAGAATTGACCTTTGTCAGTCAGAAATTTTGAGCCCTTCATCCCCCCAATTTACGTCCCTGATCTCATCACAATTGTTAATCAATTTAGAACAAGACAGAATTTTGGGACAGATGTAATAAATAATTACAAAGAACAATCTTATTTTTCAAACCCTTTGATGCATGACAAAAGGACGTTTCTGAATAACATAAATTGTTTCGATGCCAAAAATCTTTAGATAGATAAAGAAAGGATTGGCAAGCAAAAAAGTTGGAAGAATAGCTGTGGCAGACAACAGGTTTAAACTTGAGTCTAAATACGTAGGCGGGTGTCAGCGCTTCAGACAAAGATTAGATCTTTCCAATGAAAAAAGTATCAATGACATTAAGCTGAGACGGAAAGGAACTCGTTGTGTTTGCTACTTTTGCAAAACTGGAGAGGAGGAATATTAACTGAAAGAGTTTATCTCTAAGTCCGATGCGACATTTTTCCTAACACCCCATCACTACAACCTGCCGTGCAGTATCTCAAATAAGATAAATTCCCGATCAGGTTTCAGTTTTCTCAGTAATAACTGAGCTTTGTATTGGTTTCAAGTTTCAATATTGGGCAGCATCAAGATTGAACTGATCACGACGTTCTTAGTATGAAAAACACTATCATTAGAATGAAATCAAAGATCCCTGGAAGCCTATAGACAATCGAACCCCTGAACTCCCTTAGAATAACTCTGAATTCACCAGGAAGTACCCGAGAGGTAGAGCAGATAGTATGCCTTAACGCCAGGTCGTTCTTGGCCTACAAAATAATTCCAGTAGAACAGTCAGTAGTACGGGCCTGTCCTTGTTTCTGCACCATCGTCCTCTCATGAATGAATATCAGTTGGGCAATTTAAGGTCATTAAAGGATTTCGAAAGGGATACAAACAGTCTGAATCGGAATGAAACCACAACTTAATTTAAGAGTTGCCTTTGTTGTGACGACTGAAGCAACTGCAGGCAAGAAAACCTAACGATTATTTGTAGAGATTCTTAGTGGCTCTAGCCTGACCAACCTTATAGGAAGTGTGGCAATCCTCAAAGGGCATAATTTAAGAACCAGTGCGTTTATAATCATTGTCTTTGCGTAACTCAACAGAAATTAAAGACAAAAAAGGAATCAACAGAACATTTGTTGGATGAAAAAAATAAGCACTTCTTTAAAGTTAGTAATGAAGACGGGCTTTAGTTTATAAGAAATGTATTTTCGAGGCTACGTGAATAAAAATTGGTGCTTCATTGTTGCATATAACAAGCAAAGGGTTAATGAGATGTTTTGTAGGCAACAACATGCTATGTTGCACTTCCATATGAATTTGTTTGGCTGGTTGGTTTGGTTGTTTGTCACTGAAAGTTGTAATTACAGAAACCAATAAACAAAGAAAGTGAATGTGATTACTCCTTTGGAAAAATAGTTCACATGCATAGACAAAAGACTATGAACTAAACAAATGCAAATCTCGGAATCTTAAATGTTCAGTGAAGCGAGTAATGAGGAATGGGGGAATTACCTTTCACTTGCTGTTGAACACGACTTTCCAGTCCAAAATTAGTAACAGTGATGTCATTTGAAATGTCGGGCCTGGTCATCTCGCCTTCTACCGGGAAAAACACATCTTCAAAGTCACTGAATCCAAATGCATCTCCGTCGACTTCATCATCATACGGGGAGCTACACGTCGATCCGTCCGTGCAGCTCATTGGCTGTGGAGGCTCTTTCTCCAGTGGCGAACTGCATGTCAGTATATCTTCGAATGAAGAAGACGAGCCTTCGTGCAGATTTGGATCGAAGTCCACTAGCTTTCCAAAACCCTCCAACAAAAAATCTTCTTCAAAACTATTGCCTTTGAAAAGGTCCATCTCTTCTTTTTGCAAGCAAAATCTACTAATGCTATATTGACAAAATGAAATCCTTTCTTGATAAATTCACTAGATTTCAAGGCAACTGAACAAAATGTCAGTGTTACAGTCTTGAATGCTTGCAAAACACACCTCTAGCGACACGATTTGATTAAATCGACAAAATAAAATGTGGTCATACGTTCAACGATGTTGCCAGCTTGCTATCATTTAATCAAACCATATTGATGTAGATGTTTTATAAGGCTTCATATGTTTCAGTCCTTTCAGAGATTGATTGACAGGTCCAAACAAAGAAGACGACCGCTAAACAGTGAGAATGGAATGCGGAACTTTCCCGCGGCAGATCTTAAATTTGTCTCATTTGGAGAACGACAACTGGGCGACGGGTTGTGTTTTATCACGAAGTACCCATGATTCATTTTTGAGAGAAGGAATCCCGAACCAAGAATAATAAGCGGCTAGATATCTGAATATTACTTAGTTATCTATCATTGGTGGAGCTCCTGTAATTTTTCTTTTAAATTGGTTTGCTTCAGTTTGCTGCACACAAATGAATTTGGTTTGTTTGGCAGTTGCATGTTATAATCACTTTCGCAAATTCGGGTATCAACATTTCCATAAAAAAGTGGATTGATAAGAAAATGTTCTTTTGGGTAGGATAAATTGCTAAATTAAAAATTTCGTTGTAGAATGGCACCTGTTTGCTACTGGTGATGCTATGGTTAACATATTTATCATTGCAATACAGTCTCCTGTACTGGTGCTCTAGGAGCGCAGGTTTTGGTGAAGGGTGAACTTTAGGTTTTTGATATCTTACAAAGAACTATTAGTGGATGAAAAGAAAAAAGTTTGTCAAATACCTATAAAAGTTTCCAGAAAGACTTAATAGCGAATCTTTTGATTGGCGAGAGACCTGCTAGGCTTGCTGCGGACAAGAGTAAATAAAAATCTTCAGGTTCTAAAGCAAATATATGCACTGAGACCGAGAAATCACCACCCTTGCAACTAGAGAAACAATTGGAGATGTAAAATGAACTCAAGGTCATATTTTTAGGGCACTCGATGTTGGAAATTTCGGGAAGTCAGTCCAGACAAATTTATTATACAATATGTGAATCAATCCTAAAAATACTTGCTTCACATTTTTTACATCAAACACCTAAAGAAAAAATATAAAATAAGAAATTAACGAGCTGCGTAGCCTTCAATCTGAATTCAGTTGGATTTGGGTAAAAATTTCTGTTTGAATTTGGCTTTTCCTAATTTCCATTGTCTCATTTTACCTTCTTGAACTTACTTCTTTTAAACATACATTTTTAAAGAGAAAATGATCACACGATTAATGAATAATAATAATAGTAATAATAATAATAGAAGTAGAAATTAAGCTGTGATATAATGCCAATGATTTTTCTACCTTGCATCAGTAAGTAGTTTTTAGGATACAGAAAAGCTATTCTTGTCGAGCAGTGTCCTTGTCCTTCCTCTCGATGCGACCACACCTCGTGATTCCTATGCCTGGAATTACACCCCTCCTCACTCTGCTTTAAAGTTTCGTCATGTCAAGAGCTCGAAACACAAACACTTCGGTCTGTTGTCAGCGACCCTCACCGAAACCCATACTTTTTGGTTCACTATTGTGCTGACAGCAGCTATATTAGAATTGGGGAAACCAACACAACCGGATCTCTAAAATTTTCAAATTAATGCAACCCATTTGCGTTTTAATTTGATTTTTTCGTACCAAATGGAAGATTGAAGTTTAGCGAGAAATGCACGCACGTCAAACATACCAGTTTCTGAGAAAAAAGTTTTCCAAAACCGGGAACTGCCTGCCTTCGTTGCATGACAATAGAAGCGGTATAAAGTCAGAGCCAATGGCCGGAGCTTCTTTCTTGTTTATTTCAATTAGAAAAAGACGTCATAGAATAGAAAAGCTGTTGAAATCTTATTTAATTGAAAAACCATTCACTTGGAAAATCTAATGCGGCCTTGCATGTACGCAAGCTTTCACAAGGTGGTCCTGAAAGACTTGTGATGCTTCCGCAAGACTTGTGATGCTTCCGCAAGACTTGTGATGCTTCATGTGATGGAATTCTATGATGCTTTCACAAGTGATGTCATTCATTCTCGAATTCCAAGCGGTAATGGTAGGATACCTTCTCTAAACAACGCCTAGAATTTGCACAAATTGAGAAATCGATCTTGGAATAAATAGGGGACATGTCATTGTGCTAATACAGATGCTAATACTGGGTGCGGGAAATCACTATAATAGCCTTAATTTGAAAAGCCTAATATTGAATACGCGAATCCCCCGTGAAATCACTCTGAAATCTAATAACGCTGAATCAGAAACGGTACATGATAGGAAGAAATCTTGCCAAAGTTGTTTGCCACTGTCCTGAGGTTTCGTCTCCTCCCATAATGCACTTTCGTCGTTGCAATGACATTCCGTCATACATTTTTAACAGACACCAAAAGAACTCTTCCAAATGAGATAAAATCATCCACAAATGCAAATCAATTCCAAGTTCTGTAAAAGATTGGTATTTCGAAAATCAATGCGCCTGTAACGCTTGCAGTCAATGGCTTCCATAATGCAATCTCTTAAATTGCTTCATGTTAGTGTTTTATTAGTCTTCACACTATTGAGCAGTGTTCACTTGATGGACAACGTTCTTCTCAGGATGTGGGCGCGTCCGAGGAGAGCTACCCTGGGTACCAGACTCACTATATAAAATAATAGAGTCTGGTCTAGTGCGCCCCATTCTCGTTCTGGTGAACTTACTTGAAAGAACTGAAGTCTATTTAACAGACTAGGCCTGTGAAACAAGACTGTCGGATAAATAACAAAGATAATCAGTAGTCAGAGGAGTTTTGGGAAATCACAAAGCAAATGTGTTTTATATAGTTCTGTAAAGTCGACATTATTAATACAGCGGTAATAGACTTTTCTGCCTCAAGATTCCAATCAAATCAGGTTTAAAACGCCATTTGGTAGCAAAAAACATGTGCGAAGCATGAAATTAAAGTTAGCACAATGCAGTTATTTAATGTTAATCATTATTAAATTTCGTATACAACTTAAAATAAGTCTTTTGTAATTTTCCTCATAAATTTTGTGTACTTTCAAAGTCTACTTCCTCACTGTGAAGGCAGCGCGCTTGGACACCGCGGCGGTTAGAATCATCACGTTGGAAGTTCACCACAGCAAATATGGCCAATACGACAAGCGAAGTCCCGTATGCCGGGTGAAATATTAGCCATAACTGATTTACTTGTGTTTGTTGTTGTTTGTTCTCGGCGCCTTGCGGTGTTTCTTATTTACTGCATTTCACTACAAGGCCTAATTTCTTTCCAAGGAGAGGCACAGCCTTAATAAATATCAGAGACTTTCCAAAGCCAGTTGGCAATATGGCGAAGGTGTCTCTTCTCTCTACAAACAAGGCTTTCAATGCTGTTCTGTGTTAAGTTCCATAACATGCGGAAAATATTCTTTGAGTACAGTTATAACAACATCTTCAAACTAAATCGTTACAGTCGCTAGCATTTATTTATGTTCTGTTCTGTTCAATGTTTTACACCAGAGCTACGTTCATTGTTTCGCCGTGACCTTTGAACGTACAGAAATCTGTACACTCGCTCCTGATTGGTTAATATCAGCAAACCAGAACGAGAATGGGGCGCACTAGACCAGACTCTCTATTTTATTTCGCTGTGGTTTTGCTGTGGTTGTCGTTAATGGCTAGGAGTTGAAAAGGAAAGATTTGAAAAGAGAAATCGAGGGAGAATTGGAGAAACAGGATATCATTAAAAGCTGTGAGCTCCGCATGCAAGGAAGTTTTATAGCAATTGAGAATATAGACAAAAAAAATTCGCATCAAATTTATTACGGATGGAAACTCTCTGGTAGTTTAGTCAAGTTTATTCTACGTGCACGTATGAATCAAATTCCTTGTAATCAGCTAATTCATATGTGGAATAAGGATCACGATAAAAGATGTTCAATGTGTAATGAACGGACTGAATCAATGGTACACTTAATGAATTCCTGCAGAAAGTATAAAGATTTATACTCGCGGAGGCACGATCGGATAGTAGAATTCTTATGCCAAAAAATCCACACAAAAAAAGAATTCAACATCAACGTTATTTGTCAACAAAATGGTAGAAACAGCTTTTCCACACATCAGAAATGCATTGCGACAGCTAAACCAAAGGAAGCCTGATATACTAGAGATAAAAATGAACAAGAGAGAATGTGAAATTGTTGAAGTCACTGTCTGCTTTGATTTGTATATGGATACATCCTACCGAGAAAAAGGATTTAAGTATCAACCACTGATAAACTTAATGAATGAAAATGGAATTGCAACAAGAATCAGTGTTATGTGTTTTGGATCACTTGGGACCATACATAAGGATGTGAGGGGAAACTTGAAAAGGCTAGGACTATCAGGGGAAGAGGCAAAAGAAGCAATGAAGTGGTGCAGTGTATCAAACATGATTTGTGGTAGCATCGTATGGCGAAATAGGTGCAAAAAAGTGCATGGAGAGTAGGACTGCTAATTTCTGGTGATGTGCAAGGAACATATTTGGCTATAAGACATTTACAGTTTGTTCTTAACTTGTCAAATCATATCCGATATTACTATATTGAATTGGATTGTATTGTGTATACCATTTAAAAGCAGACGAAACCATAGACTATGGCGAAACAGATAATTTCTGTTTGCGCCAGTTCCTTGCGCATCTGAAGACTGCATTGGGAATTTCTAACTGATTGAGACGGAAATCCCAATCTCTTTCATCGTAGCGATGCATAACAAAACCTAATTTTGTTTTCGGTGCTCCGCAGTGAATAAACACTTTTCATTTTTGTCTGGAATGAACTATCATCATGAAAAAGTTGGCTTTGCGGACACAGAATAGGAATTAGGCAGAAGGGGAACTTCTGTCCACCAGGTGAAGTCTGAAAATTCTAGCGCATGCATTGTATTTGTATTTTTGCATTGGTTCCTATTTAGCATCCGAATGTAGTTTTTAGGACACTGAGAAGCTTATGCTTATCGAGCAGTGTCCTGGTCCTTCCTCTCGATGTGACCACATCTCATGATTCCTACGCCTGGAATTACAGAGAGAGATAATTTGCCATAGCTAAGTTTGTCTACTGAATCGAGGTTAGGGGGGAATTAAAAAATTCTATTGTTGACTCAGACTAAAAAAAACGAAGGAACCGACGAGAGTTACCCTTCTGCCTATTCTGTGGTGCGGACAGCTATCTTAGCTTTCGTACTTTCAGAAAATCAAGCTAGTTATTAAAAAGCTGATAAACTGCACGCGCTGGCGTCATGAGTTTTTTAAGTCATAAACTCTGTTTTCTGAGTAATTTATGCCCAGATAACAAGCAAAAAATACACGTGAAATATGCAAAATTGACTCTTGCCAAATAAATTCACCATTACAGAAATAAATGCAAAATGTACCTCTGATTTGAATATTACTTTCACCTCTACAACGTTGAATCTCTTGACATTCTCCCAAGCCCCCCTAATTGAGGCGGATTCAATTTACATGTTTTGGTTCGGTTGGAAAACGGAGTTGATGCAAGATTCTTTCCACTATACTCCAGCAACAATGGTTTTGCGCATGCGTTCTTGATTCCTAGGAATAATCAAGATCAGCAATAAATCGACAATGAGCAAGACTGAAATAGGTGGATTGATCGGTGGATTGAATATAACAGTCGATTCCAGCATTACAAGTCTATCGAATGATGTTGTCTAAATTGAAACTCCCTGGGGCCATGCTAGCTAAAAACAGCTTTACTTGCATGTAGGTGCCCAGAGTGGCCGAAAGTGGGGAGCGGGGGGGGGGGCAAATTGCCCCAGGGCCACGAGGTCTAGGAAGCCTCGTAAAATAATGAATCTTGTTTTAAAATGGAATTGATCAAAAGTGACAAAATTATTCTTAAAAGAAAAACACTTTGAAAGAATGAGTGAAGTTAAGCTACTCTTAATGGCGTGGTCGCAATAAATTTTTTTCTCATTTGGGGCCTCGTCTCGACGGCTCTGTAGATCCCTTAATGGAGTAGTCTCGATGTAGCTGTCGAAACAAGACTGCTTAAATGGACAACCAATGGGGGTGCTCTCTCCTCGATAAGTTTACCTATTTTAGAGAGCTGCTCCTTTACGCAATTTTTTGCATTTAAATTCTCTTATAAATATGTAATTTTGTTAGTTTTCCTAAAAATGCGAAATCCTAAAATGAATAGAACTGAACGAAATGTAGCTGCCTAAATATGACCGGCTAAGTTGACCGGCTTAAATGTAGCTGCCTAAATATGACCGGCTACGTTGACCGGCTTAAATGTAGCTGCCCAAATCAGCCTAAATGGAACTAGTTGCAAGATCAGGCATAATGGCACGGTCTTATGCGATCTGTACGGTCTCATCCGAAGTCGAAAATTTACTGAATGAAATAAAATCCTGACAAAAAACTGCAAAGAAACCTAATATCATCGGAATGGCGTATGCTCGCAAACTCCTAATCAATTATCAGAACCCCAAATAAACGGAGTCCTTCAATGAATTTTTATAAAGGGACCAAATACCGCTTTATATAAAGTTATATCACGACAATCCGATCTGCAGTGAGCAAGCTAAAATTATTCAAATGGTTCTTTCAACATCGTGAGACACCCCTTCTCTAAAGGCCTACTCGCATGGGCATGGCAGCTTTGCCCTAATAATTTATTAGAATTCATATAAGATCCAGAGGCAATCTGCTAGAACTGCTTCAACGCATGCAATATTTCGTATTTGTAGAATGAACGTCCAAGACAGCGTTTATGTTTGGGAGTCATCATGTGTTGCTAGCTAAATAGTATAACGATATGGATGTAAAAACACAACTATGCATGCAGTCTATGTGTGTCCGTCATTTCTTGAACAATGTGTTTCAGCTGATCCCTTGACAAACTTAAGTTTTCCGTACGCATTAAACCAAAAGTGACGCAGAGCCTTGAGATCCTATAATGTTAATATTTATTCTACCTAAATATCATATAATACAATATAAACACAATATTCATAATGTAATATATCATTATTTTTCAAGTTTTTTACGAATCTTTTTTAAAAAACACAGAAAGTTCTATGTAGACCGTAAAAGGACCCATCAAAATTTGTACGTATTTCCTACTTCCTCAGGTTCTTAATCTCACTATATAGTTGAATTTGCAGACATTGAATTTTGCCGAAGTCAGGGGAAAATGTTGTTTTGCAGTGCCATTTCGTCTTAGATCTATGATGATAATTTTGATGATAAATTCTATAATCATTTAGTTGAAAAGACTTATTTAGATCCCTTTAGTAGCCTTCTATCAAATTCAGTTGTGAATAATTCGTTCCTTTGACAGAATTACAACTGTTTGGATGCGAATTTGAAAATAATACAACTTGCAATTTCACGCAGAATACACAGTGTTGTTTTTAATACAAACGTAAATTAATGGATTACGATAAAAAGTTCTTGTTGTGCAAGGGTGCTTCACAGCAAAAGTACCCACAGGGGCAGGGGGGCTCTTGACCAAATTTTAGATAGGGGTCTGTACCCTTGGCCGCGGAAATCCCAAAAAGTATGCCCTTGCTTGCGGCAAATGCCCGGGTATCTTTACCATGGAAGAACACAAATCCCCCCTCTCCCTCGTAAGTGAGTACGCATTGTTCACAGTCACGTTTTCCTATAACTTTGGCTCAATGCTGCATTTTTAGACACAAAATTAATACTTTCTGTTGAATTCCATGTTGCTTGGAAACTGGGCATTTATAACTTGGGGGAGTGCGGCAAAGTAAAAACGGTAGATTGTAAAGTTTCCCAAAGACGCCATCGGAGCCAAATCGTAACTTCGGCTGTCTACAAACTATGACTTGCAATCATTTCAGGCATTAGAAACTGCCGATGTCTGTTGAAAAAATTAGGGAGAAAGAAGACATTTAAAAGCAACACTTTATTCGAAAATTCTTTAACCAGAATGCAATATGAATCAATTCCAAAGTCTGAATGTGCTATGTATGAGAATATCCGGAAACAGATCTATATTAACCAAAATGAAGCTGTCACTTGCCAGATTAATGAACTGAAATAAGCGAAATAAGCACTGGTCATCTCTCAGCTTACAAATAATACTGGGGAAATTCAGTTTTGTCTATTAATGAATTCTGCAAATCTTGAATTTGAATGCTCATATGGGAAAGCAAATGTGTTTTTACTTCCTGCAGAGAGCCATCCAAAGCTGGCCCATATCATTGGGGAAAAATCACTTTGCATAAAGAGCCCTTAAACATGAACTCAAAGGATTTTGCCAAGGTACAAGAAAATTTCATCCTCAGTCCATCAAAATAGCTGGAACAAAATATTGGAAAGCAGAAAAAATTGGATGAAGCCAACAGTAGATGAATTGAAGGCAAAAAAGAAAGGGGTGTCAGAGTTTATCTTTTATAAAACAAGCGTATTCAATATATCGACTTTTTAACGCCAACCTACGTGAGCTCTGTGCTTATTAATTAACGTCGAATCCCGCCCCTCCAAACTTCTCACATTCGCAGCGCATTGAAAGGTGCAAGCAATGGTGGTAATAGCCCCCCTCCCAAGAGAAAAATAATGTCGTCTCACAGAGAATGGTTGTTACCTTGGTCTAACAAGTTTGCTTATCTAGCCCTCATTAATTTTGCGGATCTAGCTCCCTATTAAAACTAGTTGAATCGTTTACAATTAGTTGCCAGTGGACTCATTGACGATCCATCAAAAGACAGCGTATGAAAGCATAGTATTATTTCTTTTGTTAGTCAGTCAGCCAAAATTTATCGATTTAGAAAGATCCATAAATATTTATTTAGCATACAATTATCGATAACATGAGATTCTAGTGTGTAGCAGTATATCATTTTAGCCAGATCACTGGCTTCAATCATTTCAAAATCTCGATTGGCCCCTTTTCAAACAATCCTCTCTAATGAGACATGGAAGGTGTGCGTTACAACTTTACTCTCGAAACTTTTGCTGTCACATTTGATTCAGATGCATTAATAAACTTGATATGAAATTCGAACACCAAAAGAAAGGAATACCCCCAAGAAAACTGTCTCACAAATTCATTTGTCCCATTTACGCAAACGAAGTGATTTCCTCCTTCCTTAATCTAAAAAAGAAATGAATGGGTATCTAAAACTGATACAGCAACAATATGCATGTCCATACGCAAGAAGCAGGGCTTAGTCTGCTGACAGAGGATTGTCTGAAACGCATGAAACCCTTCACAAGTATATTATTTCCAATTTGTGAAAGTGTACTTCACACCCAGGAGATTGACGAAGGGGCGGTTAGGGTGTGAGGTGCAGAAAATATTCAGTTTTGAAGAACACAACTCATTACCAAACATTTGAGCGGCAGACCTCGAAAAACTTTTTTTTGTAAGAACAGCTTTTGTAAAAGTAAAGAATCAACCCCTAATATTCAATGGAGACACCTTCTAGTATGAGTAGTGTGTGGAGACAATGGAGACAGAAAGCCGAAATATTTCCCAGGCTCCAAAGCCCAAATGACACCCGAACAATGTTGACTGTGCCGATTGCGGATAGACAGCACTGCCTCATTCTGATCGCAAAAAGGCAAACTAAAAACGAGGTTTACCTTCTGTGATTGATAATGACGACGTTTCTTCAGGAAGCCAAGTTATTGTTTGCTCCATTCTTGTTGCAAAGTTTTCTGTAGACGAATCATGGCAATTTATGCGACAATTTGAAAGGACGTTCTCCTGTTTTTGGTTTGTTTTTGCAGTATCGACATTGCTTGAACCAATAGGCATTATGTTCAAGTTAACATTCAGTGAGACAAGTCCTGCAAAATAAAATAGGGTTTGTTATAATCATCAAAAGACATGACAATGAAAATGCTTTATGGATGTTCAATCCATTACCAATTGAATAGCAAATATTTCTGAGCAAAACATTTCTGAGCAGCAATTACCAAATTTTTAAGGTTCCTTTCTTTTCTGATCATAAATGAATACATTTTGATGAAGAACTGTTCAACAAATCATGAAATAAAATAAGAACAAGCAAAGTTTCAGTCCACTCTACAAAATCATGCAAGAGCAATGACGATTCCAGTTTTGCAATAATTCTAAATTTCTTGGTAATTTTTACAAAATAGGTTGTAAGGAGCACCTCATTCATGTTCTTCACCTTTCGTTAAATTTAGTTGTCACTTTAACGAATCACACAAAAATCTTCTTTACTATATCATTGATTATTATTTTATCTTTAAATTATATCTTTAAATTGACACTTTTGAATGTTTAACAACATGTAATGCCTCGAAGGGAAGCAGGTTTTTCAAATACCGCCAAAGTAGGGATAAACTGACGGCCAGTCAAGAAGGGGAAAAATGAAAAAATTTCACAAATCCGAAACAAACAAATGCGCAATGAAAGTGAAAGTTAAAGTCTCGAAAAGCTGATAACAAGTAATCAGTTTCAAATCTTCGCAAAATAAAAAAGGGAAGCAAGTTTTGTTTTCCAAATACGGTCAAATCAATCGGCAAATTCAACACTTTAACACTGAATATCATCCTATTCGTTATATCAGCCTTCGAAGATACAAAACAAAAAAGGATTGTGTTTGATGGAGAATGGAAGGTGTTTTAAAGCTTTTCACAAATAGACCATATTAAATGTAACTATTCTATGTTTTGCTGTAACTTGTTTTGCTATTCAAATAAGAGAGTGATGTTTTAGATACCTTATTTATGGATTTAAAAAACCTTGGCTCCTCAAAATGCTAAACAGGCCATATGGCCCAGCCCCCAATTTCCCCCCCAAATTAATTTTTTCAGAAAATAACTCTGAAATTCGAATTATTCTGGCATAAACCATACTGCTTGATCTCTTATATTAATCCAATCAATATTCAGCCTTGTGAGGGTTTTGCGTAGAGCATCGAAACAAACTTAAGAATATCAGGTAGGTTGTTGTGCTACAGTTCTTCAAATAAAAGCATCATGATATCAACGTCAGTTTTATCACTCAGACCGTCACATAAATATCAGAATAGGAGACATGGCAAAACAACCCCAGTGCTACTAGGCATTCGCAAAATATCAGCGCAACAAAAAAACATATGATGGGAATACCTTGTCGTGAAACATCCTCACTCGTCTTTGACCTCATCAAGCCAGGACTGCAAGGTTCCTTTCCAATCAAAGTTTCTTGCTTGTTTAAAAGCTTCCTAACCTTATTGCTAGCAATTTGTATATCAGAGTTCCCTCGCTGGAGCAAAGGAGACGTGTCTTCACTCACAGCTAACTTCGTTGAGCTCATCTTGGGCGTACGTTTTTCTGTTTCCAGCAACGTGAATCTTCCTTCAGTTTGATTCAAAGTTTCGAGTGTTCCTTTGGGAGATTTCCTATCATCTGGTGAAATTTGTAAATTTTCGTCGTTAATATTCGTGCGCATTGTCAGAAAATGATTCGTTTTTGTTGCCGAAGAAAGAGCTTTTTCAATCAAATCCTTTCTCTAAAGGAAAAAAGGTTACAAATGTGAATCTTCAAAGTCTTGGGGATTAAAATCATCAGATTAGAAAGGGATGATGGATGCCATTACAGGAAAATATGTGTTTTTACGCTGCGTCCATTAGAATTTTGATGTTGATTTGTGCAACACTATCTCGGCCATTATTGTCTTACCTTTGTTTCATCATCATCCAGCACGTAGCTCACTAACCTGAGAATAGAATTCAGAATTTATCACAATTTTATTCGCACTCAGACTATTACTAAGACTTCATATCCAACATTTATCATAGAGTAACTGACAAAAAAGTTTACTTTATAAGAGCTTTAGCGAATAACATCATAACTTGCAATGAGTTTTTATAGAACGAGCTACGACACTGGAAAGAAAAATGCGATCCATTGGTGTAAGGCCTATAATGATCGCTAAAGTCTACTTAAAGGGTCAACAAAATAATTGGCAAGAGCGTAAAAGTGGGGTAGACTTTATGACTAAACATTTCTGGATAAACCATACAATTATATCCTTGGATAGCACTAAATTTCTATGCAAATGAAATAAATAGGAAGAAGTTATTTCTAGAGGATTAGGGTACATATTCTTAACTATTTTTATTCATGAAACATTGGAAGCAGAAAGATCTCCCTGAAAAAGAGCATAAAATGCAAAAGGAATATAAAAGACTCCATTATTAGCATCTTTTTTAATTAGCCTGAAAAATAAACTTGTTGATGAATAAGGCTAGCCTTGGTATAGATCATCAGGGTTCACTTCAAAAAGAAAAACCTGATTATCAGCTATGTCAAAAACAATGCAGTTGACTATGAATACCCTCCTTCATATAGGAAAAGAATATTAAGTCAAAATGGGTTGTCTTTAACCAAATGCATTTTGATGTTACCCCTAAACCCTTAGTTACAACAAAAATACTAAAGGTCATACCCTGTTGCCCCACATAACAGCATTTTCTCCTTCAGCATGGCAACTTCGCAGTGCTCGTTTTGCGATGAAAGCTTCTCTGCTGCTTTTCTAACGCTGCCATTATCGTTTCGCAAATAATTTCGAGTTGCATCACGTGACTGCAGTGAAAGCTGCTCCCGGACTGGCTCTGGCTGGGCTGGTTGCCTTAATGCTTCCCCAAAGGTGAACATCTATAGTATACGAGTGTATTGACACATGACGAGTACTGTCCAACATTCAAAATGAGCAAGGAAAGTATACTGAGTTCAGCGTTACCGTTCAGTTCAATAAAACTGTTTGACGCTAGGGCCTCAGAGAGAACTAGGGCGGAGGAAAGGCAAAGTACTGCTAATGGTACTTGAGTTCAGTACATTAATTATTATAGAAGCAGCCTCACGAGTATAAGGTTGGATTCAACTGTAGATTTATAGCAGCAATTTGCCGAATAAAAAAATTAACTGGATAATTTTGACTCATTTTTACTGTAACCGTGAAACAAATCATGGTTTAAATGAAACCCAACACAGATTCCATTTGTGCCATTACGTATATTTTCTCCTAGATTTGTAATTTTAATTCAGATTAATTTAAATGCTTGCAATAAAACTGATCTCAGGTGTGATTCATCATTATGTTATCTAGGAAAACCAGATTCAGATCCAAAATCTTAATTTAGATTTGTTATCAGCCAAAATAAAAATTGTTTATTAAAATCTTCTCACGTTGTCAACACTGTTTGTTCGACTTCCATCAGTCGCTGAATCCTCCACTTCGAACTTCTTCAAATGCGGTAATCTTCTTGTAGCCAGTTGTCCGGTAACGCCATCTCCAACAAGATTCGTAGCGTATTCACTTGAATTCGACTTCAAATCTTTTTGACTAATTTTTAAACCATTTCCAGGGTACGATGAAGTTTTTTTAATCTCAAAATGCTTTTCAATTCTGCTGTGTGAATACAAACCGTTTACATTGGATCGTTTCTCTGCAAAATAGTTCATGAATAAATAAAATCAAAAACATAATCTTTACATACGTTTTCTATAATCAATTTAATAGAGCCAAGAAGCCTTCAAATTTTATGACATCCCCATGTCACAAAAAATGATTCCATTGGTAACTGGCACATAAAAATGAGAACACTAGTCAGTAAAAATGGCTCTCAAAAGGAAGATATGTATCCACAACTAGGTATTTATATTTCCTAGCGTAGAGCTTTCGATCTATGTTCTGACGTTTAATACTCTGAAGAGAGTGTCAGACGAAAAGCTTTAGTATCCTCAAATGATTGAGAGAGAGAGAGAGAGAGAGAGAGAGAGAGAGAGAGAGAGAGAGAGAGAGAGAGAGAGAGAGAGAGAGAGAGAGAGAGAGAGAGAGAGAGAGGGAGAGAGAGAGAGAGCTGCATATCCAGTTCATACGATTTTGATGCCGACCATAAATATGTATTGTGTGCCAGACACCAGCACATATCTTGGATACCACAGTCTATTCTAAGAAAAATTAGCTGTGGGGGAAATTAAAAGTCACTGGGGCTGAAGGTGCAATTGCCCCGCTAGTTAGCATGTTAAAAAAGACCCTGTTGGTAAAAGCTTAAAAAAACAATTGAAAGCTCAAACCCTTGAAGCATGCCCCCTTACTAATAAGCATCTTTTTTGTAAATTTCCGTTTGAAAATACTTGGTCATTTTTTTAGTAACGCAGTCAGTGATTAACCTGAACACGAGTTGTTTCTGTGTTCACTTTCGAATCGCTTCATTTGATTACTCAAAGTGACAAGGGGTCCCGAGGAACTCTTATCCCTGTTACAGATGGTGGGAAGGGGGAATTCTAATAAGATACATGATGGGGGCTTGAGTGGGTGTAGACAAAGAAAGGCTAACACAATATACGTACGATTTCTAGCTTGAGAGACTTAGTTCCCTTACCTTGACGGATCTCGAAGTGACGACGCCCTGGTGAAGAAGCTTTCGCATTTCTGTTCCATTTCGTCATTTCTGGGCTCACTTTGCTTTCAGACGACGTGACAGACAACTCAAGGTCTTCATACTGGTTATTCATTTTCCGCTTGAAAAATAAGAGCAGCCATGAATGGAAAAGGGACAGGTTGGGAATAGAAGACAAGAGCATCCTGTAAATGGTTTGATAACGAGTAACTCAAGATCTTAGGTTTACTCTGCTTTACTCTACTGAACATGTATTCTATTTCCGTTCAGTGAGATTATCATGGATTAAAACGAGTAGCAGAGGGAGGGACTAGTACAAAAATATTACGGGAAAAAGAAACTAGATTAAAATCTTCACCAGACCCAGAACGTTGTCAAATCTACATGTTAAAATATAGTCAAGACAATTGAACTCTTAGCGACTCTTAATTTTGTATATATAAGAAACTGGGGGCGAAAAACAGGGGAAGTGTCAATCAACGGGAAGAGGGGGTTAGAAAAAATTCTAACATCAGTCAGGCGAAAGGCCAGAAACAAACGGAAGAATGGGGAAATCTTCGAAGGCAAGGATGCTATTGCAAAAACAGACAAACAAGTGGGGGGGGGGGAGTAGGAATATTTCTCATGAATTAACCAGCGATAGGGTACGCTAAAAGAAGACAAAATAGCACGAGGACTTTTCGGGGTAAGGTTATCTAAGCTATCGTTTATCAACCACAGCCCCCATACGTTGCCCTCTACAAATCAAAAGTATTCATTCAACCATACCTGCCATAATGACCTGAGTTGGTTGGGTGAGAGTGTTTTTGACCTGCGTCTTCGCGAAACAGATTGGCTGAGTCTATGGTTGTACACCGTAATCCTGCGAGCAAGGTCCAGCACTGTATTGGCGTTGTGCCCAGTTCCATAAAGCTGTCGGTATACATCTGAAATTTATAACTAATGATAAAAGAATGGGGGGCCTTCGAAATCCAAGTGCATTGTGCTCATGAAAACCCAAAACACTGAATAACTAATTTAAGCTTGAGGTGTCTTGAAATTTTCAGCTAAAATTCTGTTAAAATAATAAATTTATATTCATGTTTAGTTAGGTAAAAACTAAACAGCAACATTTCTAAACAAGTTTCTTTTCATAGTAAATATCTTTTAGACAGGCCAGATTTTTATTCCTGCCTGACTACAAAACTTCAACCTGCCTGAATATTTTTCAATGAAATGATATCAGGCGAGCCGCCCGTGTTTCAAGACTCGGCTTTGTAACTTTACCAAGATGATGCTAGAAACGTTCCTAAACATGAGACAAAGGAAATCGGAAAACCTTGAACAAACGGTTGGAGTTCTACCATGGTGGAGGGAAAAATTTTCCCAACATTACGTAAAAATTAACTAAGAGTTCAAAAAATATACAAAAACTGAAATATCTCATGACTTTTAATGAATATCAATTAGAAACAACATTTACAAAAGCTAAACTTGCGTCAAAACAAATAACAAAAAGGAACAACTAAAACCGGGAAATAATCATAATTTGATTATTCTGTACGTAAATATACGGCTTTATCTAGAAATAAATTGGCACTGAAAATCCCATATTGAAACATACTTGAAACCGAAAAATGAACCAAAGCTGCTACGTCATTACTAAGAAAGAACAGGCACTGACAGTGACGTCAGATTCACTACGAAAGACATTTGGTCAATCTACTTCCTGAATGAAACCGACAGACGTTGCTTTATCAAAGACGTTTTAACTCTTTATGGAGCCTTGAGCTGCTTGAAATCAATTCAAAACAATTTTCAGGTTGGATGCTCGATTCTTCAACAAAATAAGTTTAGTTAATTCATCCCTGCATTAATTATGGAAAAGCGTTTCAGAAAACATCTTTCGACAATGATCTTAGTTTCGATACACATAATATCGTCCAACAAGAAGTGTTTCTAAAAATAGCATTATTTGTATATACATTATTTGCGTAAATGTATTGTCAACAAGACAAAATTCACGGCAGGTAAACAAAATAAGCCTAGAACAACTGTTAAAGAGCACTAGAAGCTCTTATCACCCGCGTAAAAGAGAGAGAAAAGCGAACAAGTTATTGTGAACTCTTCAAGAACCTTTGCTTGCTATAAATCACAAGAAATTGCAAAAAAAGAAAATACCTTCCTCTTAAGACACAAGCGTGAATTATTACTTTGAGAGTGAACTGTGATGGCTTGCCAAAATAAAAACAACATGCAAGCAGGACGTCGAGTCGGAAAATGCTTGTATGATATAACACTTCGTCTTTAAAGGTCACGTGAGAGCTTAAAAGCAAAAACAATAACAGCTCTCTAAAATAGGCTGTTCAAAATGAAAAATGCGAAAGAAACAATCTTAAGAGTTGAAGTCCAATAAAGTTGATTAGATTACCTGAGAGCTGGTCGCTTGGCCTGGCCCTAACATTTAGAATACTCCGTTCTTCATCACTTCCTTCCGACAATGATCTGCAGCATCTGAAGGGTGATCATTTGCTGCGTTAGGCACGCGGGAAATGTGCGATATTACATTAATAAATAGGACATAAACGCGTTACCGATTTCATTGAAGCAAGCAAGCAGTGCTGGTCGAGGTACATGCAGGAACTAGTCGCTGTGGTGTTTTGCATGATTCTCTTTCAGACTTTTTGCTTGAATGGGGGTTTACAAAGCTAAACTTAACCGTTGTCGAGGTCTGGCTACAAGTCCACTTCGGTTCTTGCAATGCCTTGACAGCGATCTGACCAAATGTGACCATCAGATTTTCACCATTCAAACATTTTCCACTTCGGCTGAGTAAACCAGGTACGTTTATCACACATTTTCTCATTAATAACAATTTTGATACAGTAACAATTGTTTTTATGGGTTTTCCTTGGCAATCAACCTTTCTCAGGATAGTAGAGGACTCCGCTTAAATGACCCAGTCTGAATTTGCTCTGCGTTCCTAAATGATGTTACGCTTTCCTGAAGATCTTAAGTTGACAAATTCTGATGTTTAATTATATTGATAATCATAATAATCATAATTTGTAAACAAATCTAACTGAAGCCTTCGTAAAATTTAGGCGTAAAAATCTACAAAGAACGATTTGCTATAAAGACCTAAGATTCCAAATCAAACCTCAATTTCGCTTCCAACTAGCTTATTAATTGATTAAAGAACTAATTGGTTTTCGTTATTACGCATGAGATATTTGGAAGAATAATTCACTTTTCGAGATTTCACTGCTCCTTTAGCATTCCTAAAAAGTTGCAAAATTGAACACGGAAGTAAAATATTCTTATAAAGAAGCAGGTTCCTTCGCTTCTTCGGAGTCTCTGCCTTACTTTTAAATCGTTAGGAAGTCCAACAGCTGAAGAACAAAATCATAGATTTTTACCATACATCTGGACTTAATCGATTCATTACTTAATATTTGCAAAAATAAACCAAAATCCCGTGGAAAATTGTTTTTTCCATACCTTTCACAAGTGGCGCAAGATTTTTGACCTTGGTAAATGGTAGATAACCCAGCCGTGAATCTGCAATGAGGTATATCTGCAAAAGATTTACATAATATCAAGCCCTTTTCATCCGGCTTCTACCAAACTAAACAACTGACGGTGATATGTGATGTTTGATAAATTGCTCAGAAATGTTGTCAACACGCATCACTTGAGCCCTGTATCAGCACGCACTCTTGTGGCTGCATTGCAAAGAAAAATACATTGAAATCGTTGAAAATACTTCAAAAGATTCGCTTCTGCGTGTAAAAATCAAAGCTCCTAGAGAAGATCCTTGTCGTATATATTGTTAAAGCTAAAGGATTTCCGTTCTCAAAATATCTGCGGGAATTTCCTGCTTCAAAAACAAGTACAATTTCCGTAATCCAGTCTCCTATCTTCACCGTATTCTCCCATTTACGGTCTCTAATTCAAGCACAACGGCTGTTTCTGGAAACGAGTGTCCACTCTTCTTGCATTCGTTCTAATAAGCAGAAGGCAAAGTGGGTAAGTAACAAATTCTTTGCTTGGAAACAGGGTACCCACTTGCAGACCATTGAGCAGTCGACCACGATGGTTGGTAGCAAAAACAGAGATAACTGGAAAATATTATTTGACCAGCTTTACACTCTTTTTTTATAAGAACAATTTCATAAGAACACGAGCCTCAAAACTGGTCAAAAGTTAAGAACAAATTAAGAACAAGCTGAGGCTGAGCTTCTGCAAAATGCAATTTTGAACAACGCTATTTCTCAAAATCGAAGATTTTTAGCAATGTGTATATTGCTAGTAAAAAACAACTGTTTAGAATACTTTATAGCCAGATAAAAATTTGAAGCAACAATACTGTTGACAAATCAATATTATCAGGGGCGTAACTTGGCCAATAGTTTTGGGGGGGGGGGTGAAAAGGTTTTCTGCCTTGCAAAAATGAGTGGTGCCCTGCAGACCTCGTAGCAACGGTTTGTCTATAGGTTACTAGTGAAAGCTTTACCAGTGTACACTGGTCTTTACAAAGGACAAACTTCTAAGCAATAAAAACAAACTTGAAACTTCTTTGCCTATGAAATTTTTATTTCTCTACGTGAGCGTAAATTGTTTTTTTAAATTCACTTCATTTAACGTTGGTTTGCAAAATTAAGCTAATAAACAGCTAATTGGGGAGGGGGGGGTACATGACGTAGACAGCACAACGAAATTTAGCCCAGTGGAGCTAAGAGTCGAGTTTAGTGAGGTAGGAGGACCCACCATGGTTGGGTCCGACGTGAATAAATTTTTTGAAATTATATGTTGTAAAAGGGCTAAAAAGCATCTTTCAGACAAAAATTTACCAAATTACTATTGTGCTAAAAGAAGTGATTGTTTATTGAAAATATTATTGTTTATTGGGAAAAATAGGGAGGGGGATGTCATGCTAAAACTCTAGTGTTAGACGTTGGGAAAGGAAAGAAACGGCAACCTTTCGTTTCAGATTGCACGTAGTTGTGAATGACAGAGGAAGATGTTGTTTTGATTGGGAGAATTTTTTTTCCTGAACAGAAATGTGCAGTTTCTTGTATCAAGAAGGCCATGTTTACACATCCAAAATTAAAACATTGTAATGATACAGAAAATGATTTACTGAATTAATGCAAATAAAAGAAAAATAATAAAAATATACGTGAAAAAGTTAGCAATTAGATGAAACAAAATTGGTATCTTAAAGATTTATTATGTTTTTTAGTTCATGCACTGTTAAAAGATAATAGAAAAAATTATAAAAAATTCCTATCTTGACCAAAGTGAGGGACTTCAGCCCCTTATTCCCCCCCCCCCCAGTGACGCCGTGCTTGTCGTGAAAATAATTTACAGCTTAAATTAATTTGCATGACTCAACCTTGCCCTCATAAACATATGCATCAATCATTGCATCCATTGGCTATGACTTTCGGTAAGAAATGCTTTCGCTTTGCAAATAACGGAGCTTTTCCTTACATACCTGTTCCTTTCTCTAAAATGCAATGTCAGGAAGGGAGGTTCATAACAAATACGATATTTCCATTTCAAAATTCCTAAACGGCTTTTTACGAACTACAGAGGTGGCATTTCTGCGTGGCAATAAAGCTCTTCTTGGCGCCCTGCGAAATCGACTATTTTTTGGATTGAGGGGATGTCACACCCCCCTACACCCCCCGGTAGTTTCGCCCCTGAATATTATACCACTATACTAGATTATTTTCTTAACGAAACTTGGAACCAAGTTTGGATTTTTCTCAGTGAAATTAGAAAGAAAATTAATAGCAAAAACACAAATTAGATAAGAAAATTAATAGCAAAAACACAAATTGGAAAGAAAATCCTGTAAAAAAGGCAAAGGTTGCGAAAAAGTAAAGTTTTTCGGGGAAAAAGGTCGGACCACTCAGAAACCGTTGAATTATTGTCCTATGATAATCAATAAAAGAAATTTTGAGGCCATCTTCTGTTTTACAGAAAACGACAGAAAAACTGAATTTCACGGAAAAAACAAGGGACACGTATCATTTCAAAATAATCTGTTAAAATATATTTATTTTACTGACAGCAGTAGAATTTTGCATATATCGAAATTTGAATTAAATTAAAGTTTCGTCCCTACAACTCTTGCTACAAGCCTTTCAGCACGCGGAAATAGAATTGATCACGTGGTGTAGAATAATACTACGTAAATATCATCTATGGTTCGAAAGAATTGAAAACATGGGGCCACGTTTTCTTGGATTTCCATTCTTGGAAGTGTTTCTAAGTCCACAACAATTGCCGCTTAAGCACAGGAATGAAAATAACTTGCTCGCTAGACACTTATCAAAATATTCTGTTAACACAAGATTTCATGCCGAGGCACGAAAGGACGCATTCCAAACACGCATAATTATATGAAAGGAGTTTTGAGAATTTGTTTGCAATATAAGGAGAAAGGGCAGCGGATTTCATGCCACACTTAATTCCGAGCGATAGAATGACAAAAACAAAAAGAACTGAGTTATTTGCGGGGGATTGTCATATTGACCTCTGGAAGACGAAATAGGTAGCCGCACACAGCTTTTATTACTAAACGTTCCTTAACAGGCAAGGTAGCATTTGCTTGAACAATTGACGGTGTAAATGTTGGCTCATGCTACGACAATGGGTCAAAGAAAGTATGCTTAAGACATAACACTAAATGTATTCATTACTACCGCAAAATGTCCAGATTTCCTCCTTCCTACTTCACTCCTGTAAATACTTTTACCCAACTCTTTTGTAAGACCTCTACGATAATTTGCACGCCTAAATCTTCCAAAGAATTACTTTTTTTTCCTTGTAGGGGAATGCGAAGAAAGAAACATCGTAAAATTTGTGATATCACTACTTGAGGTTTGAAGATCTATAGTAATTGGAAATTTCACAACGACAGATTGGAGATTTCATGTTTCTCGATTCATTTGCCTTTTTTTTCTTTGAAGCCATTAATTAACTTCCTGTTGAAAGTCATACGTTTCCCCTCTCCCGTCTCCCCTCTCCCGTTTCCCCTCTCCCGTTTCCCCTCTCCCGTTTCTCCCGTTTCCCCTCTCCCGACTCCCCTCTCCCGTTTCCCCTCTCCTGTTTCCCCTCTCCCATTTCCCCTCCCCCGTTTCCCCTCTAGAATAAATTATTCTCAACAACAAAAAACACAATTCCAGCATAACCTGTAAATTTGAAACCAGGACGACTGTGGTGCAATTCCAACATGGCTTTGGAGGAAAGAGGAGATCTTACAAGCACATGGCTGTAGCTTTTGGCGGGGGTGGGCAAACTCGAGCAAGAAGCTTACCGAGAAGGGTAGGCCTAGAACATAGACGTATAACAACAAACCAACTATGTTTCAAGACAGCTATGAGTCAAGAATAGAATATATAAACTAAAAAATGTTAAAACAAACTGCGAGATTTCCACAGCCACTCAAAATTCCTCGAAAGATATCTCAAAACTTGGGTTTTTTCGAAGAAAATGTGAGTCAAAGCGATCTGACAAAAATACTTTCCGGCGTCGCCCTCCAGGGACATTAATGTATGTCATGGATTAAAATAGACATTAAACTCTTGCTGAAGCATAACCGCACGCTGTCAAAATTCTTTACATCATAATTAAACTGGAGCTACTCCATAATTTTCAAGCACAAACCTTCATATGAGCTATCAAAACAACAAGGTGGGGCTCTTGCGCAAAATGTTGTAAAAACAAAGCAATTGGCTACGTTTCGGGATTATTGAGAGGGCTACTACATTCCTGCTCCTAGCATAGTTCTTTTCAAGGGATTAATACAAACAGGAAGCTTGCACGTCACTCTACATGCCTACCAAAGACGAGGGTCGCCAGTTGCATAATCAATAATTTCACGAAATTACAACCATGCCAACTTTCCAAAATAGCTGTAGCCAGAGAGGGCTGGTTGTACTAAAAAACTTCATTTGGGGGGCACAGCCCCACGTTCCCCCTGCAGCCTCTTAGCTATTTCCAATGGTGTGAATTGAAAATAGATCGAGAATTCTCTCAAACAGGCTGGTCTTCCGAGAACTTTTGGCAAGAATTATAGTACATATCATCATTCCACCTCTGTCTCCAAGTGGTTAGTGCCTAAATTGATAGTTCATCGCAAATTTAACGATAACGTGACATCTTGACAGTCATTGTATACACACCCTAATTTATCCTCGGGTCCTTCTATACCATATACTGAAACGAACTCAATTCATGGCAAGCCAGACCCATCAAATGAGTCTTCAGAAAATGAGGAAGTTTAAAAATTTCCTTAATTCAAAGATTTTCTCGACTCTAAACGAAATCAACATTAAATATGCAAAGGGGAAGGTTTTTGCTAGATGAGACCGAATCTACTAAATCAGTCCTTCATTGCTACCAAGTGAACAAAGGTAGAAGCAACAAAATCGAAACATTTTAGTCAGAACAAGAACAAGTAGTTTTGGACTACTGAGCCTGAGAGATAGTTAGATATCAGCTAGATATCAGTAAGATATCATTGTCCGTTTTAAGGTAAGATATCATTGTCCGTTTGATAGTTAGATATCAGTAAGATATCATTGTCCGTTTGATAGTTAGATATCAGTAAGATATCATTGTCCGTTTGATAGTTAGATATCAGTAAGATATCATTGTCCGTTTTAAGGTAAGATATCATTGTCCGTTTGATAGTTAGATATCAGTAAGATATCATTGTCCGTTTTAAGGTAAAATATCATTGTCCGTTTGATAGTTAGATACCAGTAAGATATCATTGTCCGTTTGATAGTTAGATACCAGTTAGGTATCATTGTCCGTTTTAAGGTAAGATATCATTGTCCGTTTGATAGTTAGATACAGTAAGATATCATTGTCCGTTTTAAGGTAAGATATCATTGTCCGTTGGATAGTTAGATACCAGTAAGATATCATTGTCCGTTTTAAGGTAAAATATCATTGTCCGTTTGATAGTTAGATACCAGTTAGATATAATTGTCCGTTTTAAGGTAAGATATCATTGTCCGTTTGATAGTTAGACGATCTGCGCTTACAATTTTGTGCGCCTCCTCGCAGACCGCTATACTCAGAAAGTCTCGATGTGAAGAGGAGGCGGGAAGAAACGCCAATTTGACGGCGTGATGGAAAGTGCTATCAGGTTAGTATCATTGTTAGGTTGGGCATTTTATTTCTAACGATAATCCACATTCAAATTTAAATTAATCATGAAAATAAAATACTTAAGGTGGAAACATGCGATTAAAGTTGTTTATGTGCATTTGCAAAAACATTCTTAAGTGAAACATGTAATCGTCAATAAACATACGTCAAGCCTTAAAAACGCCTCCTTCACAATGCCTTTCGCCACAACCTCCATTTCCTGGCTTTTCAATGTATTTTCCCTGTAATTATCAAATGATCGTTGCCAAAGGCAAAATAACCCACCTTGTAAATCGATCAACTCGTCAGCCCCAGTGCTCACAAAAGACGTTGTCAACATCTCTAGGTAATCTTTCTAAAAAAGAAAGCAGACCAAATTTCCATAAAAACTAGTAGCACAATTTTTGAAAATAAAGAATTGTTTATTGGCTGAATTAATGTGATTGTCATAGTTATTTTAGAACCGTTATGATGAAAACTTGCTAATGATTACATGTTAACATTTTACACGGAAAGAAGGGGTCATAATGTCGCTTCGAGTTTACTTTTCAAGCACAATTAAAACGTACCAGGCAAGGCCGATGACTGCTTTGTTGAAATTCCAAGATAATGTATAAAAAACCCCAAGACACCAATCAGAAAGAGCACCAATCGTGTACCCTGTATGTACCTAAAGATTGGTCAAGGGTAAAAAAATACATTTTCTGTAAAAATACAGAAAAATACTTAAAGACGTAAAGTAAGATTAATTTAGGTACCTTCAACTTGGTTTTCTCTACAACTCTGTCTTTAACATAATGAGGCACAACACGTCCTGTTGCGGAGGAGCCCCGCTTTGTATAACTCATTCGTCCCTGAAAGAAACAAATTTGATTTCAAAGGGGCAGTTTTCCAAGAATTCATAAAGAATTTTACAACGTTGCAAAATGATTTATACATCGATACCAACTGCAGAAGAAATAGCCACAGACAACTTTTATGTCTAGCCTAGTATAGTATAAGCACGAGTATCCCTTGCTGACTCCAATTTTAACTGCTGCGATTGCCATTAAAATCGTTCACAAATAGCTATAGGCTAGATAGGTATCTTGTCTTAGCAACTTCAAATAAACAGAGAAACACTTTAGATAATAATCCTTGAGTCAGTTTTTTAAATTCTCATAAAAATTTACAGATCATACACAAGTTTACAAGACTATACCACAGGGAACATAGAAATACATAGTAACTCTGTGGCAATTTACAATTAACATATAACACAAAGTTAAATAGGAGATACAAGATAAAAAAGTAAGTAAATATTTCAAAGAAGAGTAGAAAGGGAAAATGCAGTTTATATCAACGATTTACTTAATAGGTATGGAAGCCTTGATATATTCAGTCTTTGTGTTTTAAAAGTGGAACAAGAGCAACACAGCACTAGCAGTGCTTTCTACCAAAGATGAATGATTTGCTCACGTGTCTGCTCACGTGATGATTTGAGTTCCAATGCAAATACCCAGGAAAATATCAATATATCTAAAAATACTTCAACCATTGAAAATACTAAAATTTCTAATAACAAATGAAGAACTCACCTTTGGAGAATTAACTGTCCTAGTTTCTGTCTCTTTCTTATCGTTCTTAGGGTTATTTGATGTTTTTGAGTTCTGCATCTTAAAAATTGAAGTCATCAAACTAGCACCGAAATATTCACCTCTAGCTTTGAAAAAACATTTTAGCTAACATAGTCTTAACATTCAACTTCCTATTGACTTTTTCAACCTTAGTTTACAGGAATATAATTCAAATATTCACCAAAGTTGAAATGCAGTTCAGTAGATTCTTAAACTTTTAGAACTTTTTCACCGAATTAATAACAAATTTCTACTAATGCAAAACAGCTGCAAAATGCTCTATACCAAGGGGTCATAGGCAAAGATATTTTAAAAATCAACCTAAAAAAGAGGAAATTGTGCGATACATCAATAAGTGGTAACAGGCATAGAAAAGAGGCTTTTGCCACAGCCATGGAACTACTGGAAAATTCCAAATGTAAGCCCAAAGCTAATGCCATGTTTTGGGAGGCTTCGTTTTTTAGGTCTTACATTTTTGGGGGACTTATATTTTTGAGGGACTTTATTTGGGGCTATAGTTGGAATTTAGCTTTGTCAGAAGAAATTGCAAACTCAGTTTTTTCAAACCTGAAAGAAAATATCGGTCATGCTCCCGAGAAACTTGCAATCAAGCTGCAATAATTATGGAAAGATGGGTATATCTTTAAACAAATCACAGGGAAAATGGCAGGGGATGCAAGAAAGGCCCTAGAAGGTACAAGGACTAAATGAGAAGGCACTCAGATATTCTTCTTATACAATGGTGTATGTAACAGGCATTACAATCTTTACGTAAGAAATGCACCCAACAAAAATGGTTTGTGTCCGTATTGAAGGGAGAAAATTGTGCTTTTTTGATGAATTCCAAATATAAGCCCAGGGCCTAAAGTGAAATGGGCTTACCTTCGAAAGCGATTTCACGTCACAGGAATTAGGGGCTTGTATTCGAGCAGGGCTATATTCGGTATTATACGGTATTTCATTGAAGTAAAGATAATTTCTTGATAGTGGCTAAACCCCCTGTACTTAGATTCTGTATTGAATTGTTCTGCATTGTAATATAAAGTGTTTTATTGTATTGTATTATAGTCTAGAGTAAGTAATCTGAGCATTGGGGTTTGGACAAAAAAGAAAACTTCTTACTTCTAAGTTTTCATTGAAACTTTTCTCGATCTTCGTATTCTTTGTAAAGTTTTTGTTTCTTTCCTTTCGCGTCTTCAGACGTTTCTTTCTTGACAACTTCAACAAAAATGAAGATTCTATGAAAAATTTTTTCCATCCTATTTGCGTATGAATGGCTGCACGGAAAAGAATAAAGTGATCGGAGATGAAATTGGTACTTGGGAAATGCAGCGATTTAAATACCTCTGGGACACTGGCGTGCAGAAGTTGCATGGGAAGGCCATCAGAAACCGAACTATCGGAACCTCCTGAGTCGGATTCAATCTCAGAGAGCAAATCAAGATTGCTTTCGATGTCCACGTCATCATCGTCTATGACGTCATCAGTGTTCAACTTATCCAGAATTGCTTTCCTAATGCAGCCTTCGATTTCAGACAGGATATAGTAAAACTGAGAAAACAAAAATAAAAACATTGTTAAATCAGGAAACCTCGAATAGAGCAAGAACCAATCTCATCTTTATGTTACATGCAAACAATTATTAGAAGCTTATTTGAAGAACTGAAAACTTCGAAAGCAAAGTTGGCAGGTTAAGAGTATGTCTTCGGAATCATTGGTCATAGTAAAGAGTGTGATTTTTCGAATGATTAGTGATTGCTGAAAATGATGTTATGATTGGGATAGCACTATTCACTGTGATTAAAAAACTATCAACTGATGATTGCATAATGGATCACATTGATAGTTATCGCAACAAATCAACTTTGATGGGAAAACATAGGAAACAGATCTCAATCATACCAATCACATTTCATAACCGATGCATGAACATAACCAAAAATCAACTTGACTATTAATCACTTTAACCCAACTCAAATATAGGAGCATTATTTTCATAATTACTTTTGTTTGATCAGGATCGCAATAATCAAGTAAGGTATCACAAAATTCATAAGCCATTGATTCATAATCAGCAACAGAGAAGTGATGGCCTTTCCTTTTTCCCAGAGAGCTACCACAAAACGAGGCCTGGAAAATTGTAACATTTATAAGAAGAGCAAGGTCAAGTCATTGAATATTACTTGCAAAATTAAATTGTAAATTTCCTATTACATCAAAGCTAAAAGTAAGGCTACTATAATTATGGAAATGATTAGATATTTTACAAATATAATCGTCTCTTCATTTCCTTTTGCTGTGTATAACTCTTATAAATTGTGCAAAAGAAGGCAAACTGAAACACAACACATGCAAATAGAGTGAAAGGAAATCGGCTGCTTCTTCTACACAGAACTTTTAACAAAAGAAGCGCCAGCGTTATGTACGGCTTTGTTGCAGAAGGGTATCGCTAATGAAGGCATCAGATGAACATGAAAAAGTTTCACCTCCATTGTAAAGCTGTTAGCGATGCCAAAATTCCACATAAATATCCTTCCAGTTCCTTCCTGTAAAAAACATTATGCGACAATAAATCCAGTTTGTTCTTCCAAAAGAGGATCTCTTCAAGACTGTTATTAATGAATTTTGATGAATTTATGAGTTCAATATATAGCGTTAATGATAAAAAATAACATTATCTTTAAGACACAAAATGCAGTCTTGCTTTATTTATAATGTTGGAAATTCGATTTTTAAAAAGAAAATTAGCAAAACTTTATAAATGATATTCTAGTTATTGTTTAAATGCGTTTATAGGTGAGTGTTGTAATGCTAGTTGGGTGATGTAATACTAACCCTGTTTTTCTGCACTTTAAAACGACAGTAGTTCTGAGAAAACTGAAAACAGACATACCCAAAAAGAAGGAGTTAATCAAACATAGAAATATAAAAATGGGAAAAACAGTTATAATAACAAATTAACCAAAACATTTGACTTTAAAGATAGGAAAATCCGGAAGGACGAAATTGTGACGGTCATAAACGGTATGGGCCGTAAATTTACACTTACAAAATACATGCATTTCTAATTCTGCAAGTTAACGATGAATAACAGAAGGCAGTCAAACATTATTATATGTTGCTAATTTTAATACACTGATGTTGGCATCACTCTTTTACATTCTTTAATTCAGGTCTAGGTACAAGAGAACATCCCCCTAACTTGATTTCCTTACGGATAATGTTCTTGCTGGATCTCATCTGCATGGGTCGCTATCAAAAGTGGGTGAAAGATTGTTGATAAAATTCAAACCTTGTCAGACGCATTTTTGGCAAGCATTGCTGGAAAGACTCTGCTGAAAAATCTTCTATTTTTCTCACGCCTAGAAGCACAAAGCGATACAAACTCGGAAAATGATGATCAAAAGCGAAATACAAGGCCTTTATGATACAGATATTGAAAGCAATCAAACAAAGATTCTTTAAGCAATCTCAGAATAAATATTCCTGCAATTTTCTAGTTTTAAAGTCTCCATGTGCAGTAACATAAAATCTCAAAAAGGAAAAGAAGCTGTACCTGTTCTCGCATCCATATATAAAGATATTCTTCTTTCTACTGTGTCCATGAAGGTCACAATACATCAAAATTTCTCGCTCTTCTTGTAGCCTTGAAAAACCAAACAATGAATAAATTATCAACATTTGAATCGTGAAGATTTTCAGCTTAGATCTACCTATGGGTACTGTAATAAAAAAAATCATCAACATAGTACGATTAGCAATTTAATCTTATAGCTTTCTTTTCACGCGACTATGAAAAAAACTATTTATTGGCTCAGAGCTGATAATTTCTTAGGGCTACAGTAGGTTCTCGTGAATAAGAAACCCCCTGGTTTAACTTGGTGGTACCTATGTATTAGAAACTTTAACCCTTATTATGAAAAGGTCTCTTTAAATAAGAAAATTTCTGAGGCTTCAATTAAAAAAGTGGTTTCTTATTTGTAGGAACCTACTGTATGAGAGAAATGAAAAGGTTTTTATCTACAAACCAAAGAAACTGAAAACCAAACTTTTAATAGGGTGCCAAAATGACAATGGTTATTTCAAATCAATTTCGATACGTTTAATACCAAAAATAATTGTTGCTAAGGCCATTTGTGGAAAACTGAGCTTACTTTTTGATCATGGCCCTCGTGTGCCAGATTGACGGAAAGGAATCTTTCAATACAGTTTTGTAGTTTCGGTTCAAGTCCCTTCCAGCTAATGAACATCGATAGTTCCCAACAACGACTCCATCTGGGTTCAGCATGGGGACAATTTTGAAAATAAAGTTTTCTCGTAAAACCTAAAAGAGAAGTTAATTTCTATAGATAAACCTCATACCAAAAAAGGAAGCTTTCAGATGAAGCATATGGAGCTTTTAGGATTGAGCCCATTATGTAATTGCTTCTTATTCAATGATAAATTGATATTGGAAAACTAAAGGTGAAGAATTGACTAAAACTAATTTCACAAACTATCTGATAAACCTTGGGATTTAAATTTCGATCGAGGAGGACCTAGCATGCTTGCAAAGATCAAAATGATATTCGTTTGACAACAACAAACAGATTTCCTTATATTTTAGCACTGCTCTGTCCTCGTGTAATATAAATATTTCACTTCTTATTGACATTTCAATTTCGAATGTACCGTCTTGGTTAAAACCACTCGCTATTTGCTGTTTGGCATTGCTCAGTGGCCAGAGGTTAAATGAATTAAAAAAGCTGGGAAAAACCTTAGCATCTTGAGCATTGCTGGTGAGGTAATCAATGAAACCCTTCATCATCCAGCTGGAATTCGTCTCACCAGGATGAACACGAGCCGTGATGACAATTGCCTTTTTCACCTAAAAATGGAATTTCGATATCAATCGGTAGAATCAGCAAAGGACAATTACCATTTGAAGGAGAAGTCTCCTTTTAATAGCAGAAAAACCGCAAATTGGAAGATTGAAGATTAGAGCTAAGCAATGTCTAAAGAAATATCAATTTAAAAGATATTACTTTTAATCAGTTGATTAGGCAAAATGAGATCAACTATATTAATCATAATAAAAATTGGGTTCAAAAGAATTCTTTGTTCTTGCTTTGATATCTCTTGGAATGTCAAATTTGTTAGCAGATGTTGCGGTCCATTTGTGTACTTCAATTTAATTAACTTTGCTCATTGGCTTTCTGGCTCTTTGAGGGCTTTGAATTGAACTGTTATGTTACAATAAAATGTTTAGAGTTATATGTTTACAGTTGAACTGCTCTTCTGGACACAGCGATGGGAAAACGTTTTTAAATAGAAAAGAAAATCAGTAAAGAGAAAAGGGGTTGCCAAATTCTAACAGTACCTATTTATGATTCTAGTGTATTTTAGGATTGGCTGCAATACTGTTTTTATAAATGAAAACCGTTTGGCTCTGGAAATAAAATAAATTGAAAGTAACTGAAAGAAACCTCGGCTTCGTTCTTCTTCTTCGAAGGAGCTGTAATTGTCAGCACGTAAACGAGATTGCCAGCCAAAGTCCGGCAAAGAATCCGCTGCTTGCAGCATCTAGACCGGGCAGGGTCACTTGCAAGCAACGCTAAATAGTCCTATGGAAGAAAATAAGGCATTTTCATGGTATCGATCCCAACAGGGAATGAGTTATATTAGAGTTCCTTATCAACTCACATGCAGCTAATGGCATGAAACAAATGCAATAGAAAGATTTAACAGCATAATCAATCTATTCGTCGGATAAGGTAATTGTGATATATATTTAGCAATGTCCTTACAAACAACAACAAACAGGCAAGGCTAAAATCTATGAGCCTGATGGCAGAAAGAGAATGCTCGAGGACAGGGGAACAGCTCAAATTTCGAGTTTTAGATTATCAACTAAGCATTTTGCGGCAAATAATAAACAAAATCATAATAAGTTCATTTCTTCAATCAATCTTAGTGTAGGTTTATAAGCTTTTAAGATAAATTAGAGAGAGAAGTCTGCAAATTGAATAAAAGATTTACATCTTTTATTCAGTTACTTGAACAATTAGTTATAAGAATCTGGGACTCATTATCAATATTGAATCATCAGCCTGTTTCTTTGTTTGGAGGGGATTGAGAAGCAATTTTGGTTAAAAGTAAGATATAAAAATTAAAAAAGTGAGCTTTTTTATGCAAAAGAAAACCTAAATAAGTTTGAAAATTTAGCAAATACAATTGAAGTTCGACAATTTGATTTTTTTTAAACACTTATTTGTACCTGACTTCTTTCTTACGAGCTAAAAATATTGACTTACATTATACATTGATGTTTTATGAGATAAAACAAATTGTATATTATAAGCAAAGGTAATGAAATGAAAAGTATTCTCGAAGAGGCGGGTACCTGAAGATCGGAATATGTGTAAGGATAGCAATGGGCAAAGTAGTAAGTGTCACTTTCGTTTTGAAACGAACAACTCCATGTCAGCGAATAGTAGTTTCTTTCTTTGATGCCGTCGAAAAACCTGAAGGAAAAAAGAAAAACAGGAATACACAATGCGTAGAGGGGGTGCAGTCATCAGGGAATGGTAATAAAAAAGCAAGGGAACAAGAAACAAGTTTAAAAGTGAAAAGTGAAGTAGATAATATTGACAAAAGGGACTGACTTGATATCATTTCTATAGTATCTTATGTTTGTTCCAGTTCTAACCCAACCAATTCCTTTGTTTTCTGCATCGATTTCAGAATACCCAAGGGGCCGCATGCCATCACTGTAAAGACTGCCCGCCTGCAGCAAAAAATGCGCAAAATGTAAAGCAGTATATGATATTCATGATAAATTAGACATAATGGCTAGAGAACCATGACATATAAAAGGAAAAACCGAAGGCGGTTATAAACTAAAACAGACGGAAGCCAAGAAAAAAAACGAAGAAGGCTGCAGAAGTAACAAGGAAGAGACAATTCTTAGCTTTGAAAACGTTCTGGTAATCGTTGTCTGGCTGTCTCAATGCTACAAAAAAACTAACCTTACAGCAGAAAAACAAGTAAATGTTAACAGTAGAAAAAGAATTGTGGATTGTGCACCTTGACAAAATTCATGATGGTGAACCTGTACTGAACTCCAGGTTTCGCATTTTGCACCATGAAGTAATACCACTGAGTGTGTTTGTTAGTGTACAGATCGAAGCGAAGCCACAGCTCGTAGTCATAATCTCCACTGAATAAAAAGAAGAAGTCTTAAAATTTGCAGGGCTCGGCATTTTGCGATTAAAGAACAGCCAGGCATACATATAGTATTGATCAGGATGTTTAGTTTGTATAATGTAATCTTTGATATCTATTCAATTTTCAATACATCTAAAAAATATAAAAACAAAAGATATATTAATAGCATATATATTTGCTATAGACCTTAAAAGTAGACTGTAATTCGCTCGTAGCTATAGCAAAAACAATATTGCGGGAAGCCTGACAAAATCACTGTGATAAATTGGTTATCCATTCCTCAACTATATACCCTTGATTAAAAATCTTTATTAATTCTCAGCTATCTAAGAGTCGTGCATTTCTGAACAGCTCTGCTTGTTTTGATACTGGCACAATCGCGCGCCAGCAAAAGCATGCAACGCATCTAAACTAAACACAACAAGCATCAGATTCACTCATAAGGGAGCTCCTTCGCTGTACAACATGGTTACGCAGCACTTACACCTTAATGGCTCTCATCAGATTTCCACTCTCAAACCTCGATTCAAAAAGCAGTGTATTGTCGTCAGGTCCTTGCAATCGGTAGTGTGGCTTGGCATGTATGGTTCTACCACTGCATTTCGATCTCGTGAACTGAAAAGAAATAAGCCTTTCTAGGTGATTCGAGTACAGAAATTTCGCACAGCAGAATCGTCATTTCAAAATACACTTAAAAAAACAGGTAGAGAATCAGATGGTAGTTTTAGAAGATTCTGAGTAGATATGTAAGAAATGTTGATATAAAATCATACACTAAACGATTCAGAAAAAACATATGCTTATTCAAACTCAATACACAATTAGGAATATCCAGACAACTTTCCAAATAAAATTCAGCAAAGAAAAGAAAAGGCGTTTGAGGAAGTTGGCATACGAATCTTCATACAATAACTCACATATTTGATATTAAGATCCGGTGAATTGTCGTAGACGACTTTTCCAAGAATATGTGAAGTTTTTAACAAGGGTTTTGAATCTTTGACTACAAAAGTAAACAAAACAAGTGAGTAAATCTGTTAAAACTCCAGGATGTGTTTCTTACGGTTTTAGTGAGTGGTCGTTTTCTACGAAAGGTCACGTGGTGTGAATGGTCATTTAGTGTGACAGATCGATTGGGAGGGGAGTCTAGCACGACCGCAGCTTTTGTTTGTAGGTGCTGGTCGCATAGAGCAAAGGTTGGGTTTGGTTTTAGACAGAACATGACCGATCATTTTGAAACCAATGATGATTTTGTAGACACAAATGAAAGAAACTCAATTTTTCTTTAATTCGCAAAAAGTAAGGGGTGACTTCTAATAAGCGTTCCACTTTAATTTTGATTTTAAACATAGAAGACAATGAAACATCACCATACCTGGCTTATAAAGCGTCTCTGGCCTGGAAGGAGCGAAATAAATATGGCTCGGCTTCTTAGCGACTAATGGGACTTCTGCAGGCCTACATAAAAACAAACATAGATAAGTTTTACTTAAGGTTTATCTCATATATTTAAAAACATTTTGGGTGCGAATCATCTGTCGATTAAATGCGATGGACTAAGACCAAAGCAGTGCTTCATGATCTCTTGATTTCAACAATCTTCAAATACAGAACAATCCGTCAATGTATGCTCAGTTTCTTTTTAGATAATAGCAGTGATATGAAAATTCTCAAGGAGGTTAAAAATATAACAAGAAAGAAAATCAGTGGAAGAGATTATGAGAGAAGAAAGGAAAGCAGTCACTAAAAAGAAAATTAAATAAGTACACACCATCTTTGATTCATTTGTGCTGAGAAATGTTTGCCTAGTGCGTAAAGGTCTCTGGGCTTTTTTAGTCTTGTGATCTTAAATGTAGACAGAGAAGTTTAGAAAAAGGAAACATTGGCGAAAGTCACTGGGAAACCATGTCATAAGAACATTCTATAAGATGATCTTTACAAGCCACGTGCAAGAGCTCTTTATTCATAGCCATGCAGCTAGCTTGATAAATTGTCTTCACTTTTTCGGATCCTGCAAAAACATGATAGTCTATCTCAATGGACAAATATATTCCACTCTTTTTTGTCTGCAGGCAGCCTCCATTCCACCAGAATCAGACTTTATATTTTCTATTGCATATAACAAACAACAAAGGTAGCAAGGCAACTCTCAGACTGTCGGTTCCTCTGAAATCAAAATATAACGGCCACAACCATCTTGTATATAACGGTGTCTTCTTCCCTGCTTAATCAACGACTATTCCACCGGTCCACATTGCTCAGTTTCCTTACATTACTAATCCACTTTAAACCAAGGTATTAGCATAATTTTGAAACTTAAGGAATATATGCGCTTCCTTCAAGGTTGAGAGACTCAGTCTTGAAGAAAGATTAGCATTAATTTAGTGCATTACTCCACGATCTTTATTGCTAGCAAAAGAAAGGAAGAATCCCACTAAACTAAACAAAGGATCCACAACGATTTTGAAAAACATCTGGCTGTGAAATACTTTTAACCTTCTGTAAAGAGCCCTCTTAATCTAGGAAATTACAAGGAAAACTTCCATTACAAAGGCTAAACGAACTAGGCCATTTTCAAGAAAAAATAAGCCGCAAGATCCGTTGTTCAAAATTCAACCATAGGCGACATTTTCATTCATTGTAAATTGTTTAAAAATCACAGAAAGGAGCAACTACTTTGAAAGAAAATTGAGAATGCTTTAATGCAATAGAAGGAATAAGATAAATGCAACAATTTATAGAAAATCGAAATAGTTTGTGGCTATCTTACATAAATTGTAACATGATTTTACCTGTTATCAGAATGCTTCAGGCTTTTAAAAGGCAATTAAGATGAAGAGGCCAATTGTGAGACTGCGATATCAAAACAGCGTTTATCTCTGAAATAGTTTTCACCACTGGCAAACAACTATGTATAACAACAACCGCAACATAAACAACCACTAACTCACTAACCAACAGCAGCAACATAATTGTTCTTTATGTAACGAATAGCCTCAGAATTTAGCTGAAGATTAGTTAACTTTGTTTCCAAGCAATTGGTTAATATCACTCTCCTGTCGTTTGTATCAATCTAAGCTAGTAGCAACTAATATACATGGAAAATTTCTGACGATAATTTAAATTTCGCAAAATGAGGCGGAATAATTACAATCAAAATTGCTGATATAGTCATGCTTCCCTTTATAGATGACTCTTGAAATGGTGTTTTTGTTGTTGACCAAAGAGTTTCAAATCAGATCATGTTTCAGAACCTTTGAATTTATACAACATCGAAAGAGACGTATGGTGTATTTGTCACACGACAGGGATTATTCCCAAAAACATTCCATAGCATAAAATTAGACGGCGTTGATGGATTTGCTTTGTAAGGATCAAAACACAGAAAACGAAAGTTAACTGAAAGTTTTGAAGGCCACGAAGTGCCCATCAGGGAGTAATATCAAAAGTAGGAAGGTGATTGGCTGTCGATAACGCGCTTAGAGAAACAATGAAGCTCTTGGCTTTATTCGTTTAATATCCACCTGATTTATCAAAATTCATTCAATATTTTGTCATAAAATGAGAGTAGCTCTCTTTTGAGAGAGCTCCTCCTTCAAGTAATTCACTTTTTACATTTAAGTGGGGCACTTTATTTCTATCTACAAATCGTATTAATTTTGTGTTTCATTATATAAAGCTAATGATCATTATGATTTTTTTGTAGTTCAATTATTCGTTTAGTTGGAATATAATATGTATACAGGATATAGAATTTAAAACAAAAATGAACTAAATGGAACTGAATTCATAAATCGTATGAGAAAATGTTTGAAACAAAACTTATGCTTTCAAGCTTTAGTTGTTACTTTGTAAGAAAAGACAAAAAAATGTTCATTCTTGATAAATCTGAATTTTTTCGAGGTGGTTTTCTCTCGGAATACAAACATGCTTGAATTTAAAGTTTTTTATGATGACGTAGTTGATCACATTGTTCGTGACGTCATCGTCAGAGCCAGCCAATTAGTGTTTCTTTGTCAACAAAAGCAACCATCTAGCAAATGGTATGTTGTCCATTCGACATAAGAAAAAGAAAATTAATAGGTCACTGTCAATAGGCTTTATCATTAGGCTTGCAATAAACATTGTTGGGGCGAAGAACTTCGAGCTATACCCCGACTAGCAATAAACCCCCAACTTATTGTAAATATCTACGCTTTCAATCAGATTCGGTAAGCATCAAAAAAATAATCATCCGGACATTTATATCTTAGAATTATGAATTTTCACTATGAGTTTCGAATACTCACTGTTTTCCCGCTTGCTCTTTTAACAATCAATTGTGTTGTTTTATGTTGGCTTTCCAGAAGAATTCCATCGGGAACTGCAAGAAAAACAACGCCAAATTCAAAGCATTTGCATGTTACAGAGGTCAGAAAGATTCTTGATAAATTAATTTTTAAATTTTTAGTTTCTTCTGATGTAATAATAAATTGACTGAACGTGGGGGGGGGATGAAGTTCAAATCACGCCTAACTAAATTAATGTTGAACATTATTAATTCCAATGAATTGTTGTTAAGTGGGATGCAGTATGAATAGAAGGCTGCAGTAAAGAGCTCACTCTGTATTTCATTTAGCACATATTTGGATTAAACCCAGGTCTGGATGATTGAAAAAAAATTGTTCCTAACTGGACCTAAAATCCTCCAGTAGACGACAGTCTGAGAACTGTTTCTTGGAGTCAGGATCTATTTTGCAATGTCCGTGTTACTATGTTTGTTTTCTAATTATTCGAATTGAAATACTCTTTTGCTGTGCACATTCGTAACTAGTTAATCTATATAGTGATACATCATGGGAAAACGGAACCATAGCATACTAAGGTACTTATGATCCCCAGAGTACAAACGTCGGATAACGAACGAAGGTAAGCAGAAAGCAGAGAGTGGTATGTTCTGTTCCCACTTTTTGGTGCTACCTTCAAATTTTGCGGTAGGCTTCTTGCCTAAATGTTTCAAAAAGATGCTTTGACAGCAAAAGGACATATAGAAAACATATCATGAGCTTGTCATGCTTTGGCTCCATAAGTAAAAAAAGGATAGACGAACCTGATTTGTCGAAACTCGCAAAAGGTCCATAGGCCGTATCATCGTCTTCCTCAATGTCTGACGCAGCTTTATTCAAATATTCTTCCTTTCCTTGAAGTTCTAAATGCATCATATTCTTTTCCCCGTAAACCTTTGCCCCCTCCATTTTTTCTGTTTTGAAAGGATCTGAATGAGATAAATGAGTTATCTATATTAGAGGTCTTTGTAGGGGATTTATATTGATAAGAATAAATTATGTTTGGCGAATAATGTCAAAACTTTGGCTATTCTTGTATAGTTTGATCTTTGTTCTTGTTTAAGTGCTCCAAAATCAAATTCTCAGTATTCAGAAGTATTCCCCCGTTCCTTAGAAATTCCTTCATAGCTACGTCAATGACAACGTCGATTTGGAAGAGGGGGCAAGACTGTAAAATTTAATCTTCACGGCTAACACGCTGATTCGTAGAGCCCGCACAAAATATTTAGTCCACGAGTATTCCAGCAATAGCCTTCTGACTTTTCTTTTTAAACGAGATCTCTTTCGAAAGCCTTTGCTACAAATTCCGCGCACAATTTCTCACAAAACGTTTGTTATCCGCAAATTTTCAATTTATTGTTCTAGCTTTCCCCGCACAGAAAAAAATGCTTTACAGGTTTAGAGGGGGTATCAATAAAGGAGGCTGATTTGCTATGCGTGCTTACACAGGCGCTCAGCATCCTTCCAGAGTAGAATGAATTGCAAGGTTGTTTACAAGAAGCAAAATGAAGCTCATTGATACCATAAACGCTTTCATTGCCAACCATCCAAAAACTTAAACCATCGTTTAGATATGGAGTAAAAGTGAACAGAAATACAGAGACATCCATTTTATTTTAAAAGTCATAAAATTATATATATATACACGATATGAAAGAAAACACGTATATAAGATACTAAAATGGGTGGAAAAAGTTTTGAATCATTCTCAAATAAATGAGTAAGAGCAAACAAACATCGTAATGCAAAGAGGAAAACTAAAATCGTTACCTGTCTGCTTCTGTGGCTGTTATTTTGCATTTGAAATACGTTACCTGAAAATAAGAACAAGCGTGTGCATTTTAATCCTTTTCTGGCAAAACTGCGGGCAAAGTAGAGACTTATGGAGGACCGTAAAACAGTGGTATAGTAAGAAACCCGGGAATTATCAACCAAATGAATTAAAAAACGAAATGAATTAAAGCATGCCTAATAGTATCTTTAATTATTCATAACAAAGTTGCCAAATGTTCTCAAACTGATTAATTCCATGGAAATATCAAGGATTGATTTTCCTTGTATTTATACGTTCACTTGTATAGATTAGTTTTCAATCAGGGCAAGTTCTTTTCGCCTGGCATCATTATTAGTTATCGCGTTGTCTGGCGCCCTTCGAAACCAAATTGCACAAGCTCGGCCCACGATTGATGGAATGATTAAAGAAACTTGCTCTAGTAGAATTAAATCACTATAAAATAGCACTAAAGCACTGATGTGGCGACAGATAATGAAACAGGTCTGGTAACCAAAAAGCATTTGCCTTTGATGCTTTGGAAAGTACCTATTTCGCGAGATATTGCAAGAGATATCAAGTTCTTTTACATTTAGAATATTGATGCTGTCTTGAATTCTTATTGCTGGAGCAAATTATACTCAAGTGCATAGTGCTACAGACGATGTGGTAATCCAAAGGTCTTTTAAATGAAATTCTGGCCTTTCACCTTCCTTGCATTAACAATTGACAGGGCCTACATTAATATATCTGTTTCAATCCAAGTTTATTAGCAATTTTTGAGGTTCTATACCAACATTAGTGTACCTCCAAGCAATGCTGTTGCTTCACTACAGGGGGTATGATAGCCCCCTGGGAAAAAATTCCTAGCAAAAGCAAGGAATTTTTTATAATGAAGGGGTGCTCTGTCAAAAAATTGTTTGACTTGTCTGCAATTAAAGGATGGCTCACCAACTTTTTTGGCAAATTGGATCCAAGCAACTACCTTGAGCAAAATAGGTCAAGGCAAAACCATTGAGAGATTTTTTGTTGTACATGTGAACAAGGAGGGGACTTTTTCTAACTATTTCCTAAATTCTTAGATACAATATCCAAGCAAATCATTGCCGAACACATAGCCAGAAGTGGTAGCATGGAGGCTCTAGGGTGTTTAAACCCCTAAGGTCTTAGTTAGCCACTATCATCATTAAGGCTCTCTCAGCTTTTCAAGCATCTTGGTACTTAGAGTTTAAAGAATTTATAATCAACTTTTTGCCTCTTTTTGGTTAAGTACATTGGAATCTTCATTTGAAGACTTAGTCTAGGATCTTAATGGCATCCAGTTCCTTTTGGAGGATATATGACCCAAAAACTCTTCTGTATAAATATAAGTAACTTTATATTCCTTCATCAGCAGTTTTTGTAGATTTTATGTCTGCTGGTATGAGAATATAAATGCTAGCACCTTGAATACTTATTTTTAGTTAAACCCTCCAACAATTAGATTTCAATATTATTCCCAAAAGAAATTTCATCTTGGAGTGAATATTAATAGAAGAATTATTTCCATTGACTTTTCAATGCCATAGTGCAAAATTTCTAATCTACTGCCAAGCCTTTGGCAAAGAAGAAACACAGATTCCATCCTGAGAAGATCATAAAATATTCAAGGGCAGATAAGTTTAATCAATTCTCAAATGGAAGACAATCTTCTGTACAATATTCACAAAACCTTCAAAATTCCTTAGAGGTGTCACAGGTTGCATAAAGGCCAAGGTAGAGCATAAAAAGCAACCTGTGTTTTGAAAAGCCTCCGACACGTAAAAAGTTCTAGCAGAAGAGGCTCGATTAAAGCATTTGAAAATAGAAAATCATAAACTTGCTCAGTTATAAATGGTACAAAATTTTCTGGGTATTCTTTTTAGTATGCTTCATTGGTGAGGTTGAAACCTAATTAATTATGGTTGGTGAAGTCACATTATTGTTGCTACAGTCAGCATTCTACAGAAACCAGCCAGAATGCTATTCCCTTCGCAAGTCCCTGAATTTTTCAGAATCAAAGTCCTTGCAACATATATGGACTATAAGACAACTATGAGATTTATCTATCACTTATAAAAAGATTTCATCCATAAACAATATCCATTTTATAAGAAACAGGTGAAGGTTTATTTACAGGGTCTGTTCATAAATAATGCTAAAATCTAGTTTTGATGCCTTCATAAGAAAATGAAGATGCATTAATTGATATACCTACTGAAATTTTGAATCCAGTCACGAAGAATTGCTAACAAAGGTTTGCCTAACTTAAAAAAGAATGAAATTTGAAAAACCGTTTTCTGTGATAATAAATAGACTCCAATATATGGCTCATTCAGAATTTCATAGCTCCTTTTGAATAATAGAAACTTAAATGGTAATTGTGCTCCAATTTTATTTCGCTCTATACTTACAGTTCAAGATGAAAACCTTTCATTGATCCCAAACACTTTCCTTTATCCATGCATGGGTAATTCGTCGAATCGAGAACATTGATTGATTTTCAGAGCTGACACAATTCCCCGTAGATTAGCCATACTTTATTAAAATTCAACAGCAATAATCTTCAGCAACAGTCATTTCAGATGTGTTGAAATTTTCGTAGAGCTTTGTTTGAAAAAAAGAACAAGAAAAGAGATATTACAAAAAATGCAAACCATATGAATGCAGTATATATATTGGACTTGCTTGGTACGACGATTGTAATGCAAGACTGAATGAAAAGGTCTTGGGCAGTGAAAACAATATGTTGTGAAAACTATAGAGCTTTCTAAAGCTATAGAAGGTAAGTACCGTGTCCACTGTGTCTCCACCCAATATAGTAATCTTTGGCCCGCGAATCTCACCTCAATCCTTCAAATAAGTTGTTTTCGTTACCAACCGCTGTTTGTTGTAGCTATTCTCATGGGAAAGAGGCTCACATAAAATGGCTGATACCCACATGGCACAGTCTTTCGTTGATTAATCCATTAATCCATTTGGTCGGAAACACCTGTGTCTTTGTTTTTGTGCATGTAAAAGATACCGCAAGGTATAGATGTTTCAACTGCAGCAAATTTCCATTCCAATGGATTATCCGTACAATTTCTAAAAAACTGGATACGCTGACAGCATTGTTTTCTTGGATGTTTTTTGGAAAGGCGAGAGAAAGTGTGTGAATTTAGTATAGAATATTGGGAGAATATAAAAATATATTATGTTTTACAGGACAAGTAAACTCTTTTTTCAAATAGTTTTCTTAAGAACAGATTTTGAACAATGTTGGGAACGCCCTTAAAAGGTTTCATCTCAAAAACAAGGAGGTTTTGACCATCAAGGGGCGTTTTTAAGTGAATTTCAAGTTGCGAGCAAATGAAGAACTTCTCACTCACTATGTTGGCAAACGAGGCCTGAAAAATCTTCTTGGACATAATATCTAGCAACTGTAAGGAGTAAACATAGTATAATCCAAAAAGATGCTTGAAAAAAGTGAAATGTTTTATCTTAAATTGATTTTGGGTTTTGAAAAAAAAATTGATCTAGCAAATGAATTTTGAAATAGAAAAAAAGACAGGTTGACAATTCATCAAGTAGCTCGTGATAAAATGATTTACAAATGCACAACTTCAGTGAAATAGAAGACGGGGGTGGTGATACAGTAAATACAGTAAATCTTTATTGATGCCAGTATGCATCTTAACTTGACTGCTTGCCCACTATGTTTTAAAGTCATCAACGATATTGTCTTCAATCATCAAATCAAGTCAATGATGCAAAAAATCTCTCAAATGTCATTCTTTTATCAAATCTATGATTATATCTGCACAAAGTCGTCTTACTTCTTTTAATCTGAAAAGTCTTTGCGCAATCCCATGAGGAACTATCTGTTGATAATCTATTTTCGTTTGTTCCACCCCCAAGATACTACAATAGCTACTGACCACTGACAGGAGAAAGTAGCAGTGGCTACCACTGGAATTCAACAAAACATCAGAATAATGATCGAAAATGTTAAGTTGGAATATACGTAGTTGTGGATCGAAATACGCCAATGAGACAACTCGACTCTAGAAAAATAGATTCACTCCTGAAACAATTTTTCGAAATATACTTTGGCGATTTTGTGCTTACTTTTTGTGTTCTTGTGTGTTACTTTGTCTATAAGATTAGAAAGTAGCCCTTTTGATAAACAACAATAAAAGAGAAAACTGACTACTAATTCCGAGGGTAGTTAGAAATTAATGCATTCAAAGAAAAACCCTATGTGTTTCATTGGTACTTATCATAGAAAGCAACTGCACATTTCAAGCCTAGTCAATGAAAAGCTATTTTTAAGAAAAGAAATAAAACCCAGCTTCAGATGACAATCGCAGTTCCAGCAAGCGCGATGAATTGATGTGTGCCTATTTAATCTTTTCCAAACCCTTAGTTGAGTTCAAAACTCAGTTTTGTTAGCTAAGGGTATGGTAAATATTTGTTTGCTAAGTACATGGATTGGTAGAAACTCGTCGACTAAGACAGTGCCGTCGGAATGAAATTCATATTGGGGGGCTGTCTATTGTTTTCCTTCTCGTTCAGTACAGTGTTTTAATGGAAACAGACTACAGTTTGACAATTATTGGGGGCTGAAGCCCCCCAACCCCCCCCCCCCCCCCCCCCCCCCCCCGCCCCCCACCCCCAGCCCCTTCGGTTCCGACGGACCTGTAAGAGCAAAATAATTACATGCAGCAAATGGGTAGCGAGCCTCTCAGCCTCCTTTGCACGTTCGATGGAACCGATGAAAACATGTGGTGTTGGCGGGAAGGCATGCTTGTTAGCGGATTAGATTTTGAATAAAAATGACGGAGTAAATACAAGGGAAAGACTCTTCATCTCATATGAAATGCTACATCACGATGTCTGCCATTTTTAAAGAATTCACTACATCTGGGATTTTCTGCAAAGGCGTTGCAAAGACTATCATACATCCAAGGGCCTACAGGCTAGTGTCGTGCACATGGCGGGACCAAAAAACATTTTTGCTCCCAAAACAGACTAGAAAGATATCTTGCACGAATAAATGTTCTGGTTTCTGGTTAAACAGCAGCAGAAAGAATGATGATAAAAAGAACTTTAAGGCTTTTTCGTGGCTTCGATTACCACAGAGATTGTCAAAATGGCAAAAAAGAACCATCAAAACTCTACCTGGCCACATTAGTGGTCCAAGCGATAAAGAAATTGAAAACTTTCTGAGGAGATTCAAAATTCCATATAGAAATGGCTACACAAGCATTGTTGCTCCTTGTCAGAACTGCAAAATTTTGGGCTTTGACGATAATGCGAAAGCTGACAACAAAAATTGGAGTTTGTTTATTAATAGAACGACTGGAAGATTTATTTGCAAGAAATGTGGAAATTCGGGTGCATGGCATGAGATTAAGGTGCAGAGCTATATCTTAATCAATGTATCAGAGAACAGCAAATGCAGGCTGCTTATTTTTGTGCTCATCAATTAATACATGGATCTAAATACTTAAAAGAGAATTGCTTTACAATGCTTTGTGAGTTTTTCATTGTAAAGATTTAGTTCTTGCTGAATAAAGTCCTTGGGAAAAACATTTTGTCATCCAAGACCCCAAATGTATTCATAATTGATGATGTCTTCTTTTGCAGTATTCATTTCACCTTTTGGTTGTTTGATTGTATACTAAGATTTTTTTCAATAGGTTTGCCAGATTTTGGATGGCACAAAAGTTGTTGGAAAGGATGCTGTTCAACCAAGTTTAAATTTAAAGGCAGCTAGACATAAGCCGAACACTGAAGATGCTTTGACAATTTTTGAAAATGCAAAATGTTTATCAGATGTGGATCAAACAGAGCTGGAAATTATATGCCAAAAATTCAATACACAGGTAAATTGCAGATTATTGATCTAAATGCTTTAGAAAAATTCAAAAAAGTCCTAAAGATCAATGGTATAAGGGTCTGTGTTTATTTGTGAGTCCAGAAGTTTTCTCTGCTTGTTTAAGGATTGCTTTTATTTCACATTTTATAAATGAATGATTTTATTCATAAATACATTTGATTTATAAATACATTTTATTAGAAGAAGCTTTCTACATGAACCAAAAGACAGGGCGCTTGGTACATATAATTGCTTCAATAACTAAGTATTTAGGAAGCTATCCTTAAATTGTGTTTATGGATTGTGCATCTTTATTAACAGAGTTTGTTTGATTCAAGCCCCTTGATAATGCAGTTTCATAGAAAATTTGATAGGTGACAAAAATTCATAGAGCTAAATTCTTCTTCTATTTTATTTCTTATGTCAGTTATATATTTAATGTATCATTCTAGCTTTTGAGCATGGATACCCTGAAAAAATATGGCATAAAATTTACAAGTCACAAAGTAAGTCAATTTTTGTTTATATTCTATTATGGTACTTCTGTTGTCTAAGTTTGTATGAGTTGTTTTCCATAGTATTTTCTCTCTTTGTGGTTTCATTTCATTAAGAAAAATTACTGTTATTTTCAGTTTCTTGAAACAGATGGGATGTCAAAGTCTCAGAAATGCTTGGTGATTCCATGGTATGACATCACAAGTGAGACAATCACTGCAGTAAAAATCTTTCCACTAGAGTCTGATTTGCCACCAAAATTTATTCCAAGGTAAATTATAACTTTTCATATTGCCTTCATTCATTGCTCTATGTTCAAGGCTTAATACGTTGATAATAGCTTTTCAGAATTTCAAAATTAGCTTATTGTGCCACATTTCTAATGAAATTCTTCAAAGTAGAAAAATTTGTCAAACTGGTTTTGGAAAATTTGTCCACCTAAAGATGCAACCTTGAATTGCTCACTAGCTCCTAATTTTGGTAAGTTGTTAGTGAATGCTCTATATGAATGATATTGATAAAATGGTTTTGTTCAATGGTTTTTTATGTATTTCATACATTAACAAGTTAATAATGATATCCTGTTAGGCTAATTGGAAGGTGCTGGTTGTCTTCCATTAAATCAAAATCAAAAATCCAAGTCATTTTTTGAACCTTAGAAAATATGCTGGAAGCTTGTTTGGGTCAAAGCAGTCAACCAAGAACAGCAAAGAAGTAAGAATTTTGACAGTTTTTTAGGATTGGTAGAATTCTTAAAGCCTCATATCATTTATCAATTTTATAGAGTAGCTGATTAAAGTAATATATGTTACAGAAAAGTAATCATGAGCCAAGGCTTTTTAATGAAGAGATTGGTAGTGTCATTGCAATTTAGAATCAACTTTTAATGAATGCATGAATTCCTCCAGTCATGCTGCTGGATTTTCTGGTATAGCTCAGTTGAAAATATATGCTTTTAAATAAGATGCATGAAATAGGGACAATATTGAATATAATTTATGATTTAAATGAAAGTTACCAAACTAGTTTGCTACTTATTATTTTACTGTACCAAGTCTTAATTCATTATGGTCAAGTTAAGCTATTTTTTTGACTGAAAATTTATTGGAATTTCTTGACTTCTGTAGATTGTGCTCACATCTTCTGAATTTGATGCCATGGCAGTTGACCAGGCAACAAGTCTGAATGCTGTAGCATTACCATCGAGTATATCTGTGCTTCCATTAGAGGTATGTATCAAGGTGCCACCTATTGCGTCTTGTAGTTCAAATATAATATAATATGACGATAGAAATTTGTTTTTGCTTACTTTTTCAACTTATATGCAAGAATGAGTAACGCACCAGTGTACTCCAATTCACATAATCATTTCAAACTTTGTGTAGTTAATGAAATTATAACTGGTCTTTATAACTCTTGTAGTAAAAATTTTCCATATTTTTAAGCCCTGCTTCCAACATACCAAATATAGTAGAGCAACAATATTCCTTTTGCTGTAATCGTGTAACTTGAAAACAAAAACTGGAGTGCTTTCATAGTGACTGGATAAAGTATCGTATTTTAAAGTATCTTATTTTATAGTGACTGGATAAAGATCTTATTGACCAGGGTATCATATTGGTGAGGGTATAATTCTTCTGGGTTATTTCCCTTTTTCTTTAGGCCCTTCCACAACTGGAACAATTTGAGAAGGTCATACTTTGGTTTGGAAATGATGCTCGCTCCAAACAAGCTGTCAATCAGTTTTCTAAGAAACTTAACATGGAAAGGTGCTCATTTGTAAGGTGAGGTGTTATTAGTAATTTTTTTTATTTCTCTATCTTCAGTTGAAAGGTAATGGAAGGTGCATGCTTCATATGAAGTTAAAGGATATTCTTTTAAAACACTCTGGGTGGTAAAACACTACTTCATCTATGCCTTTTTTAAGGGCTGAGATAAAAAACTAGTTACGAGTGATGTGTCCAGTCCTGTGGGTCAAACTCAAATTTTATCATTGAGACAGTACCTTACATCCATATTGGTCATCTGAAACGGTTTATGGGGGCACACCCTTAACAACAACTTCAGCCTTATCAGCTACATAGTCGTATGAACCCCATAAACTGGTTAAAAATATTTCTTTCTTGACAAGTAATGTAAAAATCACACAGAGGCCGTGTCTTCAAGAATATGCTTTTAAAAGATTAGGTTTTTATCTTAGTTGGAGTTGATTAATTTAAGTCATAGATAAACATAGCTTTCTTTTTTACTGATTTTGTGTATAAAAAGTAAAAAGTTTTGTCAAGTACATTTTTTCTTAGGCTGCTAGAAGAGGATTCTCCAAGTGGTGCTCTCGAAGCTTTGAACAAGGTTTTTACAACTTCTGAGTAAATGATTATTGATACTGTTGGTCTTAAATTACTGTAACAGTTTGCCCAGATATATTTTGTATATTTTTTATATTTCTGGCAATTAACTATTAGTTAGCATCATGTATTTATCATTGCTTTTTTATTATCCAATTTTTGAATTATCCACTTAGAGATTCATAATCTATGTTGCTCTAGTAATCATGTTTTGTAGTTATTTTATCAATTATAATTTATTTTACTGTTTTCCAAAACGTATATTTATACAAAAATGTATAGTTTTTCTTATTCTTCATCAACTTTACCATTCTTGCCTTTACTTCCGAGAAAGTTTTTTGAATAATGAAAATCACCAACGTGATCTTGAAACCGTTGCAGGGTTTCAACTTAAAGGCATTAATAGCCAAAGCACAAAGTTTGAAGCATAAGGAAATACTAACATTCAGCCAGGTAGGTTTTATATTTCTACTTATATTTTCCGTATCTTTTATAATTATATGCTTGGTATCCTAAATTATATTTGCCATGAAGCGAATGACTGTTAGCGATAGTCCAGCATTACTTTTATTCTGCAGCAAGCAAAAGAGTTTTTAGAACATGTTTGCGATTATGAATCTTTTGCTTAGATTTTTCATTACATTCCGCTGCTATTTTGCTTGAACCATTGGAGAAAATTGATTATTTTTCATTTATTTGTTACCTCTTTTTATACCATTGTGGCTACTTTTTTCTTGCCAAGCTTCGTGAAGATGTTTTGGGAGAATTTCTTAACGCGGACGAGGCAGCTGGAGTAAAGGTTTGTCCATCATTTTGATCTGATTAAAGATTTTAGAGCCGATCTTGGTTTGAAAAGGTACAGTTCGAAATGTGTAATTTTGATTCTGCGATGTCTTGTTCATTCTTGTCATTTCTTTTTTGTAATGAAGCATTTATGCTGGACTCAACATTGTTTGCCTTGGACAACAAAAGCGTTACCCTCTATAACAATATCCACAATACCATTCTGCAAAAATAAACAAAAATAACTTAAAATCAAATCGGGACGAGTTGAAAAAGTAGAGAGAGACGAAAACCGTGCCCAATAAATCGCATGACTTTAATTGAAAGTCTTTCCTTTATGCAAACAATCTTTTGGTGATACAGAACTTGAAAATGGCTTTGAAAAAGGCAGAGATTTTGAGTTATACTAAAGCCTGATTTACACGAGACGAATTTTTTCGTGCGAAGCGAATTTTTCGGCGCGAATGCGCAAAAAATATGCGCAGAAGTAGAGATTAGAAAATTCGCAGCGAATAAATTCGCTGCGAAAAAGTACAAACCATTCCTACTTTTTCGCTGCGAATTTTTTCGCCTTGTAAAATAAACAAATCAGAACAGCATTTGATTGAAGACACCTGACTTCTTTTTTGGTTTCAGATGGCCTACGTCTTTCCGCATTCTTTTTCTCAAACATTCTCGCCTTTAAAACGTCAATACAATAGGTTGGTAATTCATTTCCTGTTCCTCGTACACAATCCATGTAAGTGGATTCATATCAGATTATTATTCATACATTTGAAGTTCAAATTGACGAAAACTGGCTTGAAAGTTTCATCTAGCTTCGATGGCGACCTTTGAAAGTATTTGAAGCTTGAAGTACATATCCTGGTCTTATAAATGTAAACTTTAATCTCTCTTACCGAAAGATGGAATTCCCCTTCTGAAGACGTCCTCAATAATTTTTTTCTAATCCAGTATCGCTTTTTGCTGTTTTGCTCGCTTTTTTGATAAATTTAAAATTTAAAGCTTTCTGATAAGAGCACTCTTCGGACAGTCTCTATATTCTTTTGTAATACTCGCAGCGAATTCGCATAAACATTTCTGCCAGCGTAAATTGAACTTCGAATTCGAGAGAAAAATTCGCAGCTAAAAAATTCATGGCGAAAAATTCGCTTCGCGCGAAAAATTCGTCTCGTGTAAATCAGGCTTAAAGCTTTTCGTCTGATACTCTTCAGAGTTTAAAACGTCAGAACATAGATCGAAATCAGAAACGCGAGCATATGACTGTTAAGGTTGACCAATCAATGCCGCTTGCCTATTGAGAATGTTACCAATGGAGTCCTTAGATGAAAACACACTAAAATTGTCTAAACAATAGCGGTTTTTTTCGTGCTTATGTAGATAGATTCCAAAACTGCTTGATGGAACGACGATCGGGCTTTACCAATATTCCTAAACATGTCGCCATTATAGTTTTTTGCACAATCTTGGTTTTCCAGCAATTGCTGCTCAGTTAAAGCTACTATTGGCAGGCCCATATGTCTTTTATCATATAACTTCCATTCTACCAAGGTAAAACATTTGCCTCTGAATCCTTGAGCCAAGCTTCTCGATTTTTCTTATAGATTCAATTAATGTTCATAAAATAAACCTCACAACAGCGTGACGTATCCTAAAGTTTGTTGAACATTACATCATCACGTTATGTGTCCTCTACAACTTTCCCTCTAACTCCTTGTGAAACGCATTTTTTTATATTCAAATATCCTTAAAACTTCAAAATGACCTCAACTCCTTCCCCAATAGTTTTGTTTTCTATAATTAGTAAGCTCAATAAAAGAAATGGCTTGTTTCATTTTCCAACGTGGTTAGGAAACAAGGCCTTTCTTTGTTGTCAGTGACCTTAGATATTTATTATCGTGTCTTCTGACAAGCCCCCCTGTTTTAGTGGAAGCGGTTCCCTGGCCTGACGTCAATATTGAAGGGGCATCGCCGGGGAGAGCTTTCGATTCTCACTGGTCAAACAGGCACTGGAAAAACGACGCTTCTCAGTGAATTATCTTTGGACCTCTGCAGCCAAGGGGTGAGCTATGAAATGTATACAAACTGCTTGGTAGCCTGGTATTACCATTTTTGTCTTGCTCGATAGACAAACATATTTATTGCTTTAAAAGTTGAAGAGAAAAATTCCCAGAGCGCGTTGACTAAAAGCGGTTCAATGCAGATCTTTTTCAATTTTCTCAATGAAGTCTTGGTGACATCAACTGGGGTTTTCTGCCTCACATCATCTCCAATCTATTTCAGTACGCATTTTGGGCTGAAGCCACAAATGTCTGGGGTAAGAATATCGTTATAGACGCCTGAATAACATTTCCTTCCGCTGTTTTAATTAAAAATATAATTTAATCAAGAGATTATCTTTCTTCACGCCATTTTTATGATGCATATTTATTTTCGAAGTCACGCAATATTTCCATTGCTGCTACATCGAAAGTAGCTTATTTAATTGTGACCTGTTCTCAAAGTTTGACTTAAACAAATTTTCCTATTCGTGTGATTCCATTTTTGTATCAAGATGACTTTTTTTTAAAGTTTCTGTCGTCAATGAAAAGGAGTGACCTCATCTTCTGAAGCCGTGTCTCCCAGTTTTTAATTGATAATTTCAAATCAACTATTGAAAACCAAGCTATCTGCCTTTTCTTTTAGATTTTTCCTGACATTTTTTCCCTTCATAGGTGAGCACACTTTGGGGCAGCTTTGAGATTAAGAACGTGAGATTGTTGAAGGCAATGATGTGTCAATACTCTGGGTAAGTCGATTATCAAGCCCACCTTGGTAATTTGATATTGCCAGTTTGTCTGTGCACAATGACGCCGCAGGTATGTGTAGTGGTGGCACCAGCCAGAACCGAATGGGGGAGGTTACGGTGGCTCCTGTGAAAATTGCCTTTAAATATGCTATTCATATCCATGAGCTTATATCAAAGAACCTTTTTCCAATCAATAGCTATTCGTCTATTTTAAGAACAATTTTCGTGCACTGTTCTAAAAATTGACTGCGTTTTCGCAAAACTGGTTGAATAATTACCCCCAATGTTTCGTTGAAATCGAAGTTTGTCAGAACATTTGCTTGTCTTTCAGAACATATGCTTGCGTAATGTTTACTGTTGTCTGTTTATCTCAGGTTAAACTTGGAAACTGCCATCGGTCAGTATAATTTCTGGGCAGACAAGTTCGATATGCTTCCTCTGTATTTCATGAGTTACTTTGGAGCCCAGAGTATCCAAACCGTTTTAGAGGTAGGCAGTCATTTCTTATTGCAATAGTCACTTGATAAGTGATTTGCAGCTAACAATAGCCAGCCTGGTTTGTAATATTCACAAACTTTATTATTTCTTTCCATCTAATAATAACCACTGGATCTTATAGATAGACAAATATTTGTTAGGTTAAATGTTCCATCGCATAATGTGTATACAACACAATTTCATTATTTTTGTAGTTCGTCTGGACTTCATCCTGTGACCAGAATGGCTAAAAGTTTTGATTGATGACCATCAGGATTCGTTGAAATTTTTTTATGCAATTCTGGAAAACTTGCTCGGAAAATGTTTTGTCGCAACAAAAAGTAACATGTTATTCAACAAAATATGAAGTTTCCTGTTTTTTTCGAAGCGAGCACCCTCCTATGAAAAGTTTTAAGCTTCGCCTCTTTACTTTTGATTCTGTGGTTTAATGCAACCGGAATACGAAACATGGCTTACGTTGTAATTATAACGAAGTAATTCTTTTATGAATGAATGAAGAAGAAAACCCTGGCCATCTTATTGTTCGATTTTATCAGATAAGAGAGTCAGAGTTTTTATAGATCTATTTCTTATCTCGACTAGCTGTCCGATGTCGGTTCAATATGACAGTGCCACGATATGAACACAGTATTTCGTTCCCGGTATTCAGTCTCTATCAATTGATATTAAAAGATATAAAAAAGGATAATTTTAGAATAAGGTTGGATAGAAATCAAGTTGACAGATATCAATAGTGAAAATGATAAGATGCAGATATGTTAGTAATAAGGCAAGGAATAAAGGGGAAAAACGTTAGGAAAGCCGAATGATTACCAAAGCAAAGCTTAAATTATGGACCTAAAACGCTTGTTTTGCGCTATTCCACGCTATGAAAAAATCGATATCTCTATCAATTTGTTTGAGAACTATTTCAAAGAGATGACGTTTAAATAGGAACTTCAAAAGGGTTTTTGTAAAGGCTAGCAAATGAATTGATTTTCCCATACCACTTTGCTAATCAACATCATCAACATGCCACTTGATACTAGACACTCTCATACTGTCCTGTTTGATCGACATTTTGGGATGTTATCCAGATTCGTCTTTGAGTCTCCTGGACATGATATAGGTGTTTGTCCATGCTTCATTAATTATCTTTACTCTGTCGACTCCGTCATTGACTGGTTTTTATCTTGCAATTCACCTTTTTGCTGTACTATTCTCACAGCCAGAGTCACCGAAAAGGGAGGGGGCAACTTACCCCAGGCCTTCGAGGTGTAGGGGTACTTAATAATGATCCCCATTTAAAGTATAAAATTTTATCAAACGTAGCAACAGGATGCCTAAAAAATAGTAAAATGTTTCAAAAGATTGCAAGATGGCTTCAACTCATATTGCGAAATGTGTGGTTGGAAGAATTTTCTTTCGATCAATCAGTTTTTACCTTTCCTGAAGCAACCATAATTTTTATAGAATAAAGATGAAAGCAAAAAATAAGATCGTTTCTTTTTTCGATATTTTTTAAGGAAGTAAAAGTCTTCCTGTTTCTTTTAGAATTTATATTAATCAGATCTATCACGTTTATAACATGGCTTCATGGAATAATTCTGTTAACAAGATTTTGCCTTTTGCGTGAATCAAGATATGTAAAAGAGATTTCTTTTATACATTTATATTTTATCCATGTGTAACATGTACGAAATTTGTTGTCTTTTCAGACGATGAGTCACGCTGCTTATGTTTATGATATTGAGCACGTGATCCTTGATAACCTTCAGTTTATGATGTCGACATCAGCTGTCAAGTAAGTGACTTAAATCGATTTAAATTTCCCTTTAGAATATCAGCGAATTCAACAATATTTCTCAGCTATTTGAAGTCAGAATGGTAGAGGAAATACATGCCCGTTCAATGTTACATGGGTGTATTTACTTAAAGCTACCAAAAGATTTTCCACCACTGAAAATATAGTTATAGTTTCTCTCAGCTTTATCCACATAGTTTGGTTAAAACTGGTTTATGTTTTGTATTTTCCTTCCTGTGTATCTCATTGTTCTGATTTATCTTTAGCTTTTCAGATCGCTTTTCAACGATGGATCTCGCCATTTCATCCTTGAGGAATTTTGCTTCCAGTACCAATGTTCACGTGACACTTGTTATACACCCCAGAAAGGTGCACCTTTTCAATGTATCTGTTTCATGAATGAAAATTTTATTTAATAACACTTGCATTTTCACTTTACCAAACTTTAGACAAAGTTTTCATAAAAAGCAGTGATAGAAGTTTGAAGCAAGTTAGGTAAAGAAGAACTATTACGGGAGAAAATTCCTGTTGTATTTCGATTTGAATTGAGTAACGGCAATGATGTCAGCTTACCGATGAGTAAGACCTTTTTATGTCATAAAATTTACCACCATCTTATCTTTGCCTGTTTTGCCATATTTACACAGCAACTCAGAATGCTACCGGTGAACAGCTAAACATTACACACAATTTGTAACAAAGGATGTTTGCGTTTTCGCAACCCCCCCCCCCTTCCTCCCATTTTTACCCTGACATTTATGCTTTTTAATGTCTATGACTAAATTTTTAAGAGGAAAAAGTAAAGTTTAATACGACACATGCATGCAGCCCAGGGTGATCAACAACCGTTTTCAGGCCAGCAAGGACAGCATGGTTGAATTCATTAGTCAAACGTTTCTCGTTTCTCACAGGAAAACCAAGACATAGAACTGCAAACTGCATCTATTTTTGGGACTGCGAAGGCAAGCCAGGAAGCTGATAATATCATCATACTGCAGGATACCCCCGGCAGAACATCTCGGCGGTATTTGCAGGTGCGATAGATATATTGTATGTTTCTTAAAAGTTGTATTGGTCATGAGGAAAATAATCGATCATAAAACTGACTGATTTAGTTTGATTGGTTTGATGATGTGATTTTGGGTAGTGAAGTGCAGTAATTGATTGAATACTTGATTTTTGTTATATTTTTTGAATGGTAGGTTTGGATAAACAGAATGATTACTTTGGACTGGAAGTTTGTTTGGTTGTAATAGCCGGCTGAATCGTGTATGATTGGATAATGAAAAGTAAATTTTTGCACTAGAGTAGTTGATATATTTCTGGTTGTCTGTAGACTGGTGAAAAGACGTTTTTGATCGTGTACATTTTTTCTTGCAACTTTCAAGCAGTTCCTGAAGATTCTTATCCTGTGATAAGATGGTCTTGAAGATTAAGAATATGTGTTTGATTTCGTCTTTCATAGGTGACAAAGAATCGTTTTGATGGTGCTCTAGGAAAGGCCCCTTTACAATTCAACCGGGACTCTCTCTGTATGTCGGGCTTTTGCAGGGACTTGAAAACTGGAAGCACGAAGTTTGGCGTTGGGACTTTTCAAGGTAACTCTAAGGACCAATGAATCAAGAAAATTCAAGCGCATTTTCTCAATATTTTATCATGTTTGCAGTCTTATCAGCTGCAACAGATTCTGCAATTTATATAAAATCTTGTAATCTGTTTACATTTTCTTTATCATTATCCAAACTGCAAGAAACCACTAAAATGTTAAAAAGAAGCTGTCAAATCAAACCGCCAAAAAATTACCCAACTCTCGCATTTGTTTTTCTACATGTGAAAGAGGTGATATCACCATACCGAGGTCTTTCTTTTTACTAACCTTGACTTGATAAAAATTCGTTCTCAACTCCCTGCTTCAACAATGAATAAACAACAGAAACGAAGGAAGTAAGCATAAATGCCTGCCTTATCTACTTAAGTCATAATTTAAACCTTATTATCTGCAATTTTTATGTAATCTCTTGTCTTGTAATATCAACACTTAAATAAAATCATTTATTAGTTTTACTTATTCGATAGAAATGAATCGATTTAAGATGTTTTGTAGTCTTATGTAGTGTTTTGTAGGCTCTGGCAAAGAAATCCTATCCGTGTCTTTTGATATTTAATTCAAATTTAGGAAATTAATGATGATATCATTTATGTTTTTTATCAGAAAACCTCAGCAGCAGTTTCCCGTCCATACATCTGTCCGTTTGTTTCCGCTTTTTCTTTTAGATATCTCGCTGATATTTATAATTTTGACTAAATGTCTTTCAGCCAACCAAATGGTTGCTTGTACTTTCCATCCAAACGGATTCTAAATTTCGACATCTTCGATTCGTGCTATTGGAACCAATCTTAAGCTGTCCTCAAAATGGCAGAAGTAATTGAAAAATTCTTTCAGGAAATTTGCACAACCATGACCAATAATGTTTTTGCGACAAAGTCCAATCACGGGCTGAATCTTCCTTATCATTCTCTTACTTTTAACAATGTGAACTGGATTTATGTAAACTCGAATATTTTGTAGAGAGCATCAACTATGCAAGGGTAAGGTTGATACTTAAATGCAAACATCAGCCCATGAAAACAAATTAGCTTTATTAGGCCTTGGAACTAGTCAAACGTTATTCTTTTGCCATCGTCTTTCAATAAAGGCCCAGAAAGCTCTTTCTTTCTTTCTTTCTTTTTTTCTTTCTTTCTTTTTTTCTTTCTTTCTTTCTTTCTTTCTTTCTTTCTTTCTCTTTCTTTCTTTCTCTTTCTTTCTTTCTTTCTCTTTCTTTCTTTCTTTCTTTCTTTCTTTCATTCTTTCTTTCTTAACTGACATTTACTCAATTTAGATGCCTGTTATTTAGAGGCAACTGCAATAAAGTTTTCTACAGAAGAATGTTGTTAAGCAAATTTATTTCTGCTTTGGTTGAAGGAAGCATCTGTTGGGAGTTTTGATGCTTCAAGCTGGTGATTGCATTAGGCCTAAAGCTAAAAGTCCGAAAGCTGATGTTTTGCATTTTTTAAAGAATGCCCTCAATTCCTTAAACATACTGCCTCTGAATAAAAGTATTATTTGAAATTTGGAGAAACTTGAGTGGTAATGGGCATACATGAGACCAAGACACCCTCTCACTGTTGCTCTTGAATCTGCAATGTACGAGCAGTAGTTGCTCAATAATGGTGGGCAAGTAAAATTCGGTAATTTAATTACTGTTGCGTATGTGATCTACCGCCTACAAACACGATGATATCATTTTAATCTTCAAAACACCTCAGATTATGGCAATAAATTCATCGTTTGGTTTAGGATCATCTAATATGTGGATGAATCTCTTGCTTTGTGTCCCTGCCTTTTGCATACACATCCGACTACCCCGTGGTCTTAAGCTGCACTTTGCAAGCAAACTGAAATTGTAAACAATGTCTGACCGAGCTACTTGCGGATATCACATGCTACTGTTACAAAATTCATTCTTATTTGCTTCGGTCTTTTCTTGCAGTGAAATGAAATGTAACAGTTGCCAAGGTTGGAAAATTTGGCCTGAGGGCTGGGGGGGGGGGCTGTAATGATGAGCGAAGTGAGGCTAGCTTGGGAAAATATTTATGACCTAGAATTTAGAATTTAGGGGCTGGTTGACCCTACTTTCTAAGCTTGTTTCTCGATTTCTCTTTTAACAGGGGTTTCATAAAACGTTTCACCTGCAACTAAACATTTGCTTTAGGGATTATTTGAGCTCTCAGCTAGCAAAGCCGAATTCCAACGACTACCATGATTGCAGCACTAGAACCTAATATGAAACTCGATCTTTATCGAATTGACTTTTTTCGGATAAGTTCTTGCTTGAATCTCCATTCAAGTCTGTTTGCTATTTATCTTTGAAACTGTTTGTTTCAATTCAGAGTTTCCCTCAAGCAGGTTTGAACTGAGAAACATGCCTTAACTCGCTTCTGTCTGCTGTGCCTCGGCTGTCACCCCTGCAATATTTTTCTTCCTATTTCTGTAAAGCAGACTAAGTTCTTTGTTGTAGTTGTTGCTTCTCTTTCCTTGTTTGTTTTGGCTGAATTTACGTAGAATTTAATAGTTGTCGCTTAACCATGCTTGTACTGTTACTTGTTGTTGCTGTTAATTAATTAATTTTTCTTTTTTCCACGTTTGCAAAAAAACTCTAATTTGTCATTTAGATGTAAAAAGCTTTTTTAAGTATTAGATTGTACTTTAGTTAATTTAATTGATGATGATGATAATAATGAAGATGTAAGTTTCTGTGCCATTTCAGATCTTGGGCGTTCGGGGACATCCCCCGTATTAAATCGGGGATTCATAGTTGCTCGTCTCGATATCAGTTGTCCAATGAATTGCTAGTAATTCGATAGCTTTGATTGGTCAGTAAGTAGATACAAGCTGTGCTTCTCCCCTCCCGCAGTGGGGGCGAACACTGACTTGGTTAAAACCAAAGTCACACTGGGTATCAGACCATGCTGCCATGTTTAATGATGAATAAATTGTGATCACTCAGCAAATGTTATATTAAACGCCCCTAAGTTTTCAAACCCCGTTAAATGCTCTCTCGTTTAGCTCAGCTAATTAAACTTAAGAGCCTCCTCCTTCGCTTTCCCACCGCTTTATTAGAAATTCGAGAGGGCTTCGTAGTTTGCTAACTAAATCAAAAGACTTCATTAAAGGAAAAACTTTTTTTTTCGACCTTACAGTGATCTTTCTCTTTCGTTTTGCTTCATTTTTTAGAGCTTTCATTGTTGAGACACAGTCTAGGTTAAAAAACATTTTGTTACCGCCAATGAAGTGGCGATCCGTTTTTGCAACAGATTGTGAGCCACAACTTTATTGAGAGGTAACATCCAATTTTAAGTAAATTTTAGGAAAATTGTAGTAAATCAAAAAAAATTTTATGCACAATGGAGCATCATGTTTTTGAACATTTTTTCCCTCCTCCAACCTCCTCCGCTCATTACATGTTTGTAGTTTAAATCAGTCATAAAAGAATTTAATCATTCTCTCTGTGGTGATTCCTTCTATCCTTGTTTTGACTGGTGGATCATCGTCTGTGTGGGGTATTCCCTTGAACAATTCGCGGAATCCCACATTCCGACTGTGTTATTTGTAGTAACAGACGGGGGTTGCAAGATGTCGGTGATTGTGAAAGTGACAGTACCTTGTATCCATAAAATTTTGCTAAGAAGAGAAAGCAAAACAAGGTTAGAAGACACTTTGAAATTGGATAGCACTGCACATGCCCACAACTTGCTTGCATTCACAACCTATGAATTCTGCTGCCTTTAAGAGTACTACATTTGTAAGTATGATGTTTGACTTTGAGATTGGCTCGCTTCTCTTGCTTATTTCTGCTTGCATTGTTGTTTGCATTATATTGGCATGACTGCATCAATACTGCGCCAGGGGATCGCGATCCTGTTGCCACGTTGCATGCTTGCCAAAGAATTTGCTTTGCTTTTGAGCATCTGCAAACTTAGCTAAAACTTTTTGGGATTTGTCGATTTAGTTTGTATCATGTTTTTTGCCTTGTCACGAGTCTTTAGAAATGTTTATAATTAAATGTTTCAGACTCGTTTGTCACTGCAAGGAATTTTGAAATATTCTTAGCAAACGTAAACAAATTTCCTGAGCTTTTAGTTGAAACCCCGTTGTTTCTACTTGTTTCTCTCGAGTATCTTTCGCTATTAGAAAACGAAAACCTTTCTTGGAAAACGCTGCGGATTTCTTCCGCTTGTGCATGCTGTAACTGTGCACGACTTTGCAAGGACCAGCTACTTTCCCTAGGAATACCATAGACCCAGCTTTACAACCTCATTTGAGCCCACATCTTAGTCACGTCAATGCTATGTTTTGTAAATGCAAACAGTTTCTCAAGCGAGTTATTTCAATGATGTCCTTTTTACTCAAACAACAAATGAACAGAGCCGTGCAATTTGAATATATTTCAGCTCTCACACAGGTCCTTGCCCAAAAACAACTCCCTATTGTTTTATTTCAGTTTAAATTAACCAAAGTGTTATTACTGCGTTTTGAAACATAATAACATATTTCTTTGGCTTTCCATGATACTCTGAGTAACCAGAGAACTGGGGTCAATTTTCCAATGTTCTACTAAGATCACCAACCGTTCGATTTCACCAATTTTCGACTCTTTTGCCCCTTTCACAATCATGTCACCTGATCTCAGCAAATCACCAGTTTCGTCTACATGGAATCTCCTTCGCAGCTACCTCTTGAAACTTTTTGCATGATGGTTTCCACGAAACCGAACAATTTTCGTCTGGTAGGTAATTTTTTAAACGCCCCTCATCTTGGGGGCAATAATTTTTTGAACGCCCAAGGAAAGGTTTACCGTATGACGATTTTACTCGACGAATGTTTTCAACTTCGAAGATTTATGAATAATTATAGCGATAAACGAAATTATCTATATTAGTGAATCCAACCTAAAAATTGTCTTTATAGATAGGATAATATCTCTATGGTACTCTCATATGGCCCAGGATTTCAGTAGAGTCATATTGGCTACGTTAATTTGTTGCAAATACGCACCCCTTAGGACGGGGGGCAATCGTTATCTGACGTAATCCAAGAGAATTCCGCAATCCAAAGCCAAAACCTATCATGACTTTTCAAATGACCGGCGTTGAAGGAATTTTTCATTTGATTTTATCGCCAAGAAGCCCATTATTTGTGGCTTTGGGATGGGAATCAAGAATTTCCTTGAAGATGCTCTGAATTTCCGGATAAATTCTTCGAAAGTTATCTGGAAAATGACCCAAAATTAGGAAATTCTTGAACAAAGGAAATACGTAGACTCACTGACTGTGCAAACAATTGTTCCCTGAATTAGTATCCATCGTCAAGTCTTCTATGCGTCCCTGATAATTCCGATAAACCTAAAATGATTAACCGTATCAGTTCTACCTTAAAATTGCTGACTTTACTGGATCTTAACATCCCTCACGAGCCTTGGAATCACTTTACAAAATTGCAATGCTAGAATCTTCAAATTCAAGTGTCTTCTATCGCTATAAAGGGCGTGGCCCTAAGTTGGTTTGTCACTTCCAGTCCTACCCCTTTTCATCTTTACCCCCATTTTTTCGGTAGACCATAAGACAATCGCTCGTCTGTCCCAGATGTTTTGCAACTAGTGGCACATCAGCAATGGCAGTTTTGTTCCTGAAATACTATCTTCTCTCTAAGTCACGACTAGTCTTGATTACACAACTAATATATAAGCTGTGAGCTGGTGGGCGTCATTTTTTCTCGTTTATTTAGGATGCCTACAATCAATATTCTGTTTTCAGCATGTTTAAAGAAAGAATAAGCAAATTTTTTGAACTTTAGGCCTGCCGAGAGCTCCTCTGGGGCCCGGGGCAATAAGGATAGATGAGGCCTGTGATGACGTCATGAAGTCTGTGATTGTTATTGTTGCTGTTGTTGTTAAGAACTTTGTTAAAACGTTTAAGGCAATCTGCTCCCCCTTTCGTCGGGCTTGTTGAAAGTTAAAGGATTGTCAAAAAAGGGAATCATAACAAATAATCTTTTAATGACACGGATAACAACCCCGAATCACTTTGCATAATAACGTCACCGTGTCATTCATATCGATTCCCATATTTGGCATAGAACTGCTCTCTAATCAAAGCAGCGTGGTTACTGAGGATAATCACGTGAGTTTGGGCTTATTTTCAATCGATGATTCAAGAAAAGGAGAGGGCATTGCTCTATTTTTATACAGGAGGTTGCATTATGCATCTAGGAAGGAAATAAAAGCCACCAAATTAAATTATTAAGTTGATCTTAATGGCTGGGGTATTGTTCTAGCCGAAAGAACTTAGTCCTAACATTTTTAAAGGGACAAATTCCTTACTTGAGTATGTTTATGCAAACTGTCGATTGTCGACTTTCACTGAATAAATTTGGAGAACTAAAGAACTGAAGAAATTTGGAGAAGTGATTGAAACCTTTCCAGGAAAATGAATCCTATGTAGACTATGAATTGTATTGACATGTCGTATCCCCAGCATTTAGGAGAATTTCCCCAATATCTTTATACCTTATAATATTTTTTGATCTACCGAATGAAGGCCTACGTCACCACTATTGGCATATCACTGGATACTGGCGGGTTATACGTCGCCCATTCTCATGATTCGGTGATTAAAGGTTAATTGCTCATGAACGGTTTTAATTTGAATACATCTGTTCCGTGAAAATTTTTCAGCAGTTGCTTCACGTCCACACGATGACGTAACCCCTGCTTTTGCTCGTTGACGCAACGTTCTTCAAAGGAATCCCGTGTTTCAAAAGGCCCTAAAATATTTCCTTTGTGGCCTGCTATTGTATTGTCCTGGTCATAATGGTTGTTAAACATAAAGGGCGTTTCTTTTCTCAGACATTATTCTGCATTTGTTTTGCTCCATAATGTATGACTTTGGTTTTGATTGCAAGATTGCGGCCTCAAAGTGTTCAATATAAGTTCTGCAATCGGTAAGTTCGTTTGCCTCAATTTCATATTTTTACTCAACTCATTATGTATTTGTGACGTGCCACAAATAAAAAGCGAGTTTACTCCATTTCAACAAGATATGCATGATAACTTGATCAAAATGGAATAGTTTTTGAAGCGACCTTTCCTCTTCATGTTTTTGTGCGCTCTTCCCTGTTATTTCGTCTTAAATTCAGTCAAGGAACCGTTATAAATCTGCAAAAAAGATACAGAGCGGTTTTGAAGTTAATTTGTTTACCGAGTCGTAAAAGTCATCATTCTCAAGTTCTTTTATTTTTAGTTTTGTATTCAAAAACTAATTGCAGATTAGGTGAAAATCTCGATGAATCTAGTAAAACCATGAAGAAAACTGGTCATATTGAAAGTGAATTGGTCTTTATGAAGCATTTCAATCGCACTGTGACCAATTCTTGCAAGATTCTCTGATATTCTTTGAAAATGTGACAACACTGAATGCCAATTATCCTTATAAATTCAATTGTCTTAATATATTTGCAAACAAATCTACTTGATTTCGTGCTTGGTTTTCGAAATCTTTTTCTTGTTTTTGTTTCATCATCTCTTGCTTTAACAGTTGATGTCCCTGTGATTTTAATTGCTATTTTCACAAAAGCCTATTAAACCAAAGTTTGATGTGCTTTCTTGTCACATATTAAAAACAAACCACTCACTTAATACGAGGTATGCCACATTTCTTTTGTTCTCCTCTGTACCTTTGTAGGCCCACGTTTTCTTGAAATCGAACAGTCATGTTGTCTTATTAATACACGTAGCCTTGGTAACAAGGACCACTTTCCACAGAATTTATGCAAGATCAACCGCTGGTTTTTTTTACAATTATTGAAAACCATTTACAGTTATCATTGCACCTACAGAAACATTTCAAAGCTGGTCACAGTTGCAAAACATCGAACATTCTTAGACTACGTTCACACTACTGCGTATTCGTTTCGCTCCGTTTTCGTTGATGAAAACGCTGTCTGTTCACACTAATCCGTTTTCATATGAATACGCTCTGAATATGATGGCCTCATTTTTGGAAAGAGGCGTTCACGAATCCTCAACAAATTGACGTCATTATAAATGAAATTAAATGAGAGCAAATCGTGAAAAACTTTGTTGTAACAGCTACCAGTCCATTGTGAATTCTCAATTTCAAAATTTTTTAGATTTGGTGCGCTACAAAGCACGTAATTTGTTAGCGTATTCAAATGTCTCCGTTTTTGGCGTTCACACTGAAAACGGAGCGTATTCAATATGCACCGTTTTCGAAAGTATCCGTTTTCATTAGCGTTTTCAAACGACTCCGTTTTCATAGCAGAGTAGTGTGAACGCAAGGAAAAACGGATTAGTTTAACTCCGTTTTCATTTGAAACCGGGTATTGTAAACGGGCCCTTAGAAATGGAACATAATCCTAGAAACACAAGCAGCGTGTTATTGACCCCAGAAAACAAGTACACTCTTTTTTTTATAAGAACAATTTTATAAGAACACGAGCCTCAAAATTGGTCAAAAGTTAAGAACAAATTAAGAACAAGCTGAGGCTGAGCTTCTGCAAAATGCAATTTTGAACAATGTTTTTCTCAAAATCGAGGATTTTTAGCGATGAGTGGTGCTTTTTCGTCGAATATTCAAACTTTTCGGCAAATGAAGGTTGTCTCACTCACTTTGTTGGCAAATGAGGCCTGAACACCTCCCTAGAGCGAAAAAGCTAGCACTCGCACTGCTTACACCCTATTAGATTAAGAACAAATTAAGAACAATCCAGCCTCAGATTTTCGAAAAAATTAAGAACAGTCAGCCTGAACTGAAATTTACTGGTTCTTATAAAAAAAGAGTGTAAATCAAAACGAATATCAAAGATAAAACAGTTACAAAACAGTCCATAAAATGAACCTAGAAAGTGATGAAAGACAAACACACAATGTCAATTCCTCCATCATACCCCGTGTCACCGCACCGGGCTAGAAAAAGCATGGGCCCTCTAACATCCGTAGCACCTTGCCTTTGAGAGACTGTTTGCTCCTTCCTGGCGTTTCACAGCCGTCTGAGGTACGCAGACACCTTTCTATGACTAATCTGTTTTCCCTGGGAATCGTTTTCAAAATTTCTGTTTGTTTTCACAGTTGAAGCTGGTGATGAAATGCGTTATCAATGCATCTCAGAAATGTAACCAAAACAAAGAAATTGTAAATATCTCGTGGAGCCTGCATTGTTAGAATTATTGGCTTTAACGGTAGGCCACAGCTCGATTGCAAACAGCTCAGAAAAAACGCGCAGCTCGTTGCAAGACTAAAGTGTTTCCAAGATCAGGTATGTTGTGAATAAACATTGCTTTAATTTCACTGCTGCTCTAATTTCAACTGCAACTACTCTTTTAGCAGCATTTTTGGAGTTATGAAGAGAAGCGCCAATGTCCCAGCTCAATTTTGTTGCATTTTCTTTAAATTTCCATCAAATTCTTTTATCGCAAGTTCCAGGCAATGTTATTTTCAAATGCTGACTTTTACTGTCGATTAATTAATTTTTTATATTCAAATCAAAGCATCTCTTTGTAGCGATATCGGATTCAAGTTGTGGTTTTCATTTTCTTATGTAAATATTGTATCAGATGCTGTAAATTTTATGTCCTCTTTTTCTTATCTTTTGAATCCCGTGAAGAATTTTATCACGTTACTTACAGAATTGTGTGGTTATCCAATCCAATTAGTCGCGATTTAGTAACGAATTTTGTGTAAGGCTCAGTACAGAAGTTCCTTAACTGACGACCAAATTTGGGTTCTCTATATATCTTAGCAATCCCTTAACTTTTCTTCGTAGTAAAAACAGGGTCATGTCATAGCGATATCAAAGACAATTAAAAAATTAATAATTGAAAACCATCGATTTGAACAAGATAAAATAATGGAAGGATTAACTTATCAAAAGTTCTTAATTGAAATATTAAGGGTAAGAAAACGAGTCAGTTGCATATAGCTGCTACTAAAGATCTCATGTCTTAAAAGGTTTAATTTTTCAATTTCCTGACCAGTTCCCCGTCCAGCACCACAAACGAGGGGCAATTCACTCTTGCAAAAAGCGTACGAGATTTTAAGATTAAAACAAAAAGATTTTAAGGGATTTTCATATAAAACAATAGGATTTTCACATAAGGTGTACGAGATTCTCTTGGAGTGATTTGCCCCTGGACCACAAATACCTTAAGTTTATGCCTGTACAACCTTCCTTGTAATATACCTTCCTTGTAATATACAAAAATGCGTGCACATTTTAGATGGTTTATGCACCTTCGAAAGGTAAACTGCAGGTAAAAGGGCTATTAATCACACTCCCCCTTTCGGCCTTTCCTGTCCTACAAACCATGATGACATCAAACCTTTCCTCTCGTGAGGTCACTTTTGCTCTACTGCAATTTCCCTAAAGGCTTGTACACTCTTTTTTTATAAGAACAATTTTATAAGAACACGAGCCTCAAAACTGGTCAAAAGTATGCAATTTCGAACAATATTTTTTCTCAAAATTGAGGATTTTTAGCGATGTGTGGGTGCTTTTTCGGTGAACATTCAAATTTGTCAGCAAATTAAGGCTGTCTCACTCACTTTGATGGCAAATGAACACCTCCCTAGAGCGAAAAAGCTAGCAATAGCACTGCTTACACCCTCATGGTTGCTATGGCATTTTCTGGAAAATAGGAACTAAACAGAAGCCCCCTTCCCCCTTGCCAATTTTCTATTCAGAATTGCTTTCGGAATCACAATCTTTCCGTCTTCACTTTTCATCAATTACCAATTCGCAATTTTAAGTTGAAGGTGCTCATGATTGAGAATACACAAGTTACTCTGAGGCGGTATTAGAAAAGTTTTTTGAATGCAATAAATATTTTTGATTTCCTAATTTACGGCAAGCACCAAGTTGGCCAAGTAAGCAGTACATATTGCAGGAACTTCCGAGTAAAAAGCCATAAATGACTTTGCGAGGGTCACACACCCCCAAATCCCTTATAGGCATAGCTACTGAAGTTACCCTCTGCAACAATGGGTGTGCACCCTGCCCTTATCCGATACCCCATCTCCCTAAATGCTGTTGAGAAATTCTATCCCAGTTTTGCAAATAATGATAAATATGCGCAAATATTTCATGATAGCATTCCCAATTATATTCTTTTTTATAAGAAAAATTTTATAAGGACACGAGCCTCAAATTGGTCAAAAGTTAAGAACAAATTAAGAACAAGCTGAATCAAATTAAGAACAAGCTAATACAAATTAAGAACAATCCAGCCTCAGATTTTCGAGAAAAAAATTAAGAACAATCAGCCTGAACTCAAATTTACTGGTTCTTATAAAAAAGAGTGTTCGTAGCTGAGACGGCGTTCTTACTTTGCTGTAAAAGAGGGCTAAGTCATAAAGATAAGGCTTCACTCGTCACTGCCTGTGCCTGCCCAGGCGTACCATGCTGCGCTTATTTAACGCTGCTTACGTGATGGAATCTCAAACGGTATCAGGGTCACTGACAATCGGCGGTTCCCACGATCCGTCGTTGGTGGCCGGTGGAAATTTTTGGGAAGCTTTCCAGACAAAATCGACAACGAAGTCGTGTTTCCATGGCTTTCATCTCGCTTTTGGCGAAGAAATCATCGGATACAAATTAGCAATTTATAAAAGACCCGGTTTAGCATACACACTCGATTGTAAAGACCCGCCCTCCTATTAGATCATCTGCCGCCTCTTCGCAGCGTGACGTGGTTGCAAATTCGCTTACATTTTGTCTGTCCGACACTTGACTCTTCGTACAACACAACTTCTGCCCGTCTTTCCTAAAATCTCATTCGCCTGGGTAATAATAATAATAGGTAGGATTTAAATCTGTGCACAGGGCAAACCACTCGTTTATTTCGTTGAATCACAATGTATATAAACGACGCGTGTAAAACGTGATATCAAAAGGGTGCAGTGCTGCCATAAGTGCAACAAAGGCCCTAACAACGGAAAAAAAATAAAAAAATATCACTTTCAGGCACTGACAAGGAGACTAGCCCTGTCACTCCCAGGTCTTATCTTTTTGTCCCAAGAACCCCATTAAAAAAGAGCGGGGCTTGTAAGACTGTCCAGTTTTAGAAACAACTGTTATGGAAACTTGCGCAAGTCTTATTGGGCCATTGCAAAAGTAAGCTCTTTTTGAAAAATATTCCCCCTGCCTTCAAAAACGTCTCCATCGGTATTTTTTTATTGTTCTGCCCCCTAGTCTAGTCACTAAATCTGTCACTAAACTTTGTACAAATCGTCATACTAAAGTCAACGTGGTTTTTTTAATGACATTGCATTGTAAGGTGCCCCTGGTGGTCGACTAGGTGTATAGAAGATTGTCAATAGGAGGATTTACAAAGGCATGCACAAAAGCAAGGCTGGGTTCTGCAGTGGACGTGTCCTTCCCAAAACGCAACGACACAGGGAAACAACAGTAGACAGACACTGCGAAAACTTCTAACGACTTGCCAAATGATAATGCCAGAGGGTTCTAGAAATTTCTGTTTATTGGAAGTGTATTCGTTGAAAAGTCTCACAAACCCATGATTACTATTTTACTGCGGCCCAGTGCAACTCTTGGAAAACTTTTTTGCAAGGATAAATTTTTCAGACTTTGCAATGCTCAATCCTGCAATTTTTTCTAGAAATTTAGGCCATTTTATCAGAGAAATGTAAACTTGCAAAGCTTAGAACCCAGTATGTGGAAAAATGTTCTCTTGGTTGGATGTTCTATTTTTCCGTCTATGGGGAGTGTATTTTAAAACTACCCCGCGAATAGCTTGGCATTTCGAGAGTGGCTTTGCATACAATAGAACAGGGCGAGAGGAGAACAATCACTATGACACAAACCCACACTTTCTCCAGCCAGCGATGGGGTAATCACAGTGAATAATGACGTAACAAGCCGACTGTTGTGTCTCGACACGACAGCTGTGATTTCCAAAGTAGAAAATGTAGAATGGTTATTAGAATGGTTAATATGAAGGACACCTTAAATCATTAACTACATTGTAATATTTACCCTAAAATTCCATCCTTTATGTAAATGATGAGCAAATGGTTTGTAGTAAAGCCAGCCCCATGTATCCGCTCCCAGGTTCATTACCAGACGGTTTTGTCGTTATCGCATGGCTTGTTTCACAATATTGATAATCAAACGACACCTGATGACAGTTTCATCCAACGTACCTGTCAAAGATTTTGATTATAGATCCTATGATTTTTGCATTGCTTGACAAATTTAGCCCTGAGACTCTGCGTCCAGTTTCGTTTTGAGCTGCACCGTTTTGTGGTAAAACTCTAGATACGTTGCATATTGGCAGTGCTGTGCATTGAAAGGGTTTTCTGTGTGAGTGCATTTTCCAGTTGATTATTTTCATTTTCTGTTGCTTTAGTTTTTCCTGTTTTACAACTTTATGAGACTGTCAGCTCTTTGTGTTGTTGCAAAAATTGCTTTTGATAATTTGCACGAATGTTTGATACATCTTCCGATTTTTAAAATGTACAACCGTACCTTTTGGAAGTGGACGCGTGTGTACATGAGCAATGTTTTCCGTGCAGGGCGAGAGGGACTCGCTTGGTTGGGGTGAAGGGCATTAGACGATTTTCGTTTTTTTTCTAAGGTCAGATATTTCTCCGCTAGTTTTAACAAATTAGGGATGGGTGTGCAAGCTATTTTACAACCTCCTTTTGAAAGCGACTTATATCATGCAGCTCATTCGTAAAAAATGGTTTTGTAAGTTTATTTATATCTTTTTCTATCTTATTAAAAGTGGGGTGCAAAGGGATAAGTACCATTTCATTCGTTTGTCTTCGTTCAAGAATACGAAGAACTTCTTTTCTAGCGAACAAAAGAATAAAGAAATTTTTCACTTTTGAAGTTTCTAATGAAGGGTACAATTTGGGCCAGAAAGAAAGGGGCACTTCTTTCCCCTTCTCTATTTTTAGCTGGCTTTCCTGCTCTGTGTCAGCAGGTTCTCTAAATATAGAAGAAGGAACATTAAATTTGTTATCTTGTCTCGCAAACTTTATGACAGCCTTTAATTTTCCTGCATGGCGATTCAAGACAAATACGGCGATTGAGTAGAAAGAAACACTTATCTTCGGGTATCAAAGTCTTTGCCAGAGACTCTCTGGCACGAAAGTATATTGTCTGTTGTTCTGGTCAAGTTGCCTGCATTTGTGGGCTTGTGGCTCTATTTACGTCTTTCCTGTTTTGGTGATAAAATTTTCATCCGCTCGTTCGGAATGTAGTCACGCTAAAGGCTTATATTTAGAAATGTCAAGAGCAATTCGCAGTTTTTAGGTAAAGTTTAAAAGTATTGTAATTGGCCATGTAACGTCTGTGCAGACGAGTACAGTGCATACGTAGTGAAAAGAACTTTGGCATTCAAAATGTCAATATGCCCATTTTTGCACCACAACTGTCCTGTTAAATGTTTCATATTCCTTCTTGTTAGTTTCGAAGAGCTTCTAATAATTTACAGAAAATATTCGTGAAAAATATGACAGAACATTAATTTAAACTTTTGTTCCTGGTTATGCATGACGTCATGGTTTAGGGTGATGCCCACTTGTATCATCTCAAAAACGGATATCATCTTTTTGTTGCAGTAAACCTCGTTTCCGGTGTCTCAACATCAGTGCACACTTGAAATTTTTGCAGAGAATGACTTCAGTGGTAGACATGAGGTTTACGCTGTTAGCAACACCAACGCAGTCTTATGATTCCGAAGGGGAATCGTGTACGTCAGATGAGAGTCACTCATCGCTCACATTAGAGAACGATCCTTTATTACTTGGGAACGACATGAATTTTTGGAGTACCGAGTTATCCCGTTTGGGTGACGAGCTTTGTAAATACGGTGTTGCGGATATTTTCAAAGAAAACAAAAAATCATCAGGTAAATCTAAATTTAAAGATTCTTTTTCAATTTTATTTTTTTCAACGTATACACTGTAATTTATACTTTCAAGCTTTTTTTAGTGCCAGGAACTTTGATACTTTGCCCTCGTGCGGAGAAATTTCTTTTCTAGGAACTCTTTAACACTAATTCTTTGTCTGGTTTTGATTCAAAGAACAAACACTCCAGACTCTTTATTCTGTTTGTTAATACCTCTATCCAGTTCGAGAAAACAGTTATTTTCTAGTTCTCTAAGAAATACGATATTTCTATGGAAAAAGTTTTGGTTTAATATCACAGAGATTGTTTGATTGTTTAAAGCCTGAAACATAATGACAAATTAACTATAGACATCGTCAGAACATGTGACCCCTGTCGAATGTATGAACATCATGAGGCCTTGTCAATGGGACCCTACTAACCACTCATTGCAAAATACGTTCTTACATGCCTTAAAACCGATGTTTCAAAGAATATCGAAGATTATAGGCGATAGGTTTTAGTAAACAACACAGAAAGGCCTGCTTTTCACCTTTAATGACAGAGTGAATGGGCCTAATCAGTGTGATTAAATATCACGGCCGGGGGAATGTTTGTCATTTTGTTAAAGACAATTACGGTTTCAACAGGAGTCAGGGGTCTTAATGATTAATATGTCTGAAGAAACATGTTTAAGGGCATTTTCCGTCAGATCCTTGTATGACTGTATGATGTATGACTGTATATTGTACTCCGTATTATCGTTGCTTGATTGTCAACTATAAATGTTTTCAAATTTCCCTTAAGCAATGAGAATCTTCCCTCTTTTCTATTTCAATTTGTGATGAAAAATTTCAGTTTTATTAACTTATGTTGTATCAGAAATGTATTTTTAAAGACAAGTCCCCTGTTACCCTGATCCCCCTTGTTGCCCTCGCCGTATCTTTCGACTAGGCTTGGCTTTTATAATGTAACAAAACAAATCCCCGTGTATGTGAAAAATATTTTACTTCTTAGCTGCCATACAGTTATGTGTTATTTTTTAATGACTAGTCATATTTATGTTTAGCTTCCAGCATTATGACAAATTCGGTGAATCATAGCTAGGTATTGTTAAAACTATTGAAATCTATTCAGGGGGTACAAGATCTATTCATGGTTTCTATACTGAAATACCCCCTGGCAGATTCCTTAATTTTGCTGACCCCCTAAACTCGTTTAATTTTGCGATAACTAGACTAATGGTTTTTTTGTGATGAAAATGAGAACAATGAAAAAAGTACAGTTTCGGTTGACGAATCTAAGGTTTCTGTCGTTTTAGTTACCAACAGGTCTTTCTGAATGTTCCGTGTAAGCAATATTGCAGCGTAGGATTATCTTAACCACTGCGTAGGCCCAATTGTCTAGTTTCATTCCCGTTTCCCGGTGATTAATACGAATTTTCAAAGGCCTCTTCATGGAACTGAAAACAGCCCCCTCATGCTAAAGAAAGATTTTTAATGTTACCATGCAAACAAAGACTTTGCACAGTTCTACTCAGTCCTGCTTAACCTTCCCAGAAGTCGCTTTTTCTGGCCTGCTACCTTTATTCTAAATATTTCCTCCAGACCTGGAGTTGAATAATGCGGCTTTGTCTGGGGATGGCAGACCGGCCAAAGTACCAAAATAAAGTTAAGTTTATCAGAGTTTCTTGAGAGAAGCTCTAATTTATATTCCTTTATCTTTAGAGAGTGGCCTTATGGCTTATCACCCCGCTCCTTCAATTTCCTCTGTCTTTAGAGGTTGGCCTTATATACTAATCACCCCCAAAATCCTTCTGTCCTTAGTGGTTATCTGTCCGACTAAAAGCCTCCCAAATTCTTTTTCCTTTAGAGGTTGCCCCCTTGAGCTAATTAACCCAAGCTTAGAATGCTCCCATCGTTCGTGTAAACATGCCTAGTGGGAAGTGAGTACCTTAACGTCTGGAATAAGTGTTTCAATATTAATGTATTGCCCAGCTGAAACACTTGTTTTTATGTCGCCTTTTTCTGTTACAGATGATATTCCTGTGTTTCCGGACTTATTTCCATATGTGGAAGGTAAGCAAAGACAGTCAATATCAAACAATTGAATGAAATAATATTGTTACACAGAGCGAACTTTTCCACGCTCTGTTTGATGAAGGGAATCGTGTTTTATCGATTTAGGTTGATTTCGAGACGGCCGCCTGCCAACAACAACTCTCGAGTTTTCCACATCTTTTGCTGGCATATTCCACACCTTCTGTTGGCTTTGTCCCCAACTGTTGTTCCTTATTGGAAATTTTAAATATTAAAACCCATAATCCTGCAAAAAGTTTGAATATGTAGAAACATGATGAGTTTATCAGGGTCTTTCTCCACTATCTTTGAGTGGAAGGGAGAAATAGCCCGATCCAGTCCAAGTGACATTTCTTTTTAAGCTTAAAATAATTGTCATTTGAACAGAGGCTTGCCCGTCAGCTAATTTTCTTAAGAATGATATGAATTCCTAAAATTATGGATATTCTCATCGAATATATGCTTATCGTTTGTTTTAGTTTTCTTCAGCCCTTCATGAATTCAAACGTTTTGCGCTTTTCATTTTAGAAGCTCTGGCTGATAAAGAAATCTTTTGTGATATGGAAATCGAATCAGAAACAGGTCAGAAATGTGTCAACGTTATCTTTTAATTGGTTGCTCTATTTTGTATACTTTGGCACAGAATTGGGCAGCATGATGTCATTTCGGCGATCTAAGGATAAACGGCTTGCAACACCAAGAAGAGGCTGGCCTTTATGATTGATATTCGAGAGAATCAGGGCGGATGAGGATGCTGAATTTTTGTTAGAATTCATTGTGACGTCATGTATCTGCAAGCAATTTAGCATCCAGCCATCCTTATGTATTCCATACACTCTGTTAACAGTTAGGATTTTCAGATTGTGCTTAATACTCCCAGTGTTGCTTCTCAATTTTCATGTAGAGGATGATTCCAAATGGTTTTCAGTAATCTCTTTGTAATACATGAGGTTGTCTTATTAAGGATTTGCAGTACTTAGAAACTCCTCAATTTTCTCCTTCTTCAATCGTCATTCACCCCATTGATGACATTTGCCCTGGCGACCTTTCAAAACCAAACTCGTTTCAGGAAATCTAATCTAGCATTTGCCTGCTTTCTTTTTAGATTCGTTAGGCAGATTCGATTGCTGCTGCTCAGAGCAATGTCGCAGTTATGACTCATCAAGCGACTGGAGCTACCCATCATCCCCTCGCAGTTTCGGTATGTCAACGATAAACCGGACAGATAACTTTCTCTCTTTTCCAACCCAATCCAGCGGGCAAACGAACGTACGTAGGAGAAAATGTCTTACCCAAAATGCAGAATTTACGCCGTATAGTTTCCCTGGTAGCCTTTTAAAACAGCATAACAACGTAGAAATGGAATTAGATTCCACTGCGCCTGAGCTGATTCACGAAGTCAAAACTGAAGTGGATTCTGCCTATGTCACTGAGGATTCGCCTGATGGTATCACCCCGTCACCGATGACAACAGAGGATGAAGAGGAATCTTCAGGTAGGGACCTTTTGGTCATCTTATTTCTCTGCAACTTGTAGAAATGATTCATTTCGTTGTTTTAATTGGACAAAATTGTATCAATTGGTCGAGTTTAGTTTTATATAGAACATGTTATAGGGCTAAGATCTAGCCCACTGAGAGTGGGAACAAAGAGGGGACAATATCCGAAAAGCACGAAGGGATTAGAGCCGACTTTTGGGGCCCAGCAGCAAACGTATATAATAATAATAATAATAATAAAACGAATATTTATACAGGATAAACACTTCAACAATTAGAACATCGCTGTTATCACTGTGTGTCCGTAGCTAAATTATTCTCAATGAAGATGTCGGTACGGTCTCACCCTCTTTCTGCTTCTTGGCTTCTCAAAAGGGGCGTGGTATGGAAAGATTTTAATTCCAGAGAAATATCCTGACCAGCGCCCAACCTGCTAAAAAGAATAAAATGGATTTCGCATTTGTGAAGGCTGTTTGAGATTTTTCAAAAGCCGAACAAATTTAGTTCGGTTTGTATTTAATTCATTTGATTGATTCTCTCTCTGTGTTTGCACAAATTTCGTTTTATAATTTAGACCTATGGCAATTATAGATTTTCTTTGCGCTTGCAGACTGCTCCTGCAGCTTCAGGGCTCGGCCAGATGAAGTGAAGGTCGAGGTCAAAGCGAATTTCCGGGAAATAGCAAGGAAGAGGAAGCGTTTGAATTCCATTTCTTCAGATTCTGATCAATCTGAAGATTTTGCCAAAGGTAAACCATTATGACCTTTCGAAATTATTTTCTATTTTGGAATCATGTTAATTCCATAATCAAACATCTTCCTTTGCTGTCTATAGCAGCTTGTCACTTTTAAGACGATGCGAGTAAAGGTTTTTGTAGGCTACTTAATCTTCCGGTGGAAAGAGTCTCAAATTGGTTTTTAAAGGCTTATCTTTTAATCACAAAGAAAATCTTCAGTTTTATGTCGTTTTTGCAATTTTTTATTAACCTGAAAATAACTCTGACCAGAGGGTGATGTTTTCTGTCTAAAGATTCAAAACTGTGGAGTTATCATAATAGGTCATTGAATTTTAGTATTTTGTTAAATGCTATTGAAAATTTTTGAGAGAATGCTGACACTTTGTGTTCATCTTTTTGTAGATACGACATCTAAAAAGAAGTCAGGCAAGTCAAAAACTCGAACTGAGAATGATGGAAAGAACGGTAAGTTTGCGTATTCAATGATTGAAAATTCATCGAATTGGTTTGAGCCATCTTTTATTAACAGGCACATATGTCGTTTTATGTACTGCATCTGTTTGTAGGTTTGGAAAATGATTAAATTAATGCATACGTTGAAGCCATGCTAGTTTATTTTGTGAATGGTCAATTAAAAGTGTTTGTGAAAGATAGGTTTGTTCAGTCTCAAGCTTAGACCACTATTACCCAAAGTTACGTTTTTATATGAAAACGTGCAAACTGGAAATAATACTGCAATGAAGACAGAAGCGAATTAGTTTTCATTTTTTGTCTTCTATATAGAGTTCAGTTTGTGTACCATAAAGATCTATTAAAAACTTACTTCCAAGTATTACAAGCTAAATATTATTTTCGTATTTCAGGAAATTTCAAGCCAAAACAGCTTTATCAGTTTCTAATGGATTTGCTTCGCGACGAAGATTATAGTCCACAATTCATAGAATGGGTGTCACGTGATGAAAAGGTATTTCGATTGGTGGATTCAGCTGCTGTTGCTAGGATGTGGGGCGAGTGCAAGAACAGGGAAAATATGACTTACGAGAAAATGAGCAGAGCTCTGAGGTATTATTACGAGAATGGGATTCTAGAAAGAGTACCGAATTGTAGGCTACATTATCGATTTGGCAAAGTTGCCTACGAAGAATATGCATCAACCTGGTAGAGACAGGATGAAATAAGGAACTATCGTTATTTTATCTTGGTAAAGGCAGCGGTGTAACGGAGGTGCCGTATGGGCAGGTCCATATGGTGTTCTTGATTGAAATGAGGAGGCTCTAGCTTTTCTCGATAGTGATCGGTAAAGATGCAGAGAGATAATGTCCTTGCTGCTAATGATCGCGATAGCAAGATATCTTATATTGATTGTTACGGTGATTGTGAATGCAAACGACAAAGGCAGCAACAAATTCAGACTGGCAAAGGCCTTTTTAGTCTTCCCTGATTAGTTTCATCTCAACCAAATACTTTAATACTTAATGAAAATTTAACTTGAATAAGATTGTCTTCCATAATTTTTGGATCGCCTCGTACTTTTTGCATGCTTAGCAAATTTTCTTGCAAGCATTCTGCATTTCACAAAATTTTCCTTTGTGTACGATATTTATTAGTATTGGTGACATAATTATTAAAGTTGTTAAAACTCAACTGTAATAGTAAATTAAAGATTAGAGATTGAAATTCAACTGTTTGTTTTTGGAGTTCTGGTTATTGTGACGTAATGTTACAGCTTTACCTTGATCAGAAATAAGCCGTTTTTATTTCCAATTTCCACTGTAGAATGCCAATGTCATTTTCTCCTTGTCCAGTTACCAGAAGCCACTATTGCAGATATCGGCATCGACATAATTTTCAGGATGTTAAAGAATTTAGAATTAGGTATCAATGTATGCAGATTGCGATTAGACTGTAAGATATTCAAAGAGTATAAATTGTAAAGTAGACACTTAATTTATAAGCATCATAGCCTCTGATGCTGTTGTTTCCAATCGAAGAATTACCGTGCCAAGAGGTCTAACTCCCGATATAGAATTTACAACTATCACCCTGCCAGCCTATGTGAATTCGCAACTACCTCCAAACTAATTTCCCCTAGATCTGGAAACCTAACCCAAATATGTTTTTACCCACCCAAAAAAGTTTCCCCTGCCGAAAAATTAACTTCGTATAATTCGTCAAGGCACCTTTCAACCGTATCAGAGGCCCAATATTCGTACTGTATATGTAAATTTTTGTAATTTTATTGTCGACAAAATTTTTAATATTTTATACCAAAACCAACAATGTGTATGGTTAAAGATACTGCTCTCAAGGACCACCAAAAGCTCCTTCGGATGCACCCATTCCTTGCCTTCTTTCAAAGTTATTAGAAACTTGCCAGCTCTGAACTTCAGACTTGGTTTTAATACAATAGAGATTAACATTTCGATACAACTGAAGCATTAATCCTCCGTCTCCATGATCTATTTTTAGATAGTCTTTATCAAAGTCCCGTTGGTCTTTTCGATGCCTTATTAAGTACGTTTCAACGAAAACACGTGATCAGGCTCTGTCACATCGTTGAGTTCAGAGCACTGTCGCGTGCATCCATATTTTTACGTATATTCACATAATTGTGGATATTTTTCAAAGTAGATTAGAATCATGCACATTGTTGAGGAGTTATAGATCAGGCATCTTTTTTTAGATTTGAAATATGAATATTAGTACCTAATATTGGAATAAATTCAAGCTTTTCTAGGGCGTTACGCGGGTCGTCTTTATGTTCCTAGTTCTTATTTTTATAGTTAAAATTAGGGTGATAATGCCGGTTTTTTGTCGATTTTCTTTGGGAAGTGGGTTTGGGAAGTTTGGGTGATTGGAAAGATGCCTCAGGGTAGCTGCCCCACAGTTTTGGTAAAGTCGCACAAAAATGATCTTCTCCTGAAAGTTCCTTCCTTTTCAAAAAGTACCAAGTTTTCCCGTAATGGCTCGACTTGCATTTTGTGCAGACCAAATTTAAGTGACTGAAGGGTTGCCTTGGAGATTTCTTGTCAGTTTCTTGCTTTAGTTTGGAGATTATCTAAAAGGCTCATGCATGAGGATATATGCTTCACTAAACGCAATATATTTTTCGGGGAATTTTCAAATTGGCCTTTTTATATGCATTTTGGCCAGAGTTCGTCACCTGTCTGGCATTCTTTTGTAAATCCCATCTGGCAACCCTGATTGACTGCATTGAAAAATGCATTAAAAAGAGATGACGCGGAATCAAAGCAAGCGTATTTACTTGAAGAACCAAAAACTCCCCTTTTTCATTGTGTTCCAAACAAAAGAGGTTTGCTGGAGTTTTTCTTTGCAGTTTCATGGGAATTAAAGAGTGAAACATAAATTTTCTTTGTGCAGATCGTCTCTGTTATTTCTGGGTGTTTCTACCCCATACATGGGTGAGGATATTTGTCCCTATAATTGCTAAATTTCATTCAATTTTTATCAATATATCTGATTAAACTCAATTCAGTTCTCGCTAACTCCTTGAAAATTGTCAGGGCTCCAAGAAAAGCGTAAGGTCTCATTTCAAGGATAGTTGTGTTTTTAAACTATTCCCTCGTCCCCCGGATCGGATTTTCATGTGAAGGTTAAAAAAACATTTCTAGTTGTCTTTCGTACACCATGACCGTAAATAAAGTCATTTCGATGGTTGCAGACAAATTAACAGATGAAGTTCCAGTATGAAAAAAGAAAAATGTCAAGCAGCATTTTTAAAGGTAAAGTAAAAAAGGTTGATAATGTCCTTCTAGAGCATTTCGTTAAAATAATCGAGAGGTTCCTTTCTAAAGCCACGGGTACAATTCTTCCTCTACTGGGTTGATTGCAAGTTTTCGTAGTGGACTGCTAACTGCTTGTTCGCTAGCAATCACTCCCAATACACTTGCCTTTAAAAGCACTGTATTGCCGACATATTTGTCATTGAACATTTGTCATATGACAATCATGTTACTCATTAAGTTAAAGTTTATAACAAAAATTCAAAAAAAAGAACTAAGATACAACTTTTTTGTTTGGCGGGGGGTGGGGGCAGGGATGGCGCCAGGAAAGAAATGCTGGGGGGGGCTGTAATGTCAGAGTGCCGACAGTGAGTGAACCACCCACAAAGATGTAATATCACATCATTTCCGCTGTGGCCGACATTGCTTAAAATTTTTCAAAAATTCAAGTCCCGACGGGGGTGCTCAATGAATTTTTGGGGGGGCTCCTGCTCCCCCCCCCCACAAGCACCCCCGGTGGCGCCATCCTTGGGTGGGGGCAAGATCAGCCCTGATCATTGAGTATAACAATAAACATTTCTCATTAATTAAAGTATTTTTTACGCGTTTGATGGTTTTAGATTGTGATTGTAAGCAAGCCCATAGCCAGGCCTGTGCAGTAGGGGTGGCAATCCCCTGTGTCCAATGGAGGCGAAGATTAAAGTTAAGTTTTTGTAGGAGTGGAGGAGGTGATGGTAGAGTAAGTCGAAATAAAGAAGCAAAAATAATTTTTTCAGCAATTAAACAATTTTCTCCCTATTAATTTCTATTAAGCTAGAAAAGTTTCAATTGTTGTGTCTTCCATCAATATCTCCTTCTCAAATGCCAAACATGCAAGATTGTGCTCCCTCTCTGTCCGCAAAGAGCTTCACTCAGGCGGATCTACCCTTGTTAATGCAGAAAACAAGCACTCTTCAAAGTCGTTATGCGTTGATGTGAAGCCAGCAATAACAGGAGTAACAGTAACTGCATAAAATTAATAAACATTTGCGAGTATCGGCGCGTTTTCTCTATGCAGTCGCTGGGAGAAGATTTCCCATACTGCTTGAAAAAAAAATGATAAGCTCCCTAAACATTTTCTCAAGAACAGGAAACTATTCGCTGCACATTTTTATAAAGTTATCAAGGTCTCTTACTATAATGCTTGGGAAAAAAGGCCTTTTTTCGCTGAATGCTGCTGACCAACACTTTTTTCGCTGAATGCATTTAGTTTGTTTTTTTTGAAAATCAGCAACCATTTTCGTGCATAGAGCTTCAGTTAAGTTTGAAGATTATTGCTCTCACTGCTTCCACTACAGACAGCGCTGTTAAAGATTTATGCTCGAAAATTGAAACTGCTTTATGACTATGTGTACTGGCTTAAGAATGTCCAACAGTATGCAATTTACAAAAATGAACATCCAGTTGGCCCCATCCTCTCTAACCTGATGCAGCCATTCTTTAGCCAATCCATGGTCTTCGCTTCTATAATTTCTTTGATGACCTTGATTTTAAGGTAATTTCAAGTGCCTTCTTTGCAATATTCGATTATTCCGAAGGTTAACTCAAGAAATACGTTTTCTGGCATAACAACACATAACACCTCTACTTCTTGAACCTTTGCCTGTCTATATACTGTACCACAGTATATTGTCCAAAAAAGTGTTGTTCCTATAATATGGAATTTTGAAATGCCCTGGTGCAGGCACGTTGTTGCAGGTAGTTGTTTCAACAATTTTGTTGAGTAGTGTCCAAGTAGCGCCAAGTTTTGGTTTGGCAGCGGAAGATTTTTTGAGCAATTTTCCTTCCACTAGTATTAGCTTGGCTCAAATTTTCACGGCAATCCAATGAAAACGAAGAAAAACCCCATTAAAAAAGGAAGAAACAAAATTCTCGTGGTGGCAAACAGCTGGCACTTTCTTGCTCCAGGGGTGGCATTGCCACCCCTTGGCTACGGGCCTGATTGTAAGGAGGATTCGGGAATGAAAATGTAGAAGATAAGAAGAATGAATGTGCAAATCGTGATAAAAGCATGAAAATTACTACAAACATACAACTTGACATGCTGAAAAAGATGCGATCGGGACCCAGTCTGAGAAATGCCTTTTAGAGCTATTTTTAGAATGATTGATTGTTCTCAGACCCTTGAAATTATTATCTCTTTAACTTTGTTGAAAATGAAATCAATGACATCAAAATTTGTATAAATACTAATCATAACAAGGTAATGTGATTTAGATTCACACCCATCGTCAAAATGCCCTCAAGTGCTATTTTTAGACCACGTACTCGTTCCCTGCAACTTTACAAATCTTTGCAACTTCATTCTTCTCGGCGTTGTATTGCTGACCAATCCCTTTTTGACAGTTATTTCCAAGGTCCGTTTCAAAACACAATATACATTTGACAACTCATTGAGCTCGAAAAAGAGAGCCCCAATGGGGTCTGGGAATGATCAATTATTAAAAATATTTATGCATAAATTAATAACGGCCTGTAGCAAGCTTTGTCTCATTAATTCGTAGACCTTATCTTCGTTTGGAAGGGAGGGTCTACTGCGTAGGCTATATCAGTGAGTGATATGAGTCCCGACTAAAGAAACCAGAGGTCAAGCGATTATACAGAGACGTAACGAACAGGGATATAAAGGTATGATATCCCCCCCCCCTACAATCCTTCATGAGGTGGTTAGCAAATCTTAAGTTGATCTACAAAACCATGTCTGTCAAATCGTTAATCGTTAATCGTTAATAGGTTAGATAGCACCTAAATTTTTGTTCACCAATGTCTTCCGTTGGTAAATTTTAATATTGATGACCCTCCATCCCCCCAGTCCGGAAAATCGAGCCATGACACTGCTTATAGACTTAAAAGCTGTAAGTTGAAAAGCCCGTTTTTAGTGTAAAATTTGCGTAATTTTGCGGGTCGACGTAAAAATAGAAGAATTGCGCCAATGGGGATGCCCCTGGAAATTTACTTCTTGTTCCTGTTCGGAAATCCCCTTAACATTAGCTTCCTTCATCAAGTAATTTTATCGAAGAAAAAGGCTTCCGTAATGGCTTCTTTCGAATCTGCTGTCGTCTTACTGCTCATTTCTTCCATTTCGCTGGCAAATGAATACAAAATAAAAGTCAACTCTGAGATGCCTGGACCGTTTACTCGCGAACTATCATTGCAGAACCCTCTACAGACAGGAAAAGATGTCATCATTCTCCAGAACCTTCTCAAACGACATCAAACCACGAAGGACATTAACATATCTTCACATTACGACATCGCAACAGCAGAAGCCGTGCAGCGTTTTCAAGAAGCAGTGGGTCTACCTGGAAGCGGGGTGGTTTGCCCAAAAACAGCGCATAAAGTGCTTGATAAGTTGCTATCTGACGGTTTTAAAGACGATGGCCTAGTTCCTGCTCCTTACAAATTCAAACTTGTCGTCCCAGTGTACCGAGACAGGACTAAGGAAACGACTGCGGTACTTCTTGATGCAAAATCACAACCGGTCTACAAATTTAGGATCCGGGCACATGGTGGAATGCAGGATGATGGAACGGCGATCAATCAACTGACGAGGAATGGCAATACTCCTACTGGTCTATCGACCTTTGATTTGAACTCCAAGGAGCCTATCCCAAAGTCTTATGGACCGTATCCGGTTGTAAGAATCGTAAAGGGAATAAAAGGTAATTCTGCCATTGGATACGGGAATGATACATTGCTGAGCAATTATCGTAGTGGCATATTGTTGCATACCGGGGAATGGGATGGATGGGACCCGAGCAAGCCGATGCCGAATAGTTTGGGTTGCATGCACTGCGCACCAGAAGACATGAAGAATGTGGTGGATATCTTGGTGAAAGAACTGGGCGTCAAAGTGCGTCCAAATCCGTTCGGAAAGTTGCCATACCCTTACGTACCTCAGGGTCTCATAGCAATTGAGGAAATTAACTAGACTATAAATAAAATACCTGCTGACATGATTTGTATATGATTTTTTGGTAAAACAAGAATGGCAAGAGAAAAGAGTTTTGTGGAGCAACATACGAGGGGAATAAATATATTCGGTCATTCTTATAATCCCTTTAGCAAAAAGGATGTAAAGAAATTATAGTAGAATGATAATTAAAAAGGGACAGTTTTAGGAAAATTGGGCCGCGGAAAGCTTATTTTGGAAACAACTGACAAAAAACTTCCTTAACTTCTTTGACCCTCCTTATTCGTGGAGACAGTCCTACAAAGCATGCTTTATTTGGGGGGTCTGCATACCAGATATTCTAATGTTTACTCAAATTACAATGAATTGTGTTTGATTTAACGGAAAAAGTAGAATTCTTGGGGAACATCCGACGTTACCCGTTTTTTTCAACGAAGTTTGCATCCGTAATAACTATTTCCTGCGCTTCTTTTAGAGAAGTCTTGGTAGTATCGTCTTATCAAGACCTATTTGTATTAGCCTTATTCATCTTATAACATTTGCGCACATTTGTGATTGAGTAAAAGCTGGGAATTATTTCAAATGCTTTTTCTGTCCTTTTACTGCAGTCTGCCCCTTGTCCTTTGGTCGTTCCGACGTCCTTGGGTACAGTTTGCATCAAGATAAGGCCCCAAGTAACCAACATATGATTTCAAGGATCTTGCAGTCGGATGCCATTTCAAAGTGACCTCGATTACAGAACAAAATCACAACATAAAGAACTTCTTGCTATTGATCTGATAAACATAAATAGAAAACCAACAATATCTTAGCAACTTTTTTAAGTTACCTCTCTTTAGACATGACAAAAGAGATAATACATTATGAATGATGATGATGATGGTTGCAGTTATGATGATGATACTCATTTTAACGTTATAATTAGAGTTACATATACTAAGATCTTTAAATATACTGTAAGCATAACCCTTTCTGTTTATCTTTGGAATATCCCAATAACCGCATAAACGGATACTTGTTAAGTCCCATTTTACCCTAAAATCTACAAAATTACAAATCTATACCAAATTTTAAATTCAGCTCACATACCAAATTCAGCTCACAGCTCACAAATTCAGGTAAACTATTCAGAGAGATTTTCCGGACCTACTCAATCCTATTTTCTTAGATTTTATTTTCAAACTTACCCATCTGATATTTTATTTCATTTTATACTATTATCAATTTATACCTTAGAGGCAAAATGTGGAGCCGTGAAGGAGCCTCAATGCAGCCTAGACGGAAGAATCGAATATTTCTTTTTTAAACGTGGCTTTAAACCTGCAGAATCTCAAATACCAAGAATATTCCGTGTAGAAGTAAACTGTCTCTAAACATAAACGTTGACGATTTTCAATCAACATATTTCCATTTGTGCTATCAAGCAGACCAATTAATGAATAAAGGGGGTGGTAGACTACGAACTGACGAGAAAGCTTTTCTTCTGTGGACCTATCTATAACCTTTTGGCTGCCATATAAAACACAGCCATAATCAGACTATGATTTCAACTAGGGTATCTATTGAAAGTAGGGCTGGGAATAAACAAACGTTTTTAGAATAGCAAGGCAACTACACATTAATATGATTCTTAAGAAATCTGGACGTAGTTGTTCTCTGCCTATTCTTGAGTATGTCATATATCCATGACTTCATTTCACTAAATGTAGGCAAATTGCCTTCTCTAAATTAAATGAATACTTATGAAAAGCCTACTGTATTTCACCTAGCAACACTGACAAGATTTAGAGATCGTAAAGCTCTGTAAGCAGCAAAGACAACACGGAACCATAACTGGCGAAATTTCAAGGATCGAATAAAGAGGACACGACATGTAACGATGAAGAACAGGGTGCAAGATATCCATCTGACCAATCGATACCTAAGAAAAATAAAGAGAAATTAAATACTGAACACAAAAGAAAATTCAATTTAAAACATTGTTGCTTCTAGAAAAATATTTATACGAAATTTACAGTTGCCAGCAACATACATCTTCGATAAATTGACTTTTATTGTTAGTGGGACGTCCTTAAGTAGGTTTAGACAGAAGAGAATCTCTATCAACATATTCATATGATGTTCTTTGAACGAGGAATAACCAGTGCTGTTAAGTTTTAATTGCTCATATTGCTATGACATCAGTACATGTTACCATCAAAAAAATTTGATAAAGAATTGGGTTTCCATTGCGGTTTCCATTGCCTACCTTGTCACTTGCCATCTTGCTTTTGCTAGGTTCTCTAGCCGATCTTTCATCAAGTACTGCTTGATACCCAGAACAAATATTTCGATATATTCATCCCACTGAATAGTTGTCATATCGAAATTGAATATCTAAAATGAAACCATGATAATTTGACAACAGAACCGCATTTTTAACACAGACAGTGTTATGTCCACACGAGGATTCTGATTGCTGTTGCGAAGCAGTGAATAATTTATAATGATTTATGATAATCGATGCTGATTATGATAATTATTATTGATGATATTGATGATGATTGGTCATGATGCTGGACGATGATTACAGTAGCAAAATACCTTCTTTTCCTCCTCGGGAATAGCATCCGACAATGCCAGAAAATTGTCTCCAGTCCACTGAAAAGGAAGAATAATAAGAATTGAAACTCAATGGCTTGTTGGCAAGTCCTGATCGCTAGATCTAAGTTGATATGCAAAGAAAGGGAGAGACTTGTTTCAGATGTTTTAGACCTGGTAAAAGGAAAAATGGTACCGAAAAATTTAGTAATTTTTGATGTTCAAAGATGTTTAAATATTAGAAAGGTCGCTTTTGGTGTATAGAACAGGACATTCCTAAGATGGTACTCCGAGTTTCACGCTTAATGGGATCACCAGGGAACTGTGTGAAAGTCAGTGATTTTTTATGCTTAAGTGGATGGAGAAAAAGAAATATAAATGACCAAACAAAGCAGCAAAACAGACGAAAAGTGGAGCTGAGAGCAAATTAACGAATGCAAATATTAGTTTTTCTAACTGAAAATAGATGATTCATATTCTTCAAATGAACAAAAAGGCCGACATCACAGTCAGGCTCGTTCACATGGTAAATTTTGAATGGAAAGACGTCAAGAAACCAATTATGAGTGAAAACCAATCAAGAAACCAACTTTAGTACTACTTCCTTGATGGTGAACAGGGCGAAGCATATATTGGCTGGATACTCTGGAAAGTTTCTTTCGATGCAAAATTTCTATCGTCGACACAAGAATCTTTTCACGATGTACGAAGTTGTTCATACTTACACTCCATCCCTTTATGGTGAAAAATTCCAAAGTTTTTACAGCTTTTTCCATACGATCGTAAAATCTCCAAACCCTGACAATAAAAATAAGAAAATTACGAAGCTCGGAAATCTGTAAAAAGCTGATGACAGTTTGAGGTTTGTAGATAAACGTCTGAACCACCCTAAGGCTGTGTTGCAATGGTTTTTAGCTAGTTGAATAAATTCAAAAAAGGGTAATCACCAAAAGTTTTGGAGCCAAGAACTCCCTTAAATGGACCTGTTACGAATGTTTAATCACAGGAAATCCGTTCATTGACCTCTTTTCATAAATCCAATAAACAAGAAATTGATCAGTTACTCTCAGGCCTACAACATCGGTGACTGACGTAACGCCGACGTATCCGGAATCGGAATCCACTTACCTTGGCTTGCTGCCAATCAAAATCGACATAGTGTCGGCGATAACTGCCGGAATGCGGTGACTGACGTAACGCCAATAAAAATAAGCCAGCCTGATCAATAAAAAAAATAAAACTACATCAGCGTACAGGTTAAGGCAGAATAATTTAGTAAAGAAAAATGTTCGTTCTGAATTCATAGTATACTAGTTGAAAAATTATTAGGGAGTTCTTATACAGTTTTTATAGTTTATAGTTTAAATAGTTTATATAAAAATTATTCATATAATTTTCATTAGCTTTACATAAGAAGCAATATATTATTCAATTCATGTCCACAGCATTACTATGGTCTTATCAAAATTAATTATCTGCAAAGATCCTACGAACAGAAAAGAACAATTAGATTATACAGATATCAAATACATCGTCAGTCCTTACCTGTTGGATTCAAACGAGAAATTCGGTCTTCGGAATATCTCTTCAAAAGGATACTTCTTTAAAGTTAGTTGTCCGTATATACCAAGGTATTTCCATGTTAGGGGATTGACGTTTCCAGAAGTACAATTGTAAATCAAAGGCTCAGGGCCCCTGGAAAATAATAACAACACTTATTAAATCTACAAGTACAGAAGGATAAATTGTCTAGCTGATAAAGAATACAAAAATTCGGTTGCTTGATCAAGGAAGGAACGTAATGCGAGTCGAAGGGGATAAAATGCAGGATTTCTTAGCTTGCTGCAATCTTAGCGTTGCTAGATATGTTAGCCGGGTAATGATCTTAATAAATGAGATAAAATGACACAGGATTGTGTGAGGAGAGGTTCCTACATGAATGGAAAGAAATGTAAGCAATGAATAGGTGGGAAATTGGGTACATGGGAAATACACCAAGTTGCATGTGATCCAAAGATGCTACGTGTGTCGTTTTTTACAGTCTGGGTGAATTTTTGAAAACATTTTTGAATTAAATTTTGCAGGCCCAAAAATAAGCGTTGCTAAAAATCATTCCCAAGTTGATAACAAACCATTCTAAAGTTGATAAGTTGACAATACACCATTTTGAAGCATTAACAAATGCTTACCTATTATTTGTGGAATACCAGACTGCAGTGATGATAGCATTGGCAACAAAATCTACCGGCACTACATCTGCAACGGCATCACTCGAGTATTTCATTGTTCGCAGCATGCCTTTGCCGGCCTTTTCAAACAGAAAGACAAAAAGCAAAATCAATATTCGTTTGGTTAAATTTTACTTCATATTGAGCTTGATTTACCCAAAAAACAAAAACAAAACAAGTTTAAACACAGAACAATGTTAATTAAATGGAAAAATATTTTCCTTATCACCGTAACAGAAATCTTTCGATTTGTTTGCGAAACTAAAACCCATCACCAAGGAAATTTCCTATGAACGAAATGAGCTCAATATAGAACTCTTTTCAGGAACTCTGCTACGATTTCAAATACTTGTTTTGAATTGAACATTCTCCAATGTTTTCTTAATTTCTCTTAAAACATTTTATATACACATCTAAATCCTCATCTTGAAAGGTAGATAAATCTTTAAATTTGAAAAGGAATTTGTCTTTTTTCAGAAGATGGCACTTGAAGAATAATTGTTCAGGTTTTGAGAATACAAGTAAAGAACAATTGGCTTCATTCTCAGGTAAGCAAAAATCTTGCAAACTCGATAAAAATCGCATCTTTACGACCCTGAATTGTAAATAACTGAAGATACAGTCAAATACGATATGGAGATACAGTAAGATACGACATGGAGATACAGTAAGATACGACATGGAGATACAGTAAGATACAGTAAGATATGACATGGAGATACAGTAAAATACGACATGAAGATACATTAAGATTTATCAACTCACAGCAACAATTAAACCACTGGGTCCATTGTAATTGTCAATCCAGCCCTGTTTCAACAAATGAAAAAATAGATATAAGGTCATGGAAATGGTGTGGTTTTATCTACCATTTACAGCATTTCTTGCTGCTATCCAACCATATTTGTCCAAAAAATCTACTTTTCCTTGGGGAGGGGCATCACCAGTGTCATGGTTTATTAAAATGGCAAATTTGTGATTATTTTCAATATGTGCATAGCTCATTATCTAACACACAATACAGTCTCCAATTTTTACAATGCTTACATTTTTGAATTTAGAATCTCTTACAATATGTCTGTTTTATTATACCAAAATCATCTATCAGGCAGCAAATCTTGGATTGGTGTCGTCTTTGCATACCAAAAATGATCATTATGTTGTAATTCTTTAGCATTCTAAAATGAACTTTCGCTAGCGCAGGCAAATGATATTAGAGGAAACCTCAACTGTCACAATTTCAAGTTCATTGAAAAAAAATGTTGATTGAGTTTTTCAAAGTTCCCATATAAGATGTAACAGGTTGCCACCACTATGAACATAATTGAAATTATCATACTCACAGGAAATGGCTCGGCGTATGAGCCAATAATAATTGAAGGCCGAACAATTACAATCGGCATATCACCACCTTCATTTGTAACAATGTGTTCAGCTAAACCCTTGGTGAATGTGTATGTGTTTGGATAATTGCCTAGTAGGTTTGGTGTCATAGCATCAACAATTTCATCTGACATCCAGCTAAAAATGTATGGTAATGTTTTAACTAGATTGTAAAGAATTCTGTGTTTCCATGGGTTTGCAAAATCCTAGAGAATTGTGAATATTTGCCTAAGTGAGTAATAGTGTTAAGTGAAATCTAGAAGAACAGGGAAGATATAAAACAATAAGTATGTTGTTGTTGCAGAAAATATCAGAACCCAACCTGGAAGCAAGATTTTCCCTGAAAATCCCCAGTGACAATTGATACCTAAGCGTCTCGCAGAATCATTGATGAAGCTAATTATCATAAGACTTTAGGTCAGTCTAATAATGACTTTTATGTTAAAGTTGAAAGCAATAATTCCCAACACATAGGTAACTTTGTCTAAAAGTTTTATGATCAGAGCGCTAGTGTTAAGGAAATTGGATACTAGCTGGGAAACATTCAATTCTCTCAACTTACTCAAGTGAGTCAATCAACTTCTGTGGGTCTGTTGAAACCGGATAAAGTTTCTCTGCGATTGCACTTTTGTCACAATTAGAATATGCAGTTGAAACATGACAGAACATCTAAATGAGAAAATAAATTTAAGTGATTTATGAACAGGTGCAATTCAGCAACAAGCAAACACCTTTTCATTAACATCTTTTAATCATGTTCCAGCTGCAAACAAGTTAGACAGTTTAACACATAAAATTACCCATTATGACTTCATGAAACAATGTGAACATCACTGTGCTGTTCACAGGATTCTAATGTTTGTTCTTACTTTTAGTTTTTCCATGCTTCTACACAGCTTCACCATCTCCCTAACAGCAATAACATTCATTTGAACTGCAGTCCTGACAACAAAGAATACCCTTGTAAATCAATTGAAAAACAAATGACAAAGCCATTGGCTACCTAAAATGAAACTTTAAGGAATGTTTATCATGAATTGGTATACTTTGTCAAAACAGGAATTGTTAAACAAGCAATATTCAAAAAAATTGGGATGTAAATTTTGTGTGGCAAAAGAAAGTTTGGACTTAGCATTTTGATTTGAAGAGGAGAACTTGTGAGGATCATTACTAGCTCTTTTCTCTAAAAAAATGTACTCTTTGATTGCAACCAAAAAGAAAAACCTTGAATGGCAACCAAAAAGACATTACCTTAGTTGCTCATCGAATCTGACAGTTGCAGCAGAATGGATCACAATATCAACACTTTTTTGTAAAAGAGATCTGTCTTCATCACTAATACCAAGTCTATCCAACATCAGGTCACCAGCAATAGCCTGAACTTTCTCTTCAAAATTTGGGTATCTGCTTCTAAGAATCTTGAAAAGCTGCAAACAAATCAAGCAAATTACCATAAAACCAAAACATGGAACTAAAAGCCAAAAGCTTCATAAAGTGCGCTAAAGCAATAATCTGAGAAAAAATATAAAACCAAAATGCTTCTATCTGAATGGCCTTACTGAAGACAAGTTGTGGATTTTTATAAACAAAATAACAAGGTTGGGGCAGCATCCTTGAAATTACTTTTAAAAGAGGCAAGCGTCAGGTCTGGACAGATAGTGCTTTATGTAAGAGATCTTTTTCTCCTTCTCCCAATATAATCTTTATATTCCTGATAATAAAGTACATATGCACCAGCTTTTAATTTTGGGAGGGAAATATTGCACTATAGATTCATAATATCTGGCCAGTGTTTAGGGTTTGTCAGAACAACTGTGTTCCAAGCTTGTACATAAATTTTCAGAAGTGGCAGATATATAACAGGTCCCTCTAAAAATTTGCTTTTTTATAAAGTGTTTTGTTATTTTGCTGTTCATAGAAATTTATTTAAAAATCAATTATGTTAGAACATCCAATTGATATCTGCTTTGCTTAATGGCGACCTCGTATCATAAGCCATGCAAAATATTTTTTTATTCTAATGGATATCTGTGTACCTCAATATTGAAAAGGCCCTTCATTCTTTCCTCTGCAGATCTTTCCTTTTTTTCTCTTAAAAGAATATAAATCTTTTTGACACCAGGGCAGCTTCTTAGCAACTTCTCAATTAGAACTTTGCCAACAAAGCCAGAGCCACCAGTAATAAAGATAACTTTGTCATCATAAAATGATTTAATGCCAGTATTTTGATACATCTTTGCTCTCCCTCACAAGTTTAACAGGTCATCAAAACAGCCACACATACAAGCCAAAGTCCAGGCTAGAAAAGACAGTGTAATCTACATATTCAGACAGACGATGGTTACAATGTGTAATTTGAGAGCTAGCAGATTTATTAGCCACAAACAGCAATTTGATCATCATTTTGGCATTGAAAAGGTTCCAAAGAGTAAAAATACCTCACAGTGACACCTTTTTATCTCCTTTACAAAGAAAACACAAGATTATTAAAATTCTTCAATATCTTTTTCCTCCAATGCAATATGATGACAAAAAAAAACAAATCTTAAGGTGTCAATTCAAAGTAGCAAAACTGAGATATTAGCGATTACTTTTCGCTTATATACTAGCAATCAACAGAAATCTTTGCATGCGATCTCTAAGTCGCTAGTGTCAAATTGATTTTATTCAATGCAAAAAACAGATCTGGATATCAAACGTATTAGGTGTAGTTCCGGTTGACAGGGGGAGGGGGGTCAGATGTAGTTCACAGACTAGCAAAATATTCTGTTTATCAATACATTAAAGAATCATTGCTAACAATGGGCCTTTGCGAGCATGAAGACGATCCAAACAGTGGCAGTCAACTTCTACAGATTAACCAAAATTGATTTCAGACTGTCTAAAAATGCATTATGGGATGCTTGCGTAGAGCAACGGCTCACTATTAGCAATGAGTCTTTAATTTGGAAGACAGTCAAAAAAACTTGTTAAGTTGGTCATTATCAAATTTTTTCATAAAAGAGTCTTAGCTTCAGTCTTTTTACAAGAGTTAAAATTTGGAAGGCATGGGACAAAGGGGCGTGCATCAGTGATGGACTGGCTTCCCTTTGACCCACCAGGAAAAGCAAGCAAAATAGCACCAATAGGTGTTAAAGTTTCTTATTTTTGGGGCTTGTAGAACAGGCCCGGAAAAATTTTGCCTTAACTGAGAATTAGTTTGTTGCAAACATTGTCATCATAATTCATCCTTAAAATCCTTTGCAATGGATAACAGAATGAAAGAACTAGGTGGGAAAGGAAACGGGGGCTCAGGGGCTTGCCCCCAGAATTTTTTTTTAAAACACCCTATTTAGAATGTGGGAACATGTCCCATGTTGAAAATAAAAGTTTTTTATACACAATTGGCATTGGCATGAAGAAAACTCTCTGTCAAATTGACTGTATTTGAAACGTCTACACAGCTGGTAAAATTTGTAGGTATCAAATAATGTATTGTCCTTAGTTTTATGTATCAAATGATAATATCAAATGATAGGTTTTGAAAGTTGGACTAAAACCCAAAGCCTGTTTTTCAGTTAGCAAGACACTCCCTTCCAAGATTCTATTAAGAGAGCAGCACCTGTTAGCCTAATGACTATGCTGCTCCTGCCTCCACGCTTCAGTTACATATCATTTACAAAAGATACAATGCCAGTACACCAGCGTGCGAAATTATGATCAGGTATTATAAGATATCTGATAACATATTTTGGCCAGATGGATTTTAAGAGATCTTGCTACCATTCTTTTTGCGCAAATTGATGATTTTGATGATTAAGCCCCCTCTCTATGAGAAACTGTGCGTAGAAATGGTAAAGGAATAAAGAATTTCTTATGGAAAGGCACAGTTAATTTCCAAGACAAAAATTTTAAGAAAGATTGGAAAACTTTAATAGCTAGTTGTAAATTTGAAACCAGTTTTTTTCAAAACAGCCAGTTCAATTTTCCATTAAATTTTCTAGAAGGTTCTTACATCAATCCTCAACAAATTCTGAATGAATCTTTTTGATAAGTGATCAGGATTTTTTACTTCAGTTAGTGATAATTTCTTTTGGTACAAAACTTCTGGTTTTAATGTACCAAAAGCAGGATGCCTATGAGTTGTTAGTTGAATTGCAAAACATAATAGCTTGTCACGGACAGCAAAAATTGTCCTCTATCATTCTTAGAGCAGTTTTCACTATCAAGGGATAGTTGATGGCCCAAAGAAAAAAGGACTATAATTAAAGAGAGACAACACAAGGAATATGCACATATTACGGAATCAAAAATCGGCAATATTTGAAAAATCCCCTTCTCCTTAACAACCGTTCTAACAAACTTTAACAAATAGCCATAATAGCCGTAATAGCCATAAAGTTTATGTAAATCCCCCCTCCCCATCTTTGATTATATAATATGTGAATGTTCCCCTATCCAAAAGCCAACACAACAATAATTTTATCCAGTTACAACCATTCTGATTACAAAGAGCACAGGGTAGTGCTCAGCTAATTTTTTTCCAAAATGTGAGCCCTCAGTTATTGGATATCAGGCACTAGGATTAATTTGCATTAGCCATATGTCAAAAAACTAATATGGTTAGTCAGAAGTCATTGGTTTCACAAAGTTACGAGTCATCAGTCAATTGGCAAATAGTCTGCTGGTTAGCTAGTGAAAATCCCTCATGTCTCCTCAAACGAATTAACGAATTAATTCAACGAAGAAAACGAATTAATTCAAGTATTTTGCACTTGCTTGAAAAATTACAAGCTAACCAAAATTACAAGACGTTTTACAGTCTGGGGAGTTTTCTAGTATTTTTAAAATATTTGCTTTTATCAAAGTCATTTTCAAAGCAAAATATGTTCTTTACAAGGTTTTCAGAAAATCTGACAGAATTTGCAGGTTGGGAAATTTTGCAATCAATCTTAACATTGCTCCACTTAAAGGTGAAGCTAAACTTTTTATGCCCTAACGTACTTTGGACAATTGATGATTGTAATCAATTTTAGTTCTGTGCGAAGATAAGTTGCCTTTTGAAAGTTTTCATGTTTTTGAAAAAAATAACTTGGGGCAGAGGGCGCAGAGTCCCGGTAGGCCAGTCCGCTTCTCTGGCGTGCATTATCTCAAAAATATACCAATAGCACAAAAAGTATTAGAAAAATAAGTACATACCTATTTCTAATCAGTGTATTTCCTTCCTTTCACACAAACCTGAACCCTTCACCGCTAAATGGTAGTTAGTGGCACCACTCAACAAACCAACCACAGCACAATGTTCCCGCACCTTTGAAGGGCAATTTGCAGACTCGTTTCCAATCTTAGGCGGCCTCTTTTTATGAGGCTACCATCCACTGACCTCATATTTACGCAATGACCTGGCTAATAATTATGATAATAATAAAAATAATAATAATCGAATGTTTTAACAGGATGACCTATCAGTACAATATATACTGTTATCATTAGGGTCCTGATATTTAAGCACTGATAAATGAATGGTAAAAGATCGAAAAACTAAATACCACAAACAAGTCCAATCCAGAGATAAAATAATTTAAAATCATATAAAATGATTTTCTAAAAATCGTCAAAAAAGGAGTTTAGATTCAATCTTTCTGGCACTTAGTGGTAAGTCGTTAAATTATTTCCCTGCTAGAATAAAAACCTTTGCATTCATATTCAGTTTTCACTTGAGGAATCGTAACGAGATGTTGACCGTTTCTAGTATTTCTCCCATGAATATTGGTACCAAAGTAACTTTTCTTTGCATCACAGACCTTGTCTTGCAAGATATCAAACACCAAACTACAAGACCTCTTTTTAATCCTCGTTCGATACTAGGCACACGCAAACTGACAGATGTAGCCCTGGTCGATCTAATAACATCGAGGCTTCTACGTTCAAGGCTTTCAATTCTTTCCTTGAATGCTGAAGACCATCCGAGGGACAGCGACCCACAATATCCAAAACATACATCCTAAAAGAGAATCTAATATTATACGTAGTTAACGTCCTTATAAGTTATGGTACTGCTCTCTTTCGCATAAGAAAGAGTTTCTATAAGTTAGGCTTCTGATTTCTATAAGTCCGGATATACTCAACCCAGTCTCTATGTAACAAATGTGAAAAACATATTTCTTACACTGTCATAAATTGCAAGTAGTTAAAGAGACCTACTGCTGGCAAAGATTTCTCTAAAAGTTAGATAGTTTGGCTTGGGAAAAGGAAAAAATGCAAGTCCAACAAGTAGCTCGAAACCGTGCGATGGTCCTTTCTCCCCGAGTAAAGAGCTTTATTTCTGCCATTGTTTGTTTTGAATGGTCATTTGATTTAAAAGAAGCCTGCCCTGGATCATTTTCCTAGATAGCGATAAAAATCCCTTGAAATGGACCCCGCCAACCTTCCCCGCGTAGCCTAGCCCTAAAGAGGAGATGGATGCTACCTAAAAGTTCTTTGCTTTTTCTGTCTCTTATCCCTGCTCTGAATCTAAAAAAGTCTGATTTATCGTGATTCGGAACACATTTTTCATCACTCCTGTTTCGTTGTCGCTTTTCCCAAAGTTATACCCCGTAGAAGCGTAGAAAGAAGTGGGTGTTTGCAGAACAGCCTACCCTTAGAAATTGCCTAGTTTTTATACAATAAGCTAGATGCGGCTACGCGCCTCACAATTTTTTAGCCTAACAGCTCTAATCAAAGTCTAACATGGAGCTTTTTGTTCCAAAATTGAGTTCTGTGCGAATGGAGTTTTTTGCATTCCATGGTTATTGCTTGGTCATCCGAGGATTATCCCGCGGAACCGCGAGAGAAGAAGTCCACTGTGGAGTAGCAGATGGAGTGTTAGTTGGCGAAGTGGATGGCAATCTTGAAGTGAAGATGACTCAAATGCAATGTAAGGTTCTTTATTTGTTAGTCCAAGCACTTATTCACTGCTAGTAAATCTTGCCAAATTGACTCTTAATTCGTCGAGTGTTAAGAAAACTAGTACATAAAGCTCCGTTCCTATCACGAGTTAAATGGCCTAGTCCATCCATTCGGACACAGTTGGTGTTGTGGAACGGGGTGTAATGTGAAGGAATTTTGCGCGATAATATTGGTGAAGTTTCATTGCGTTTAAGCCGGAATAAGCTTAAAGAACATTCTTTATTGCAAATATTATCTAAATCTGTGAACTGAGTGGCTGTGCAAGATAATTTCATCTGTCCATGTCTTCTTTTTGTCAGGTATTTTTGTAATGTTTACGATAACAATGTTGTATCAGGACAGTTTATAACCTCGCGCAATTAACCCAAGAGTGCATATTCTAAAAAAAGCAAATTTGAAATGGCAACCTTCAAATTCGTCATAAAAGTATAGAATAAAAGAGCGATCTTGACTAGTCTTATTATTTATCTTATTGGGCAGTTGTTCAAATTGAATTTTCTATGACCACAAAAAAGGGCCAGGTTTTTGCTTGAAGACTCATGGGTAAAATTCATTGGAAAAGTAATATAATTTTAGACTATTCAATGAATCATTCCTTCACATCCCACCATATTTGTGTTTGACAGGCAAAATCTATATAAATTTATCTATAGATAAAGTTTTTGCAACAATATCAGATGAAGTACTGGATTTTCAATTTTGGCAATTTGTTAAACTAGTTTCAGCTGGATCTCTTCAGAATAGATAGTTTTTCAAGAGCCTGTATTTAAATGTATCAACAAGTCACTTATAAACTGTTTTTTCTCCACCCTTTGCCTGCACAGTCAGCTCAAGAATTTCATAGCACTACCCCTATCAACAATCATATCTGAATTTTTTACAGGTGTTTTCTTTAATTGAGATATGTTTCTCAAGATAGCTGTTAAGATAAAATTATCTAAAACATATCATGGCCTCAAAGAAAAGTTATGTCTCACATGTGATTATATTTTCATAGACCTCCAAAAAAGGTTCAACTAATGCAACTACAAGATAGCTTAAATACCAGACTTCTGGAAACAAAATAATATCTGATATAATATGTGTTTTATATATTAAGGTCAAGTCTGACCTGTTTGACAGGTCCGTGGCCATTTTGAAATTTATGGAAGATAATAAAGTCTTCTGTCAATATTGTATCTGCACCTTATCAGGCCTTTTTGTTTGACGTGAGCAACCACTCGTGATTGCATCAGCACTCGCGCAAACCCAATCATGCAAGGTTCAAAAAGGGGAAAATTGTGAGAAATAAATGTCCCATCAATTAACGCAATTCTAGTCATCTTTTGTGAACCAAGCAAGTGACATAGACAATACAAAGCCGGTATATAAAAAAATTGGAAATATAAGAAAGCTGATCTAACCACTTCTCAATGAAAAATACATTTGAAAATCAATTTCACAGCAAATGTTTAGGAATACTTTAGGTACTTAGTATTTGAACTAAAATAACTCTTAAGATACTTTCTGGGCAGTAAAAGCATTTATAAAAAAATTTGGAACAACATCTTGCGATCATCTGGCAATAATGTCTTTATGACTTTCATGATGTACATAAAGTTTATAAACAAAGCACATTTATAAAGGAAATTTAGTCTTTCTTGGAGTGCATTACATATCACCATAACAGTTCTTTTTCATTTGATGTTACCTCAAACAAAAGGGTACCTTGTAACAGGAACAATTTTTTCACTATCAGAGCAATCACTTGTGCAAGAGAAATCATGTGAGCAATGGACCACTCGTGTGGGCTATTTCTTACGAAAAGGCCTGCTAATGTATTAAGAAATTCTAGACCCACCATTTTCTTTTCAATTATACATCAGGAACCAGAATTATCTTTAAAGACAACAGTAAGCTGAAGACTTTATCTCTGTTTTGAGAGCATTGAATCAAAAGTAATCAAAAGTAATAATGATGTAAATGTATTTAAACTTATCTGTAACAACATGCTGTTATTAAAAATGGCCCCATGTAAAATATGCAAAAATTTGTTGAAAGAAAAGTGAAATATTTAAAATTCAAAATGTTAAGTTTGTCTTGTTTACTTTTTTATAGAAGATGTGTGCTTAATTGGCCAGTAAAATCAAGTTGACAAGAGAAGAATGGAGCAAGTACTTGCCGATGCCAAATATCTGGCACAGCGTTTACACCACCATGACAGTGCAGCTGATGCATTGATTGGAGATGCCTCAAATCTTGAGATTAAATTGCAGGCTATGAAAGAGGTATGTATGCCTTATTGTTATTATTAGCACGGAGTACAACCTCACAACTTTCTGCAATTATGCTCTCAAACTTTGAATTGAAAACCAAAGAATTCAGATTCAGAATTTTATGGTTGATTGAAATTATGGGAAAGATTCAATTTGGCACCAGATTCAATTACAAAATAATGTGCTATTTGTCATCTGGCTCATTATGGCTGAGCATGGTGTTCTATTTTTTTAGTTCTATTAACAAAGTTTCTAGCTACTGGTTTTATGGGCAGAGATTCTTGGCCTTCAAATTAGGTGCAGCTCATTAATATTTCATTGTGTTGCTGCGCTATTATTGAATAAGAACATTGGTTTCTAAAAGAACACTGTAACAACATTACTGCTGTGCAAGAATTACAGAGTTATTGTTTTCGTCCCTCATTGATAAAGCAAAGATAATTTGATCAAGTCTATCTTTAAAAAAATTTCCTTTTACAGAAATGTTTCTCATAAAATGATGGAAAATATCTTCGGAGAAATCAAGCTGTACACTTTATGAATATATCTGCTCTTGGTTGCTCAATTATGTTTTTGCTACATTTTACTTATAGTATAGAGAAGAGGTGACAAAATTGAATGACATTGCCAAGCACCGGCCACGGAGCACACTTATTCTTGGAAGTCAGCTAGAGAATCAACGCATTTGTGATTTGGAAAATGAGAACAGAGAGCTGCATCTTGCTTTGGCAGATCACCAATCCACTCTGGAGTTAATCATGAACAAATATCGTGAACAGGTTAGAAATCTCCAAATTTGAGCTTGCCTTGGTTTCAGTGCTGAAATTAAAATGTGTTGAATTTTAATCCTTATCATTTTTTAACAATACAGCGTTTTGCTTTCCAGGTGTTGAACCTTTTGACAAACAAAGGATTAGACAAATCTGCAATGGATCAAATAAGCAAAAGCTCTGGGGTGAGTAACAAGTTATTTGTTTTCAAAACGCCATTTGAACAGTAAAAATTTGATGAAGACTCTTCAGAAAAATCAAAACTTATGTGTATGCTCATTTTTATTGGGAAATTATTGGTATGCTATTCAGTTTTATTTAGATACTTGATATAAACTAGACTGTTCAGGGAATAGTGGTTTAGAGACTTGGGATGACAGTACTTTTTCGTTTTGAATTTCTAGCATCTTGAAAACATTCCCAGTTGATGTTGTTGGGAATGCCGATGCCCCACAACATGTTTGGCTGAAGTTGTTATTATTTGAACTGAAGTTATAAAAAAGAATGCAAAGTTGATAAAAGGTAAATATATGTTAAAACTGTTGTAGGACATAAGTGCTCTGAAGGAAAAGGTTACAGAAATGGCTGCAGTTATGCAAAGGGCAGCTCGAGCTGACGAGGAGGTTGAAAATACAGATGTTGAGATGCTAACAAAGCTCAAATATGAAAACAGCACACTGAGAGAGCTACTCAACATTAGTGGTCACCCAAGGAAGGAAATCGAAAAATTGAAACTGAACGAAAAACTCAAAAAAGAGCTAATGGTAAATGGAGGTATCATTGTACCAGGAGATGAAGAACATGCTGCATACTCGAGTGGAGAAGAACTTGAAAATCAAACAGGCACAGTTAAAAGAAAGCTAAAAGGCCAGTTAAGTGACTCATTCGATGATGATATTGCTATTGGAAATCAAAATAAGGGAAAGAAAGGAAATATAGATGGGTCAGCAGGTGAGGAATCCATCGTGGATGAAAAAGTCCCAATGCCTGTTGAATCGTTGATTTCTGAGACTGCAAAGTCAACCATTGTTGAAGCTTCTGCGAAAGTGGCCGGAAACTTTGGAGCTGATGGTGATAGGCATATTGAAATTAACAAGGCAACTCAGGAAACATCAATTTCTTCCTTTGGAGAGATAGACAATGATTATGTTTCAAGAGACAACACTGATACCACGATAACATCAGAAGGCAAGAAAGCAGAAGCATCAACTGAGGCCCTTCCTCAAACCGAAATTTTAGATTGGGGTCTGAAGAGACGAAAGCAGGAAGAGATTGTAGAATTGTACAATTCAGAAGGAATTTTACTGGAAGAAGGCGAGGAAACACATGGTGGAAAAAATGCAGATATTAAAAAGAGCGGTATTAAGATAAGAAGGTCGACTAAGCAGAAAAAGGTTATACAAGCTGATTTAAAATCATTTTTCGGTAGTGAAGATATGCAAGAAGAGACAGATGACAAGTTGAAGTTACATGATGGTGAAGATCATCAAAAGGAATGCAATGATTTCGAAGAAGGCCTGGAAACAAGACCTGAAGCAGTGGATGATACTAAAAACAGCACAGGAGAAGCGAAAAGCATCTCAGGAGAAGCTGTACATGGGATTGATGAATCGATTGATGATGAAATAATAAAAGCTATGAACAATGTAGAAGAAAGCTCAAGGCAAGAAAAGTTGATTCTTGACAACTTACGTCAGTCTTTTTCTTCAACAGAGAGCCCAGTTGAAAGTCCGATAGAAAGCCCAGTTGAAAGCCCAGATCATGGAGATTTTTCGCACAGAACTGTGCAGTTGAACTACTCTGATTCAGATTCAGATGATCCGGAAATGATGGTTGAGGATCAGTTTGCAGATATCATTAACGATGCCAGTGATAGTGACAGCAGCGCGGAGGATTCGGATGATATAACTGAGGAGGAGCTCATAGGTGATCTAGACGAAGGAGGGGAATATGCTATGTCAAGGTGGGTTAATCCAGTTGATGAGTTCAAGCTCATGGAAAATGGTGATATGAAACACGATCTTATCGAGGGGCTGCAGGTTGGGGAAAAAGAAAATGGGAATTCATTCAATGGCAGCGAACCAACAAATGCGAAGGGAAATGAACAAGCTTCTGTTCCAGATTTGAAAAATTATAAAGATAAACATGGCGACCAGGACTATGCATTTTCAAAAGCATTCGTGCAGCTGGACCAGTTTACAGGTGGCAGTATTGAAGCAAAGTTCGCCAAAAGAAAACGTTATGAAAATGGTAGCAGAGCCAGTGCGATTACGTTGTTTTCAGAGACTCAAGAAAGAGCTGGTGACAGTGCCCGCAGCAACATACGATCAGATTCAGAACTTACTACGAACAATGATGACGTTATTGCCGAGAACCATCTAGCAAAGTCTGCCTCTGATCCTCTCTCATCGAAGACCAAGAAGTCTTCATCAATTGATTCATCAATTAATTTTAGCGCATCCGATAGTGTCTCCCCTGAGGAGAGTTCCTCTGGCGAGATTGATCCAACAGTCTTCAAAGAGAGACTTTCGGCTCTGCCACAAGGAGACGAGGCTCAATCGAAAGTAGCTGAAAATTTGACCAGTTTGCTAAGCGACCTAGACGCTGCTTTGGAACTTGAGGACAGTGATTGAAACTTTCGCTTCACGTGTGTTATCTCAGGGGTGTTCTGATTACATCAGGCATCTGTAATCGCGAAATGCAACTAAGATTTGTACAAAGAGAGTGGTTTTATATTTGCTTTGTAGACTAATCAATTAATCAATTCTCAATCAATGGAGATGGTTGAAAGTTACTTTGACGCAATACGATTAGTCTTCCTGAAGCTAACATAACGTAGAAACCTGGAGCTACCTGGCAAACGCTCTCGAACCCGTTTTCTTCATGAATTATAGCCTTCTCGACGGAAGCTTTCTTTTGTTATGAGAAAGAAGATTTTCACAACACTTGACAGTGGAAACCATGGGTTTTAGGTAATTAGGAATTAATATTTGAAGAAACTACTGACAGCACACTAAAACCCATAAACATTGTTATAGAGTTATCACAAATACCCTTCTAATTCAGTCTGCTAGTGAAGCCAATGGTATAATTGAAGGCATACTTAATGATAAGGGAAAATTTGTGATTCAGACTTGCGAGCCACCACGAAAGATGGATGAATTGTTCACCCCAATTCCTTCAAAGAGTAAAACATGTCGAAATAGTTCTCCTACAAACACTTCTCCATTGTAAAAAAGCAAGAGACAAGTAAGAGATTGATAGAATTAGAGTTAGATTTATTTTTATAACATTGCAATGTTGTTTGTAGTAAATTTGATTAAATCTCAACACATAGTGGATTTGTGTTTCCAGTTCTGTGTCCATAACAGCCCTCCTTCTCATTGTTCATTTAGTTTTTCTAGTAGTCGCTATTTCTACAGCTGTTTTTCTCTTTTGATCATTTCTGTAGTTTCTCTTGTTTTCACTCCATGATAAATTATGACATTTTTGTTTCACGTATTTAACTTACGTAGGCCCACCACTACCCTTTGTCCGCATCTTATATCTATCATTTGTTCTATTGAATATCGTACGAAATTTCCCCTTTCGGTACTATATCCAAATTTTGTGATACCAAAGGCCTATTTTGACGTTCATTTGTATAATTTCATCTTATTGGTTTTAGAGATGAAATTCTCATCCTGAAAGATGAAATTCACAGAAACAAATGAATTATTTCGGAAGTCCCAACATGTGCGTCATAGGAATTTAGGTAATTGCGCATGCTCTGCATCACGTGATCAGGTGTTCTTTTAGATGAAACTGGGTAGTTAGTTGACTATACATAGGAACTTGAAAGTTGACTTGCCATTTTAATGAGAGTAGTTTCCCATCTTATGTAAAATTATTTTTGTATCTAGGTTTAAATGGCCATAACAAAACAACAACAAAATATTTTGCCTGTTTTGTCTTTATTTATAGTTACTATTTCCTAGGTTGATGAATCATTGATTTGATGAAAGTACTCTACAATTATTCGATTGTCTTTTGCTTCCAAAAATTTTAAAGATTTTCAAACAGACACGCAAATACAGTTAATAGTCTTTTATTCATTTCATCTATCATTTGACCGATCAAGTCTGTTTCTCAGAAATTTAACACACATAAAAATGCCTCTAGTATACCCTAACCAGGAATAGAACGAAGAGAGTCCCCAGTAATCATTCTAAAACTTTTTGTTTTCCAAAAAACAACACTTTGTACATGTAAAGAATGTTGCCTTGTAGCTTTAATGAATATTTTGGGACCTGCCATCCAATGGGGTAGATAGAAACATTCATTGCAGGGGCAAGACTTTCCAACAAAAATTTAGTAAGCATTTAAATTTATCATGAATTTAAGCAAAATTCATTTGAGATATTCTTTTGTTTATTCACCTTTAAAATCTTTCCTCTCAAATGAAACATTTAGATAGAAATAGACAACCAGTGACCGTTTTGTTAACAAGGTGTTTGGGCCTTAAACTTCATGCTTTCATTCCAACTACAAAAGCATAACACACACAAACATGTCAGAAAAGAACAAAATTGTGTCATGTTTTTTTATCTTTAGTGACCCTTGCCCTTCTAAACAAAACTGAAAGATAAACTAGAGAGTGGTAATGTAGTGACATTGCTGTACTTGAATGAAATTTTGTGAATGCTAGAGAGCTTTGGTCGAGTGGTTGATATTTAAAATTTGATTATTTGTGATGATATTTAAAGAATAACTTATATGAATATATTTGCATAATCCTGCCTAATCCAATTAGCAATCATAGCCCTGATCATAGTATTACAACAACCAAAGGTCTTCTTTAAGCAAGTCATCATGAACCAGCAATCTATGTACTCTTTTGAGTGAAAGGAACCAGAAGTAAAACAAAAGAAATCAGCTTCTTTATTTAGCCTTTAATTCTATAACAATGCATCAATTTTACAGCTTATGAAGGTGGGGGACCAAATCCTCTTCCAATACCAGTACTTGCACCACGCTGAAACAGGAAATGAAGTATATAAAAATTATGGATAATGACACAACTCGTAGTGCAAAGATGGCCTAACTTTTCCAAAATATACTTTGTGGTTGTGATAACCCTAACTAGATCTTTACAAGAGAGATAAGATGATAAAATTTAGCAATGAAAGCAATGTTGCTTGTTGATTAAGAAATGCTTGAATTTTGACACAAAAAAACGAATGAATGAATGTCTTTATGACTTTGCAAAGCCATGTTAAAACAAAGTTTAGTAACAGATCAGAAGCGTTTTGTACAACTTTTGTGTGTAAGCACTGATATGATAAGTCCTAATAAAAATTATGTTTTGCAAAGAAAACCTGCTCATATTTTTCTTTTAATGGTAAATAGCTTTGAAACATTATAATTACTTACAAACTCAGGGTTAAAATCGCTTCCAGCACCAGAGGCTTTGCCTTCGCCTTGGCCACCTCGCCTGTACTGTTCACGATCACTTTCCCTACCACTGGGGCTTCTTGGCTCTGTAGCTGTTGGGTGGTAAGATATTTAAATCATAATTCCAATTAAATATACACTAAATACAGCCTTAGCCTAATGAATAAATTCACATATATTACAATATAGTGGATATTAGGTGAAAAATGGGGGAAATTAAAGATTACTGCAAAAGAGAAAAATTCATGAAAACTAACAATTTCTGCAAAATATGAAAGGGGTACAAACCTCTTGGTCTTGCTCGCCCAGAATCAGCTTTTGGCTGTCTCCTTAATGTTGCAGGAACAATTTCAGGAGGAAGATGAAGATATTCTCTTAGGTATTCGATTCCTAAAACAAACAGATGGTTTGAGACAATAAATACAGCATGGAGAAAACTAACAGAAATATGCAAATAGACAGCCTTTGAACGCAAGTTTAATGTGTTTTCCAAAAACAACAAAGGGCAGTTGTAGAAAATGCCATGAGTTTAGCTGAATGCCAAAATTATGATTGGTATAATCTGAGTGCTGATGAAATCAATGGAGGGGGTGATACTAAAAAATTCACAAAAATCATTTTCCCAATTTTATGATATTTAAAAGAGTTGCAAAAACCGCAGTTCAAATTATCATTAAGACTCTACACTGCCAAATTTAATGCACTAAAAGTTCCAATGAAATTTGGTGATGGCTTACATTCAGACTTTTTGTGTCAAACAATTATTTTCCAAGTACTTTGCACAAATGGCCATGCTAATAACAATCATAACATCTAATAGATATCAAGAAATTTATAAAATGTCACCTTCATTTTGCAAAAACCAGTAATAATGTTGCCAGGCAAAATTTTCCTTTACATAGCCTCTAGACTTCAGTGACTATGAAATAGATGAAAGGTTTGTTAAAGACATCATCAAAAGCAATTTTTATTTAAGTAGATTTCAGAATGAAGCTTACATCATAACATTATAGGGCAGCTTTTGAGTTGTGTGTTTATATGAACAAGTCATACATACTGTATATAAAGCCTGTGTTCATTAGGTTGAAATCGTAAATGTAAATGAAAAAGGCTTTACACAGGATGAATGCATTGCCTATATACATAGATAAAGAGTCAAGACCAGCTAACACAAGAAAACATTAATTGCAATAACCTGTCTGGACAAGACAATTTGCCCATGTGTCTTTCATTTATGGCCAGAAATATTTCTCATTAAGGCTGATTTTCATGAGGTGAATTTTGCATCAAATTTGCTGCCAATTCATTTAAAAATTGTCTTCTGATTTCCACGAGACTGTGAATTCGCTGCAAAATTATACGCTGATTTTCCCCAAAACTCATGCCCATTTTCAGAACTGCATTAATGGCGAATGTTCGAAGACTGTTTTCTTACAAATCAAGCAAATTGAACATGCTTTGACTGGTTATTAGATGCTGCAAAAAACTTCCCCACAACAAAGTAGAACTCTTTTCTACTTTCTTGCAAATTCACTTCAAAATCAAAAATCAAAACTAAGCATGTCTTGATAACTTCATCAGCGATTTCGCTGCAAAATTCGCCTCATGAAAATCAGCCTGCATAGTATACCTCAACGTGTTTTCTATGGTTAAATTTTTACTCAAGCAACCTACCCCAGTAAAAAGCTGCATTGAGTAAACTTTGCTTAAGTAGATTTTATGCTCTGTTTATAAGGCTTTGGTGATTAAGTCTTTAAAATGACATTCAGAGTATATCACCTCATTTGAAATTTGTCTAAACAGGTGTGGCAATGTGAAGAAAAAATTCAAAACATTCAAGGTCATACTCTGCTATTCTGTTAGTGTAAATTCAAACACCATTTAAGAACAAAAATTGGGGGAAAAACTCGGAAAAATGTTCTTCATTAATTCTTTAATTTCAGCAGTTTTCTTTAATGACAGACCACAGAGGGAGAAAGTCATGGCTCGATTCCACACTGGCTTCAATAATTTTTACTAACGGCCTAAATTACTGTACGATTCCAGCTTTGCTACTGTACAAACAGCCATAACAAGCAATAACAAAACGAAATAATTTACTATAAAAACCATTTTCAAAGTTCTGCATACTTCAAATACCGTCACAGTCATGAAGACTCCGAAGGATTGTGACTCGACTTACTTGCATGGCTTTGATAACCTCCAGGTTTCGGACAGTTTCTAATTCGTGGTGTTTTGGCATGTTATAGTCTTTCTTTGCAACCAAGACACCATGTTTGAAAAGGCTTTCATAAATGAGAATTCTGTTTTTCTTTGGTATAAACATCTTTGCAAAGCCTGTTGGAAAATGAAAAAGAAAATTCGCTAGCTTGACTTTCAGAATTTGGCGACAAGTTCGGTATCACGAAGCAGAAATAAATCTGATTTTAGGCAGGTAGGGAAAAATATCTACTTTCGCTAATCTAAATGCAGTTAATGACAAAAAACATGGGAAGATTAATAAGATATCGAAGGATTTTCAGAAGTACCTTGCCCTCCTACGCTTATTTCAGGTGCATCAGATAAAAAGGCCTAATTTGAGTTCGAGGGTTTGTTATGAGAGCGAGGCCTATGAATCCGCGAGACCATCTGCGCATAAGTTCATTGAGCAAGAAAGGGGGAAATAAAGTTTAAATTTCGGGAGGAGATGCCTCTACGATAAGCGTCAACATTAATGATGGAGAAACAGCAGTGTTGCTTATGACCAACTGTTTTTGACAACTTTGATGCCAACTTCCCAAAAGCTCCAAAAACCCCTAATTCCCGGCCAGCGATCATGCTCGACGACTTGGAGAGGAGGGAAGGGGGGGAGGGGGGTAACTGAATCTAGTTTTGGACGGGAACGTACAATTTTGGTTCTAAATTTGGACCCACAATTCCGCACATGTCTGAAAAAATATAACCCGTAATTCCGCAAAAATGATGAAAACTACACCCATAATTCTGCAACAAAGTCATCAAACAATTTTTGTATGTCCTCTGCCCAAAATCTCAAAATAAGAGATATTTCTTCTTTTCATTTCTGACTGGAAATTCATTTTGCAGGGTCAGTGAAACAGGGGGGCCATATCATCTCCACTTATCTGCAGAGCAAAATAATTCTTTTAGGCAAAGTGGAAAGAAATCTAGTCTACCATTCTGTAAGTAAGTGAACTTAGTAATATTTTAGAAATGACCTTAGATTAAGCTTGGTAACTACGTATTTACCAAAGAAGACAAACAAAGAAGTGAAAATGGGAATATGGTCAAAAAGGTCGGTCATTGTCCAAGTGGTACAACGAGTAACAGCTTGACTAAGAGGATAGATCGAGAAAACTGATCCAGAAAGACTTTGATGCTTCAATGTTGATGGTTTTGTTAAAGCTTGATTAAGTTATTTTTAATTGCATTTCATATGCATTCCTTTTTAAATCTAAAAAGCTTGATAATGGGATACAATTAAAAGGTTATTCTAAAAATTTGCAAAACTTACCTATTACATGTCAACATTACAATAGACGAAGTTATGCAACATATTAAAATAGAAAGCTTGAAAATATTTCCTCGGATTTTCCTTCAGTCAAAATCCATTTTAGATACTGTTCCTGGCCATACCTTGATTTTTTGGCCCCTCAACTTTCAAATACGTTTCGCTGGCCCTGTTTGGTTTATGCTAAATTTCCCTCCTAATAATTTTGCAATATTTTCCCAAAATAGAACCCGTATTTCGAAACCTGATACATTTTTCAGCAAGAAAGCTACTCCGGAATGATGACACGTCCCTGTACACCAAAACCTATTAAGGGACATACCCCCGAGACCGAGGAGCAAATGATTCTGTGGAAATTTGTCACACTATTTACGCTCTCTGGAAGAGTGAATTGCCCCACGACTTTCCTCCTATCTCATTTCTGATTCACCTATGAAGTAACGTAGCCGCAATTTCTTTTGGGTGATCCAAGCACTTTGTTAATAGTTGTCAGCGTTATTTGCATACACTCTTTTTTTATAAGAACAATTTTATAAGAACACGTGCCTCAAAAACAAGCTGAGGCTGAGCTTCTGCAAAATGCAATTTTGAACAACGTTTTTTCTCAAAATCGAGGATTTTTAGCGATGTATGGGTGCTTATTCGGTGAATATTCAAATTTTTCAGCAAATTAAGGCTGTCTCACTCACTTGGTTGGCAAATGAGGCCTGAGCACCTCCTTAGGGCGAAAAAGCTAGCAATCGCACTGCTTACACCCTCTTGATTTAAGAACAAATTAAGAACAATCCAGCCTCAGATTTTCGAAAAAATTAAGAGCAGTCAGCCTGAAAATAACTTTACTGGTTCTTACAAAAAAAGAGTTTACATCAGAATAGTTTACTCTGTCGAATAAGTTAGCCCCGGGCACCCCGGTAGCTATGCCATCACCACCTCTCCGAAAAAATGACCCGTTGCTAAAGCAACAGCAATGGAGTGTAACTGGTATCTGTGACGTATAAGGTCACCCATGTGCACAATAAAAACGTTGTGGTCAAGGGAGAACAAAAGGTGTTTTAATTGGACAATCGCAAGACAATAGAAGCAAACCATTTCCGGTATAATCTTTCCCTGAGGAAAATTTGTTTTGCGGGAAACGTGTATCCTTGCTTGCCGCTGTGTGATCAATTTTATGGATTGTACAACAACGTAAAGGTTTTTTGAAGTTGATGAAATAAAAATATTCCTGATAACAGTCTAAGCAAATTTCAAAAGTTTTTGAGGGAAGCGGCCTTGCAGTTTTGTTGTTCATTTGAGCAGAAGCAAGTCTTGATACACCAGGTAAACCAGCTTTGGTTGGTGATAGTCGATTATCGAAGATGATTGAAAAAGTAAGTGAGGTTCTTGCTATTTATTTCGATCGAAAGTTTATGCTTTTTAACATATTGAGCCCATAGTACACGGTTGTTTTCCAATGGCCGTTTGTTTTTTGTAGTGTTTAGGCCAATTCTATGCCGATACGTGTGCCACATCATCAATTTGACAGCCGCTAGTAGTCTATAGTTTTCTAATCAAAGACAATCGATTGTTCGTGTAATGTGTTGTAAAACGTCTTTCTGTTAAGAGAACGGTTTTGTTTTGCTTTGGATCATGTTTTCCTTCTTTTGTCTGAAGTCCATCGTTGAACAGTCAAAAAGAACATTTTTTTAAGTACAGCATTTACTTTCACTCAAAGTATATTTTAACCCATATTTACAGAAAAAGCTGCCGTTTGCATGAATTATTCAGGAAAAAAGAAAGCCCAAACAAGCATTTAAAGCTGGATTTGGCGATTGTCTTTTAGTCTGAAGTAGATGTAAATAGGCAAAAACTGTCATGTACTAAAGCAAATCAGGTGATTACAAAATAAGGCAAAGATGTTGCTTATCATGCAACGTTTATCCGAGGGAAACATCTGATGTTTTTTATTTATAACAGATTTATTAAAATAGTCTAAAAACGTAGAGGTAAGAGCTCTAGTTAATCACTTCACAATAAAACAGGCAAGTAATGTTTTTAAGGGTTCTTGGTTATTACAAAGGATATCTTAAAACCCCCAAATTGTACCATGCAATGTCTTTTGATTGTATAAATTTATTCATGTAGGATGAAAATACAAAGGAAAACAATAATCCTGCTGGAGAGGAAATTAAAGCAGAAGAAGGTCCAGCACCTGGCATGCTCTCAAGGTTAGCTGGAGGTGTATATACAAAAACAGCAACTGTTGTTGGAGGGGTAACATGGGTTGCTGGGACAGCAGTTACTTCAACATATGGGGTAATGAAAGGGGCAGGAAGCTATGTCAACATTTGGAAAAAGAAGGAAAAGACAAAGTCTGATTAGTACAACATAAATTTCAATCAGATGGGATATTTCAAAGAAAATATTCTGCAGTTGGCACTGCTTTTTAGAAAGATTCTCTCCACATTTTAATTGTGGTACTGAACTTTTTATTGACACTTTATAATAATGCTAGTAAAGTTGGCAAAACCAATTAAAATGGAAAGACAAGAGACACTTGTCTTTGGCTAGCTGCGCCTACATTATATCATCTACATGTGATGATTGAAGAGCATATTATGACTTGAGGGTGCTTAGTTTTCTAGAGAAATTGATATACTATAAGCCAAGAGCATGATGATTGATTGATTATTATTTAGAACAGGGGCTTCAGCTCTCTCAACCCTACCCCATCCTCTAGTTCCACAGTTCCTGCCTGAATGCCTGCCTATGGGTTCAAAAAGCTTTTTCCTTCCACTTTAAGTTGCAATGATATTACTGGTTCTTCTTCATATAGACTGTAATAATTAGTATGTTCTATGTCCCCCACCCGCAATACTTTAGAGGACAATGGTCTTGTGTTCTAATGTGATGTCATCTTATTAAAACAATGGGAAACGTGATGTCATCTTATTAAAACAATAGGCTTGCCACCCCCAATATTTGACCAAGTGTCCGCCCCTGTGTTTAATGTTAAATGTCTGTCAAAGATATAAGAACCACTATGATGGCCCAGTGACTGGAAAATGGGTATGTTTGAAATTCTGTTTGTCAAAAAGTCAAAGAGATTTTAGATTGGAGCCCCACTATTCTAAGAGATATTTAGATTGGAACTCCCTATCTCTTGTGCTAAGCATTCTCTGCACCAACCTACTAACTACTAACTGCTTCTAAGGTATGTATGCAAATAATTTTGTACACAACCAGCATAGTTTTAGCATGCTTTGTGGAAAGTTATTTCTCTGTTAGCTTCTAGTATCCAGGAATGCCCTTTTTCGGTAGGCTATATTTGCAAAACCTTAATTATCAATGATACTATTAAGGAGAGTTTCTCAAAGAAAGATTGTCAGAATGCAAACCTTGTTGTAAACCTCAATTAAATGTTTGTTGTTTTGCTTTATTCCAGTGGAATGACAGTGTAAACATAGGATAACTCAAGGATGAGGCAAAGTATCCTGAAGCCCTGATATAAAAGCTAGAAGGTTTCATTATTTGTTCCTAAAAACTTATAAGTGTACAGAAGCACATAATTTTTTTAAAGAAAATAATTTGTTTCTGCTACAACAAGTAAGACTATATTTAACATATTAAAAAGGTCATTTAAGTGGAGTTATTCTGTAACTTGGTACTGAAAGTAAATATCTTTGGGAATGGGGAAAGTTTGATTGTAGAAACATTTTGTAGCTTCTAAGCCAATAAAAAATTGATGGCTTAGGAACCTTTATTTTTAATGTTAGTCCGCGTCACACAACTGTTTTATGGAATGATGTTTTACTTATTCCTTGTTGAATTAATCAAATTTG